AGCTGGCCTGGGCGCGCCGGCTGGCCGAGACGGCCGCCCACCAGACGGCCGCCGAGGAGGAAGCGGCGCGTCAGCGCGTGCGCGCTGACCAACTGGCCGAGGCGGAGCGGGCGGCGCGCCGCCAGTACGCCACTTTGCGCGACTCTGCCCGCGCCGAGCACCAGCAGCAGACGGCCGAGCTGCGCGTCCAGCTGCTGGCCGAGGCGGCGGCACAGGCGGCTGAGCTGCGCGCCGAGCAGCAGCAGCTGCAGCAGCGCGAGGCGGCCGCCCGGAAGCAGGCCGAGGAAACGGCTGAGGGGTGAGGACGACACGACACGACACGATACGAAACGAAACGTCATGACAACACGACACGAAACGTCACGTCACGTCACGACACGACACGTCACGTCACGACACGACACGACACGGCACGACACGACACGACACGACACGACACGACACGTCACGACACGTCACGACACGACACGACACGGTAGCGAGGGTGATCGCTCGCCGGCAGGTCCAGAGGCCGGTCGACAGGTCGGCGAAGCTGGCCAGCCTCTGGGGCCATCCCGTGGCGATGTCTCCTCCCGCCGCGTCCGGTGTCGTCCGGCCCGGCTGCGTCGGAGCCGTCTCCGCGAAGTAAGCGTGACGCAGCCCGCCAGTGCCGGCTTCTGTTCCCTGACGCGGAGAGGGCGGCGGTGCCGTGCGCTGCCTCTGGTCGGGACGTGGGCCGGTGAGCGCACCGTGCCGCCCAGCGCTCGCTGCCGCGCCGTCTGAGACAGCGCGCCCTGACGCGTGCCGCGGCTGGCCGGCAGGCTGGGGTCGGAGCTGGCGGTCGAGCGCGGCCGACTCTCGGAGCTGGCCGCCCGGCTGCAGATCGCCGAGTACGAGCTGGAGCGGTACGACCTGGCGGCACGCCAGGCCTCCGACGCCGCTCAGAGGCTCCGGCACGAGAGCGAGGCGCTCACCGCCCAGCTGCGGGTGAGGCTCACTAGGAGGGGAGGGGAGGGCAGCACCGGCGAGCGTGGAGGAGAGCGTGCCGGAGTGGCCGGAGGTTCCTGACCGTCCGGCTCCGTCTGTGGCCGTGGCGGTAGAAGGTGTGCGGCCGTGTCCTCCGTATGTTAGTGCCGCGTCTTCCGGCGTCCCCCTGCAGCACTGGTAACTGTCTCCTCTGTCCGTCTCTGCCAGGAGAAGGAGTCGGCGCTGCAGCGGCTGGAGAGCTCGGCCGGCCTGGAGCGTGAGCGTCTGGAGCGCGAGCTGGCCACCTGTCGCCAGCAGCTGGCCGCCTACGAGACCTTTGAGAAGAGCTGGGACGCCTACATTGCTCAGGCAGCGGAGGGTAGGTTGGCGTAGCGGGCCGGCAGTAATCCGCAGTTGGCAGTGTGCCAGACTAATGTGCTGCTCTGGTGGACAACGGTGAGCAGAGTGGTGTAACAGTTTAACCGGCGGTAGCGCCCACATAGGTCAGCTGCGGCTGCATCGGTGCTTGATGCGGTGGTTGAATGAGCAGCTTTTTGCAGTATGTCCAAGTATCCATCGCGTTCTTCTATGTCGGTAGCACCCAACTGTGTCAGCGGGTGTGGGACCTGTCTGTACGCAGTCACCCTACCCAACGACTGGGGGGTTGTGAGTTGCGGCGGCAGTGAGTGAAGCTTAGGAGTGTTGACAGGCGGCGGCGGTGCTGGGCGCTCCGACCGTGCGCCGTCGGGTGGCGGGCGGCCCGGGTGGTGACGGGTCGTGTGTGGCAGGCGGTGACAGCTCGCTGGACCTACTGGAGACGGGCCCGCCGCTGCCGGCCGGCTGCCGCCGCCGGCTGCAATACTCACTCCAGCTGGGGCGCCGCCTGGTGGACTCGGAGACGGCCGGCGCTCGCCTGAGAACGCAGCTGAAACAGCAGACGGAGCGGGCAGGCCGGCTGCAGGACCAGGTACACGTGCTGACGTCACCACACAGACACTGAGAACGCAGCTGAAACAGCAGACGGAGCGGGCAGACCGGCTGCAGGACCAGGTACATGTGCTGACGTCACTATACAGGCACTGAGAACGCAGCTGAGACAGCAGACGGAGCGGGCAGACCGGCTGCAGGACCAGGTACACGTGCTGATGTCACCACACAGACACTGAGAACACAGCTGAGACAGCAGACGGAGCGGGCACACCGGCTGCAGGACCAGGTACATGAGCTGACGTCACTACACAAGCACTGAGAACGCAGCTGAAACAGCAGACGGAGCGGGCAGACCGGCTGCAGGACCAGGTACATGTGCTGACGTCACTACACAGGCACTGAGAACGCAGCTGAGACAGCAGACGGAGCGGGCAGACCGGCTGCAGGGCCAGGTGCACGTGCTGACGTCACCACACAGACACTGAGAACGCAGCTAAAACAGCAGACGGAGCGGGCAGACCGGCTGCAGGACCAGGCACACGTGCTGACGTCACCACACAGACACTGAGAACAAAGCTGAGACAGCAGACGGAGCGGGCAGACCGGCTGCGTGCGTGCGTGCGTGCGTGCGTGTGACCGGTCAGGCGGGCCGCGGCTGAGCCTCGCTCCGGTGCCGTGTCCCGGCAGCTGTCCCGCCTGGAGCCGCTGCTGGGCCGCGGCGGGCCCTCTGCCGTCGAGCCGGACCGCTGGCGCCGCTACGAGCAGACCATCCAGCAGCTGCAGGCCGACAGCCGCCAGCAGCTGGAGCAGCAGCAGCTGCTGCAACGGCAGCTGCAGCAGATGACCCGGCAGCGCAACAAGCTGGTGGCAGGTACGCACAGCGGCGGCGACCGGGTGGCGCTCCGCCGGGGATGTGCGTGGTGTTGGGCAAATGTCGCTGACCGCTGGGCGGGGCGTGGGAGGATCGGTGGAGTCTGAGAGTGCGTTAGGCCAGAGCTTAGTGGAGCCGGACTGGTCACGTACGTCGGCGTGGGCCGGACGGTCTTTGCGGAAAGCTGAGGCGTGACCTTTGTCGTTGCGGACGTCAGAACAGAATATGGGGGGACATTTGGGCCGTGCGAAGGGATGGCGCCTAGCGAGATGACATCCACGTTTGGGCGATCCAAACACTCATTAGTCACCCAGTGTAGAATGTAGAAATAAGGTCTTGTACGGTTTTTAAATCGCGAGAGGTGAGCGAACGTGGGCAGCACAATGTACGCACATCGCCCGTACTTGGATGGGATACGTTGCTGACGCGATGACCACCGTGGCGCGTAGCGGACGCTCCGTAGCCGCTGCTCAGCGAAGGCCTATGCAGCATTAGCTTCGGTGGGATGCTCTAGGATTGACGGCAGTTTGCAGCGTTATCAAGCGGACGCGTATTGCGGCTACCATGCGCGGCCTGAACAGTGATTATAACGTTGCAGCTTTTGTGGAACCCCCTCCCCCCCCCCGCTGCTTGTATCGGGCGTGGCGCGTGGCGAAGCAGCTCTGCTGGGTTGGCTTCAGAGCGTCCCGCCGGCGGTGCGGCCCAACGACGCCCTGAGAGACCACGTGCACTGCCGCCGCTCCCGACTTGTCGTGGGGGGCCTTAACTGCGTGGCGTCCTGCGATAAGGCGACCGGACCGCAGCGCGCCGTCGTGAACTGGTGTGTCCGCTGTCGCCAGATATCGAGGTGCTGCTGCGGCAGGAGAACGAGCTGTCGGCGTTCAAGCTGCTCATCTCGCCGCTGGTGGAGCCGGCCGCGGCCACACAGCACGCGGAGGCCGCCGGCGAGCCGGCCTCCTCCTAGTCGGCCGCCAGTCTTCCTCCCAGCTCAGGGCTCTGTCGGGTGGGGGTCTGAGAAGGTGCGGCCATGCTGTCTGTGACCGTACGGAGCGGTCGGTCGGGGGCGTTTTAGTTGCAGCGCCCATAGGGGGTCATCGAAAGTTGCGGTAGTAGCGAGTCAGCAGAGGGCGCTGTCGTACGATTTCGGTGGTTTATCACGTTTTACTTCTTTTAAATTCGGGTCGATAGTTTTCGGGCTTCTCGGGCTTCTGCATCTTTACCCAATGAGGTAACCGAGTGCTCCGGTTTGTTAGCGTTGGGTGATGGAGCGCACGAAATACTTCCAAACGGGCAGGTCATCATCTCCGACACTTCACCTTCATAACGATGCTAGTCGCAACACCATTCTCATCGTCATCGCGATGCGACCCCGACACTCCCAGCGCCCGGCTGGTGCTCACCTGTCTTCCACTTCATTGTCGGGGTGTTGATGGGCCCTGACACCTCCCCGCCGCCCTCCAGCCTCTGGAGAGGGCTGGAGTTGGCTGTGACCTGGTCAGGGTGAGGTTGCAAGGCGCTTCCCTCCCACGCCCGCAGCTGTCTGGGGGGGAGGGGAGGGATGTCAGAGACAGTACCATCGTGGTCAAATTACCTCCGGTGCCATTCCGCGCCCACCTTTCACCAGCCGATCGTCGGCCTCCGCTCCGCCAAAGGTCAGGTCTCCAGCATAGTGGCGCGGCTGTCGTGTCAGACCGGGACCGCGCCCTGTCGTGTCAGCTGGAGGATTCTGCGCGGGGTCTGACCTCAGGTGCCCGTCTTGCCGTTTGGTAGGGCCGGACCGCGCTGCGGTTGGGGACGGCGGGGCTGATTGTGTTCGTGGACCGTGGTGCGGTCCATGTCAAAGACGGACCGATTACTTTGAGCGAGTAAGCTGATCTTGGGCCGCATTGTCGTCCCCTGGTCCGGAGCCACGCAGCCCCCCTAAGCCGCAGACCTCGGGCCGCCGGAGGCCCGTGTCGGCTGTGAGGGCCGTCCGTAGTCCGCCGGCGAGCCGCGTATCGCCTGGGACCGGTGCCGCTCGCGGTCACCGCCCCCGTGCCGTGGGACGAACAGAGGGCCTGCGCTTTGTGGGAAGAGGCCGTCTGCTGGCCCGTGGTCGCTTCTACAGCCGTCGCGCCGCTCTGCCGGGGAGGCTCGGCCCGTCCCCAGCCCGGCGTGGGAGCGCCGGGCCGTCCCCAGCCACCTGTGTCCACCTGTTGATTTTGTCGGACACGGCCATCGGCGGGAGCTACGCGGACAGCGCCCGGCTGGCTAGGGAGTCCCGGTAGCTGTAACCCCGGAGGCTGGCTCGCGACTGAGTGACGTCGCTGTCCTGGGTGGTGACGTCACTTCCCCGCGCTGCCGGGATCTCGGGGCAGGCGGGCGTGGGGAGAGATGGACTGGCATTCTGAACGGCCGGAGAAGGAAAGTACATCGCGGTGTAAATTCGTGGACCCATGACGCTGCGCTTGGTGCCTGATGGTCTGTGCGGTGATTACAACGATCTCATGTGACGTCGGCCAGCGACGCGTTATATTAGTACAAATATATTGCTATACAAACCATACGCATCTATTCTCTTGCACCAGCTACGCTTTAACACGAGAGTGGGCGAGCGCCGCGAGCGAGCGCGAGCGAGCGCGAGCTCAGTTGCCGCCGGCGCCGCCGCTTCCGCTGCTCTTGGCCTCCTCCTCCACCACGACGAAGTTGGAGAGGTGGTTGGCGGCCGTCAGCGGCAGGCCGCGCAGCTTGGTGCTGGAGTAGCAGCCCTTGCGGGCGGAGCGGATGTTGCTGCCCACGACGCCGAGGTAGTCGGCCGTCGGGAAGAGGCCCCACTCGATCTTCTGGCCGCTGGGCGAGACGGCGGTGTCGCTGCCCGAGTACAGGCACACCCTCTGGCCGGTGTAGTTGTCGCCGGTGTAGATGGTCCAGGCGTCCGGACCAGTCACCAGCACGGAGCTGTAGCCGTACGCTGCGGCGGGGCCGATGCGTCGGTCACCTCACGACGTCACGTGGCCATCGGGTGAAGCAGCGGGCGAAGTCACGTGGGGCGCAGCTTGGACGGTCTCAGGATGAAAGGTATTAAAGGATTCTGCCGTACGCCAACTGGCCATGCATGACTCGGCTTCTCCGTACTAAAAGATGTTTTCTGCGTCTTTCAGTAATGGAGAGCGGGTAAAGTATTGCATGATTTTCATCCTTAAAAACTCAAAACTTAATTCTTGTGCCATTTAGACTCCTCCAACGGTAGGATTTCAACGCGTAAGAATGTACAGATTGAAGAATCTATGAATGATTTTGCGCGAAATTATTTTTGGTCTAAACGATGCTGTTAAGTCAAACGCCCAAAAACTCGAGCGATGATATATATATATATATATATATATATATATATATATATATATATATATATATATATATAGTGTCAAAAAGACGTCGGTCTTTTTGTTCTGTTCGTTAGCAGAACGCCAAGTAGCTACGTCTAAAAGAACAGTGAACTGGAGGTGTGCTGTCATTCCCTTGACCCAGGTCGACGCCCGCCCGGCGGCGCGCGGCAGACCGGTGCCACTTACTCGTGCCGATCGACGTCAGGTAGGACTCGGTGAACACGTGGTTGCCGGAGTAGTAGGTGCCCTCATACAGGCTGAGCGAGTCGGCCCCGGCGTCGTAGAAGTCGCCGATCCGGCGCACGCTCGACACCTAGACGGTCACGTGCGAGTTCAGGGGTCAGGACGGCGGTCTGGCCCAGGTCGCGACCTTTGTCACCAACTGGCAGTGGTGGGGTGCGCGAGCGAGATGATCACGCTTTCGACATGTCATTCAAGATGACTAAGGCAATACCAATTGGTTCAGCTGTTTGGATAAATTGGTTGAATCATAGTATTAATATTAATCGCTGACGCCGCTTTTTATGGTTGTGAATGTAGTACTCTGCTGACCTGCTTGTCGAAGTCTGCCTTGAAGGTGAAGCAGTAGTTGAAGCCGTAAGACCAGATGACGCGACCCGCCTGGTAGTTGAACTGGTCGTGCTCGAAGAACACCCAGCTGGAGACAAGACAAACGCATTCAAGGTGGACGCTAGAGCACGCGGGTCAAAAATGCTGGCGCAGAGTACGGTTAATGTGGCCGGTCGGCGCCCCCTCACCTAATACACCGTGTTCTCCGCTTATGATTGAGTTGCCCGTGCATGAACTAAGCCGTATCGTGGGGGACTGGTTGTTGGGCACTTTGCCGGAATTCTGTCCCTATTGATGCATCAATTGACATTGCGAGTCACTTTGTGCGGTAAATTAACGGGAGATAAAAGCTCACGTGTTTTTATGGACGTCGGATGATGGACCTCCGGAGAGGCCTTGTGCGCGCGCTGTTTTCACGGACGGAGTGCTCTCCCCACGTGCGGCGCCGAGCTAGTCTGAGGTTATGCAGCTGCAGAGCTCAGCTGGATGTGACACGAATGGACATGCCCCGACTGCATGACGGTGTCATAGGGACAGTATTACAGTGGTTACATACATCCGTCCACTCGGATTCAAGCCCCCCAGTCTTTACACCCGGTTCCACCCGCGTAGCTGACTCACAATCCGTTGAGGCAGGCGGAGCGCATGAGGTCGTTCCAGTGGCCGAGGCTGCTGGCGCTGTCGTGGTAGGTGATCATGTTGCCGGCCTGGTGCTGGCCGTCGTAGGCATCCAGCCACGGCTGGACCGGCGGATCGGCCGCCGCCACCGCCGCGCCGATCAACAGAAGCAGGCCCGAGTACTGCATGACGTGTCGCTGGACTGAGCGAGGACTGGCGAGGATGCCGCCTGCCCGCGGCTTTATACAAAACGGCGTATCGGGGCCTGCCGCCGCCGCCGCCCCTGGGAAGGCGGCCACCTGCCTCATGGACTTCCGAGCATCGCCGAATGTCGTCAGGCGCCATCTCGAGTGTCGGACCAGTTCGCGGAAGGCGGCGTAGGATATGAGTTGCGAAACAGCTGACGTCGTCGGATGCGGGCCCAGAGGTGTGGTCATAGCCAGAGGTAAGTGTCAGGTTATGTACAGGTATGCGAAATCACAGGCAGTTTATGAATATAGCTGGATGGATCTCGTCGCTCAGCTGCTCCCGTGCAGTACTGCTGGCCGCTATCGTACAATGGGTAGGAATCCAAAGCTGCAGTCTCTGTGAACTCGTTCGAGGGAGGCACAGGGGCCGGCGTACGCGGGTTGCCGCGGGAGCGGGAACAGGTGACACTACAGGTACGGGACGAAATATGCATGCTGTTGCGAGACGGATAGAAGCACATTGCATGGAAGTCTGAGATCAGCGTTGGTGGAGAGAAAGGGAGCCTTGTGCATGCCCCGTCATTCAGAACGGTTGACGCGGTCCGCATGGACCGAATAAGGTGTACGGCGCAAGCGTGCTACGTTGGTAGCGGAATGCATAACGCGCGACTGATTGCATGAGCAGGAAAACCTCGAAACTGGCTTCCGTTAAAGTTGGGTGCTGGTCACGACCTCATGATATCGCTTATTTGATCTCGCTGGTCGATTACCACATACCGCACACTCGCACAGGCTTAAAAATGGTCCCTAAGAACCGCGAGAAGAAATATGGTAGCATTTTCCCCTATTCATATCACATGCGCAGTTTTTGTCAAAAGTGCTTGGACGGGCCGCCCGCCCCCCGCCCTCGAGACGTTCCCGTCGCTCGTTTCGCGGGGAATGCTTAGAGCCGTGTTACGGAGGGTCATTGGTGCTATAATTGTTGCACTCATTTGCAAGGGTCTGGTGCCTAACATCCATGATTAATATTGATATAAATCGATTGGTTGCGAACAACGATGTAGCTGTGCGTGTTGCGATGTTTAAAGGGCAGATGCTGTACTGCATTCACTATTTGTTGGTATATTGAAGAGAATAGCTCGTGATAATGTTTGGTGCTATTCGTTAAAACCTGAGAATGCAGCGTGCATTATTTTGCAAGGGCATGGCAGTTGAACCACTGTCAACAAAAACTGTTGATCAGGATTATAAATGGGGTCATTAGTTGAGAGTTTGAGTGACTGCTTTTATGTAGGGGTTGTTACTCCTACCAACTAAGCAACTATATACAGGATGAATCATGGAGGATCTTAGAAGCCATGACCAGATAAAGTATTGCATGATGGCTGGCTTCAGCCATTGGTGCATCTGTTATTGTAGATTGTAATTGATTTTAGTATCTATTTGCATGTGCATACTGTTATTGACAATGATTCCTTTATCTTTCAGATAAACTTTGCAACCATGGTGCATGTCATTTCTGCCCACCACTTTGTTGGGCAGGAGGTTGTCACCATTGACAATCCATTGGCAATGACCCCAGGACCGGACAATGTCTTGTTTGTGTCCACCCCTGATCACAATGTGCACGTGAGTCTTTTATCTTGCTCAGGGCTCACTATGATATGCCTTCATTGATGATGTGATTGAATTAGATTGACTGATTACTCACTGCCATATAGTGCTACCTTTCATGTCAATTGCAGAAGTTTCACCTCCAGCCTCATTCATTTGGTCTGTTCTTCATGATAATTTTGTTTGTATGCACAATTTTAAAACATTTCTGCAGTGACTCATGTTTAACCACATATGTTGATTTCTCATCTCCAGATTTTGAATGCCACATCAGGAGAGCCGATGATGCCGCCATTCTCAACTGTGGATGCTGCTGTCAGCATATGCTACTCCAAGGAAGGTGTGTGCTTAGTGCCAAGTGTCATATTTTTAGTTTTGGTGCACTGTTATGTGCCCTTGGGATGCTCAGACATCAGATAGTGATTTTCATGCATTCTGGTAGCAATCTTGATTGCTACCAGAATGCATGAAAATGCTGGGGGCAATCTTGATTGCCACCAGCATTTTCAGTAAAGCCACTTTCAATGGCTTAACTAACCTTCAGAATAACATTGATTTCACCAACTCTGTTTTGAGAATTGATGATGCTATATTGCAACACTTCAGAACTACCTACTGCCACAGTGTAGTTGGGCTGCAGCAGGCACCTGCACTTACTCAACCGCTTGCACTCTCTCCAGCCCACCAGGCCCGCATCCCGGCCCTCACCGTCCTTGCGCACGTGCGTGTATGCGTGTCAGCAGTGTCAGCTGCGCGGGGTGCCGTGCGAGTGGAGCCCGGTCTTCGGGAGCCAGGCTATCGGACCGGCACGCTGCTCCGAGAAGACCGGAAGTGGGCGGCACAGCTGACGCTTCCCAGGCCCGGGCGAGGCCGGCGGAGCCGGGCCCGCCGGCTTGGTCCGGGCCCAGGCGGGGGGAGGGGGGGGGGGGCGGCGAGGGGAGGAGGGTGAGGCAATTGTTCCCCGCAGGAACCGCCGCCGTAGAAGGGAGGCCACCGTCGCCGGCTGCAGTGCCCACTGCGCCCTGACTGGAGTGTAGCCTCCAAGTCGTCACGCGAGGTCATGTTCGCACGCGCCCGTCGTGCTTCTGCTCACCAGGCGCCGATGTCCGATTCGCCACGCCGTTCGTCGTCAGATGGCGCCCATCCCTCAGGCGAGCGTGGAGCCATGCACGACAGCGCCGCTCCCGCGTGGGCCGGGGTGCGCCGGCGTCCACCGTCGCCCACTGACCGCCGCCGCCGTTACCGGCAGGCGACTACGTGGCGGCGCTGGAGGCGAAGGAGTCGCGCCAGAGCGCCGACTTCTCCTACATCCGCGTGTACCGGCACTGGGCGCAGCAGGCGCGCGGCCAGCCCATGCGCGCGCGGATCGCGGCGCGCGTCACTCCCTCCAGCGCCGCCGCCGAGCCCGCACTCGAAATGATCGAGGTACGAGCTGGCAGTGCACGCCACCGCCTTGCCGGTGGGCGATCCGCTCCAGCCAGGGAGAACTGCGCTCCTGTGCCAATGGGGAGGCGGCATGTTCTCAGCAGGGGCGTGGGCCATGGTGCACCTCTCGTTCCCCCCGCAGTGTTACCTGAAAGACGTGAGCGAGACGGGTTTTGGTGCGAAGTTGATCGCATTGGGGAATTTAATTGGTTTTCGACTTCCATTGGGAGAGGGCCGAGTGAAGCTCAAGCTCCTCACCTGTTGAAAGTGCCACCAGTCGTGATTTGACACGACCGTGTCGATGTTTTTGACGCTTGCGTCCCGCCGTCCGACTTTCCCTCGTCTCCGAGCCGGTCGTCACACGCAGGTCACAGCCCCGCCGTCCGACTTTCCCTCGTCTCTGAGCCGGTCGTCTCACGCAGGGCACGGCCCCGCCGTCTGACTTTCCCTGGTCTCTGAGCCGGTCGTCTCACGCAGGGCGCGGCCCTGCCGTCTGACTTTCCCTCGTCTCCGGGCCGGTCGTCTCACGCAGGGCGCGGCCCCGCCGTCTGGCTTTCCCTCGTCTCCGGGCCGGTTGTCTCACGCAGGACACAGCCCCGCCGTCTGACTTTCCCTCGTCTCCGAGCCGGTCATCTCACGCAGGACACAGCCCCGCCGTCTGACTTTCCCTCGTCTCCGAGCCGGTCATCTCACGCAGGACACGGCCCCGCCGTCTGACTTTCCCTCGTCTCCGAGCCGGTCATCTCACGCAGGACACGGCCCCGCCGTCTGACTTTCCCTCGTCTCCGAGCCGGTCATCTCACGCAGGACAAAGCCCCGCCGTCTGACTTTCCCTCGTCTCCGAGCCGGTCGTCTCACGCAGGACACGGCCCCGCCGTCTGACTTTCCCTCGTCTCCGAGCCGGTCATCTCACGCAGGACACGGCCCCGCCGTCTGACTTTCCCTCGTCTCCGAGCCGGTCATCTCACGCAGGACACGGCCCCGCCGTCTGACTTTCCCTCGTCTCCGAGCCGGTCATCTCACGCAGGACACGGCCCCGCCGTCTGACTTTCCCTCGTCTCCGAGCCGGTCGTCTCACGCAGGACACGGCCCCGCCGTCGCTGTCCTCAGGTGCCGATCAACGAGCACGCCACGGCAATCGGCTGCTGCCAGCGCACCGGTAACCTGGCCGTGGCCTGCGGCACGCAGGTCACCGTGCACCACTTCGTCATGAAGACGCACGACATCTCCCGGTTCAAGTGAGTTCCTGCTGTCACCCGTCGCCGGCCTGCCAGCGGCGAGCGTGCGGCGGTATGGGGTCCTCTTGCGAAGCGAACAATGGGGAAGCTGTGGCGGGTTTCAAAAGGCGCGTATCTCTAGGCCCATGCGCGGACAAGATGCTTGGCTGTGGATTTATGTGGCGGCTACCGCGGATTCCTGTCTGGTACTGTTTGGTGCTTGGATGCGTTTCGGAAGCACGTTGCATGCACATGGATCGCACGCCACGGCCTTCCGCTCGGACTTCAGTGCTGACTTGATGCCGTCTCCTGTCGAGTGCTGGCCGTTGAGTCAATGATACGCCAGCTGTCTGCCCTCGCGCTGCGCCATGATTTGCTAGCTGTGGGGGCTGGCGCAGCGGGAGCCGAGGTGACCGAGTCGGCGCTCGTTGCGGCAGGTTCTGCGACCTGGAGGAGCTGGCGCAGCTGGAGCTGGACTTTGAGGTGACAGAGCTGGCGCTGTGTGAGGAGCTGCTGGTGTGCACTGGCGCTGACCGCCTGCAGCTGGTGCAGCTGAGCTGGGGCGCCGGCGCCGGCGCCGTGCTGGCCGCGAACGGTCCGCGGCCCAGCTCGCCCGCGCTGGACGCGGACGGCGAGGAGTCGCCGGAGGACGCCGCCGAGCTGCAGCCGGTCAGTCTGACCGTCGCCCCCGGCCACGGAGCACCCCGGCGGTCTTATCGACATTCTGTACCGCCGCTGGGCTGCTCCGGGGACTGGGGCGTCCGTGTGTGCTGCGCTTGGTGTGGTGCGGCTGGGGAACACTGGACCGTTCGTGCAACATTCATCGCGATGCACGGGTTACCACAGACGCTGGACACTGGCAAGCCTATGTTGTTTCTTTCTCCTGCTTCTGTTAAGCTGTTCGCGCAGGCTATAATGGGGCTTGCGGCTTCAGAACGGTGACACCGCTGGACTCTTTTCAATGGCGCCGAGGACGTCGCCTGCACGCCGGGCCAGTCCAAGCCTCGCCACCGTCGGCTGCCCTCCGCGCGGCATACGCGTCACTGTCCACTCGTCCGCCGCCGCCGCCAGGTGTTGTGGGACCCGGCCGACCCGCAGCCGTCGCCTCTGCTCTCGCCGGCGTCGCTGCCGCTGCGCCTGGAGCTGCCGGCGCTGCACCGTCCGCTGGCGACGGCGGCGGACGCCGGGCCGGCGCCGCGGCTGCTGGCCGCCGACGACGCGCCGCTGGCCGCCCGCTCCGTGCTGTTCTGGCGCGAGCCGGACGGCGAGACGCTCGTGTCCGGCACGCTGTGCGTCACGCCGCTGTACGACCGCGTCGAGCCCGACTCAGGTGCGGCTGGCGGCGCGGCGGCGAGGACGTGGCGGGGAGGCAGGTGGCGTGGGACGGGCGGGACGCTGTGGTGGACCTTGTCGACGCCCTGACACGGTGGGCATGCGGGGACCCAGGATGGACGTCGAGGTCCCTGCGGAAAGCAGACACTGCTGTCTGTCTGGCCTTGTGCGCTCTCATGTGTGTGATCCAATGGCGCCACTGGCGTTGGTCTCAGTCTGGACCGTCCCCTGCGCCCTGTCGGCGGTTGAGAGCCGCCCGTGTGCCGTGTGTGCATGCTCGGCTGACGTCCCCCTCCCCTGTGCCTCACAGAGCCGGCGCCGGCGGCCGCCACCAGCCCGCTCTTCAGCCGGGAGCGCGCCCGGCTGGCGGCCGTGTCGGTGTTCTTCTCGGCCTCGCACGAGGGCCGCCTGTACCAGGTGACGCTGGGACCGCGGCCGTGCGCCGCGCTCGTCGGCACGCACACGTACACCTCGCCGCTGCAGCTGGCTGCCCGCCAGCCGCACATGCTGCACGCGCTCACCCACACCGGGCTCGGTGAGCGTGCTGGGCAGCAGCGCCGCGTCGGCCGTGTGGTGCGGGGTCGCTACGCCCTGCGGCGGCAGCGGATGTGCCGCGGGCGGGCTGGAGCAGCCGCGGCCGCGAGGCAGGGCAGATGACGGCGCGGGACTCGGTGTTGTGGATGCCCGGCCAGTGGCGAGCTGTCCGTGAGCGCGTGGATGGCATGCTTGTCCGCGGTGCTTCACCAGGACGAAATCTGCTTTTCATGGTCAAAAATTCGGATGTGGATGGAGTGTCCTCGGTGGTAAGAACATTGTGTTGACGCGCCTTGCGTGCTTTCGGAATTGACGCAGCGGTTAGGTGGCTGCCCCGTTCGAGCCGGCCGTCAGTCGGATGAGGCGACCATCCGTCGCCCGGCCGTGACCCCGCCCCGCCCGGCCGTGACCCCGCCCCGCCCAGCTGTGACCCCGCCCCCGCCCGGCCTTGACCCCACCCCCACCTGGCCTTGACCCCCGCCCCGCCCGGCCGTGACCCCGCCCCCGCCTGGCCGTGACATCGCCCCGCCCGGCCGTGACCCCACCTCCGCCCGGCCGTGACCCCACCTCCGCCCGGCCGTGACCCCGCCCCGCCCAGCTGTGACCCCGCCTTCGTCCGGCCTTGACCCCACCCCCTCCTGGCCTTGACCCCGCCCGGCTTTGATCCCGCCCCCGCCTGGATGTGACCCCGCCCCGCCGGCCGTGACCCCGCCCCCACCAGTCAGCAGTACCCCTGACGGCGCAGTCGGGCCTCTCGCCGCCAGAGAGCTACACAGTGCGGGACACGCGCCGGCTGAGTCGGCTGCAGACGCCCGGCGAGCCGACGCCCGACGACACGGACGCCGGCTTCCTGCTGGGTCTGCAGCCATTCGTGGGCGTCACGCACCTCTGCGTGGCCGGCCAGGTGCTGGCGTTGGCCGCCTCCGGGCCTGAGGACAGGTGGGAACCCTCGCCAAGGCTGAGCCGGAGGGTGGTTGGGTGCGACAGCGCTGACTGGCCCGCGGACGGGACGCTCGTTAGCGCTCGTACGCTAGCCGCGAACGTGGCGTGTTGAACTTGGCTGGCTTCGTCCCAAATTGGAACCGCACTAGCGAGGAGTAGCATAGAGCCGGGCCGGTTGTGCAGCTGGCGGTGCGCCGGCCGCAGTGTGCGGGCCACACCGTGCCTGTCGTCGCTATGCAAGCTGCGTTGTGACGCCGTCGTCTCGGCTGTTCGATGACGGCCGTGTGCCGGCCGTGTGCTGGCCACTGACGCCGACAGCTGTGCGATGACGGCCGTGTGCTGGCCGTGTGCTGGCCATTGACGCCGACAGCTGTGCGATGACGGCCGTGTGCTGGCCACTGACGCCGACAGCTGTGCGATGACGGCCGTGTGCTGGCCGTGTGCTGGCCATTGACGCCGACAGCTGTGCGATGACGGCCGTGTGTTGGCCACTGACGCCGACAGCTGTGCGATGACGGCCGTGTGCTGGCCACTGACGCCGACAGCTGTACGATGACGGCCGTGTGCTGGCCGTGTGCTGGCCACTGACGCCGACAGCTGTGCGATGACGGTCATGTGCGGCAGTGTGTCGGCCACGCTGTACCTGCTGCGCCTGCCGCCGCCGCTGGAGCTGTTCGCCGAGTGCTCGCGCATCGGCACTTCCCACGGCCAGCACGCGCCGGCCATGTGTCTCTCGCTGCTGGAGGAGGCGCACATGGTGCTGCGGCCGTACGTGCGCTGGCAGTGCGGCCCGCCGCCCTCGGACGAACTGCGCCGCCAGCACGCCCGCTCCTGCGCTCAGATCGGTCACTTCCTGCTACGGTGGGTGCGGCGGCCGGAGCCGGAGCGGCGCTCCTGGCTGGCGGCGGTGCGGGGGTCTGCCGGCACCCGTGTGGGATGCGCGCTTGTGTGCCTCAATGTGGTGTTTGTCACCCGCATCACTCATGGCAGGCGGGATGACATCCAGATGTTAGATTGCTGCTTTTCCCAGAAATTCAAAGCTTGAGTCCGGTGGTGTCTTGGATTGGTTGGCTGGGATGGGGGAGAAGTTGTCGATGCGGCGTGTCTTCAAGTAGCTTTGCCAACTGCTCTGGTGGCAGTGTTTAGTGTGTGCTGCCGGTTTGGCAGTCACGTGCAGTCGTTGTGTACAGTCGGTCCGGGCAGTGGCTGCCTGACACTACGTGCGTGTGGGTGTGTTGGCAGGTCTCCGGCCGAAGAGGACTGGCCGCGCGCGCTGCCCTGGCTCCGGCTGGCCGGCGCCTCCGTTCAGGACGTGCTGGCCGAGTGTCCCGAGGCGCCCGGCCTGGACAGCTACCTGAGCGCGGCGCTGGCCGCGCCCGACCAGCAGCCGCTCGCCTACCAGCCTGCCAACCAGGCGCTGGGCGTGCTGTACGACCGGGCGGCCGAGGCGCTGGCGCCAGCGCTGCTGGCTGCCGGCCCGCTGGCCGAGTACCGCGCCGAGCCGCCGCTGGAGGCGCTCGAGCGGCTGCTGGCCGAGCCGGCGCTGGCCGAGGCGGTGGCACAGGCGGCGCGGCTGGCCGCCCTGCTGTTGCTGGCCCGCTGCGGCGCGCCGCCGCCGCGCTGCCAGCCGTTGCTCGAGCTGCTGACAGAGGAGGCGCTGCCGGCCGGCGCGCCGCATCTGCTGGTGTCGGCCGGCGCCGGCCGACGCCAGCTGACCGAGCTGGCCGAGCTGCTGGCCGCCGGTAGGCCGGACGTGCTGGCCGCCGGGCTGGCCGCGCTGGCCGCCGCCGACCAGCCGCCGCTGGCCGAGCTCACCGCCCTGCTGCTGGAGGCGGCCGACACCAGCGACCGGCAGGCGGCGCAGCGCTACGAGCTGCTGCTGCGTGACGTGCTGGAGCGTTACCTGCAGGGCGGCGGCCGGCCGAGCGGCGCCGGCCAAGCCGTCACCCTGCTCGTGCGCATGTACCTGGGCGGCACGGTGGGCGCGTTCGCGCCGCCGCCGCCGGCGGGCTCGGCCGGGCCTGGTCTGAGCCGACACCGGCTGGGCGCGCTGTACGGGCCGCGCGCCGGCTGGCTCAACCTGCTGCCGCCGTTCGTGGGCCGCGCGCCTGCCCAGGTGCTGGCCGACATGGAGGCGGACGCCCGGCTGGTGGATCTGGTCATGCTGCAGGTGAGTGGACGCCGCCGCTGGTGTTGCGGGCGTCGGCGCCGGCGCCGCACCGCTCCGCTTGTTGTGGGGAGGGTCGAACTGCCTGCTCAGAAGAGAAGTTCCGTGACTTGTGTCGCCTTCGGTTGGTTATCAAAAAACACGGGTGTGCGGGTTGTGCTGAGCGTGGCACAAAACAGGTGAGCGGTATGGCTAATGAGCGCGATAAGCCGGTTTGAACAGAAACAGACCATTCCCGGAGAAGGACAAGAGTTTGAACCGTCCGTGGTGGTCAACCACCTACCTTACCGTCTGAAATGCCGTGTAACGTAATACAACGTCGGCCAGTGTCGGGCGCGTGACCAGCCTGTGTGACGCGTGACCAGCCTGTGTGACGCGTGACCGGCCTGTGTGACGCGTGACCAGCCTGTCTGACGCGTGACCAGCCTGTGTGACGCGTGACCAGCCTGTCTGACGCGTGACCAGCCTGTCTGACGCGTGACCAGCCTGTCTGACGCGTGACCAGCCTGTGTGACGCGTGACTAGTCTGTGTGACCCGTGACTAGTCTGCCTTACGCGTGACCGGCCTGTCTGACGCGTGACCGGCCTGTCTGACGCGTGACCAGCCTGTGTGACGTGAGCGCCCGCCGCAGTCGCTCCTCTGCTCGGACCTGCCCTCGGAGCAGGACCGGCGCAACATTGTCCAGTTTCTGGAGGCGAACCCGGCGGCGGCCGGCGCTGACGCGCTGCGGGCGCTCTGCTCGGGACTGGGCCCGGCCGCGGCACTCATCGCCGCCCAGTACCCGGAGGCTGCGCTCGAGCACGCCAAGGTGGGAGGCGCGCGCCCGCAGTGAAGGTGCCGGGTCGGCCGCGGCTGGGGGTCGCCGGCGAGGGAGCCCGCGGGGCGAGAAGTGTTCGATATCGGAGGGCTTCTGCAGGTTAGCGAGGTTGGCAATTCGTCGAGCGCGTTTGGGTTTGTTGTTGCGTGTTCAGTTATGTCTTACATTGCCTCGAGCCTCAGGAACTCTGTCTGTGGACTTTATCGCGGAAGAGTAGCACCACGCCCGTTCGTTTCCGTCCCAATCACACCAGCGAAGCCCACGAACGTTCCAAAATCTGGTCCCAAATCCAATGTTGCCCTTCGCCTGGGCTGCCGCTCGGCTGGCGGCGCGGCGCGCAGGCCCTGGGCCGCCTACTCTCCGGTGCGTAGTCAAACTGCCGGCACGTGTTCCACAGGAGCGGTGCGCCGAGCCGGCCGACTGGCGCACCGTCCTATCCGCGCTGGTCGCCGCCCAGCCACCGGCCGCCGACGAGGCCAGCGGCCAGCAGGCGGCGCTGGCCGCGCTGCTCGACCACCTGGCCGCCACGCTGACGCCCGACCAGCTGCTGCTGGTGCTGGGCGAGCGGACGTCCGACCAGCACGCGGCTTGCCTCGTCCGCTGCCACAACGTGCAGCGGGCCGAGGTGGTGCGAGCCGAGATTATCCGCATGGCCCGGCCGCGGCCGGCCGTCGTCTGAGCTGGGCCGGTCCGTCGGAGCTGCGGCTGGCGTCGCGGAGCAGCCGCTGCTGGCCCGGGGGAGCTGCTCGTGTCACGCCGGAACGGGAGCTGCTCCGGCGGGGCTTCAGTGGGTGTGATGGAGTGACCGGTGTCGCGGCGGCATTCATGTGGTGACTCGGCGAGGCTGTGGCTGTCGCAGCGAGGACGTGACGGCGCCGGCTGGGCGGGCCCACTGAGCCGCGTCCCTCCAGCCTGAGCTGCCTGCCGTTGCCGGGCAGGCGGCGAAGCGACGAGATGGCCGCCGGACAGCGGTCGGCGCGCGCCGGCGCACCGGCGCATATTATCTATATGATGGGCGAGCCGGTGCTCATGTGCTCATGCTCATGTCCGGTCGGGTCGCTGCCTGTCTGAGCAGACACAGGTCACGCGGTGGCGGCTGGCGGTGTTCGCCGGTCCCGTGCGGCCGCTCGGGCGCGTCGTGCTGCGGCGGAGGGTGGTACCGTCTTTCATCGGGGATGTCCGGCTAACATGGCGCCATCCCGTGGGGTCCGGTGTGTTGGTGCATGTGTGGGAGGAGAGTGAGGGAGCTGTCCAGTGCATTGAGGCAATCTCTCTGCAACACTTCGCCGAAGGAAATGTACAGGACTTTCGAGCAATGGGCGCCGTGAGAGCTTCTAGTCGCAGGGTAAACCAAATATGTGTATGTGTATTTATATTCTTGAAAGACATGGCAAGCTATGCAGGCAATATGCATCGAAGTTTGCTGAGTTACGCATGTTCTTTGAACCAAGTATCCCGCCGAATCTCGCCTAAAATACAACGCATCTACCAGGCACGGATGTTCTCTACCAAGACGGCTTTGGTTGTGATCACCAGAGAGCACGCGGTCCAAACGCCAAGCCCTCACCGGGCTACGCATCCAGCGGCCATCGACGAAGCAGTGCACTGGACGGTCAGACAGGCAGTCGTCCATAGCGCGGTACAAAATTGAGGACATCGACTCTGACGACCACAAAAAAACTGCAGGTCATCCCGGTGGCCCGCCGCCGGAGAATCCCAGCAACTGGTGTGACGGGGCGGCCCGGAGGAGCGTCCCTCGGTGGCAAAATGTCAGAAGCCTCCTGGTCTCAGTGACCGTTGGGCTGCCTGCCGTCACACCTGCCGCGGTCCCCACACATGGCCGCGCTGAAGACGAGAATCGGCGACGGCCTGCTCGCAAGCTGCGGCCGTCCACAGGCGACGGCGCTTCCCCACAACTACTTAACGCTTCGCAGGATTGGTTGTCTTTGGTGTCGTGTGGCATGGCTCAAAAGATGCCTTAAGATCACATCAAACTGGGCGGGTGGTGCATACCACGCGTTGAACCTAGCCAGGCGTGCAGTCAATGCGAGGAATCACGAACGTGTCCACGCATTTCGACAGCGTTTTATCACGCATCGTATGTCGGGCAGCGGCCGATAGCTAGTTTCACGTAGCAGTAGTTCAGTCTAGGCAGTAGCAAAACTGCACGCACAAGATTGGAAAGTGTACATGTGATTTTCGTCTGCACGTTTTTTTCATGCAGCCCAGATGCGACTCTGCCTTTAAAGCTCGCCATCGTGGCACAATTACTGGGTGGCACAGCCACAGGCTACAGGTTGCGTAATTGAAGTGCCGCGTGCTTTACGGGTAGGTTTTACCCGAGGGCGGTTAATTTATTGTCGTTGGGGCTTTGCGACGTACTCGGCTGCTGAGGCTTTATGACATCGTCTGCCCCTCACCCTGGCAGGGAGGGCGGTGAATTCCGTGTAGGCCAAATGGAGGGAGCAGCAATTATTTCCTACAAGGTAATTAATTAGGCCTCCAACACATGTTATTTATCAGGACGTTTTCTAATTAATACTTTCGCCGCACAAAGTATGCAAAGCGACACCCATAACCATACCATTTACATAAACAAGCGAAAACAACTGTGTTGTAGTAACCCGGACGGTTTGTTTTCATAGCAGCGAAATAAACTCTGCACACACGACCACCACCCATCGCACACTTGCTTTGTGAAACTGGCTACGCTAACAGTAGCTGCACATAACTAGCCCGGCTGCGGCCAGCCAATCAGACGTCAGGGTCGACGAAAGAGACCATGATGTAGCGCGTGCCATTGGTGGTGGGCAGGCCCTGGTGCTCGTGCGTCAGCCGCCCCGGGTGCATCAGCATCCAGCCGAGACGGGAGTCGGTGACTGAGCAGTTGTAGCGCGTGAAGTAGCAGCCGCCTCCCTGCCAGCGTCACAGACGGGTCTCACCACCCGCCAGAAGTCGGGATGGATCATTTGGACCAGCCGAGGGCGGGCGCAGTCACCGACAGCAGCGCGCGCGGTGGCACATGTGGTCAGCTGGACCGTATTTAAGGTTGAGGAAAAGAAATCCGTTTCGGGGGCGTTCACTGGCAACGCTTTAGGGTTCATGATACACTGGGGTTAATATTGGGGTTTTCCAAGGTTAAGTGTGTGTGTGTGGGGGGGGGGGGGGGGCGCTCAGTTCTTTCCATAACCCAGTGTTTCCCGTTGCCTATACGTCATCCAGCAAGGAGCATGATTCCCCGATTTTCTGTCTTTCAAAAGAGTAAGAGCTTCGTAGCATCGCAGGCATTACTGTTCTCTGATTTACCATGACCGATAAAATGAGCACATCATGTGAACCGCACCCACGGAAAAAACGGTGTCGCTGAAAACATTACACTGGGGCTCACTTCTTAGGATAATTCCGCTAGAGCGGAACATCCGTTAAGGTTCCCCGACCCTCAGCCCCGCCCACCCACACCGCAGCCTTCCCCGAGCAGCAGCCTCGCCCAACCACACCGAAGCCTTCTCCGACCCCCAGCTCCGCCCACCCACACCGCAGCCGTCCTCAACTCCCAAGCCCGCCCACACACCGCAGCCTTCCCCGACCCTCAACCCCGCCTACCCACACCGCAGCCTTCCCCGACTCCCAACCCCACCCACTCACACCGCGGCCTTCCCCGACCCCCAACCCCGCCCACCCACACCGCAGCCTTCCCCGTCCCCCAGCCCCGCCCACCCACACCGCAGCCTTCTCTGACCCCCAGCGCCGCCCACCCACACCACGGCCTTCCCCAGCGGCGGTCGGCTGACCTCGTAGTCGATCCGGGGCCGGTTGAGGGCGATGTTGATGGTGTAGGTGGAGCTGTCGCAGTGGGGCCTCAGTTCGCGCTGAACGTCTGGCGTGTAGCGCACCACGAAGTTGGCGCCCGCGTACGGAGGCTGTTAGCAACGGAAATCAGAACCTGCGACACTGGGCGACAGACACTGTGCTTACCACGGACGAGCGGGAGACATGTGGCCAGCGTACTCTGCACAGGGCATCTCCGAATCCTTTACGCTCTGGACTACAAGGCGTGAGACATCTTTGTCAATATCAGACCAGCGGCTCACCCGGCCGACCAGCGTGGTTTACCACGTTGGGAGCGTGCTCGCAACCACGCAAGCTGTCGCTTCCCGTCCCGTGCTAACGGGCAGGAAAGGTCGCGAGCCCTTGGGCCGTAGTAGATGTATACGCCACCCAATGATGTGGCGATTGACGACCCAGTGAATTTAGGCCATGATGACGGCTACCCCGCCCCCCCCCCCCCCCGTGCTTTGGAACGACAAAATAGTGCGTTTCGGTCTGATCTTGTGGAGCATAAGTGCACGCCCATTGCCTGCGTTTCCACGAAGTTTATCCTCAACACATGCCTTACCTGATGCGTGCGAGGTGAATATTGCAGCTCTAGCACACGCTGGACGTCCCCAGCTCCCATCTTGTGCCCACTCTAACCACATGCAGACGGATGTCGTCGGTCGCCACATTACCGTAGCGTTCCGTGTCAGTTACGTAGTTCAGAAACCGAACGCGCATTCCAGTTCCGGTCTTCCTGCGCGGAACCCACCTCCCGAATGTGGCCGTTGAAGACCTTCTGCTGGAGCGGCATCACGAACTTGTGCAGTACCTCCAGCCACTTGTCGTAGAAGCCCACCTCCTCCATCTGGATGTCGTCGGTTGGCACCGGATCATACTGGATCAGGCGGCCCGTGTTCTGTTGGGAGCGACATCACTCACTGTCACCTCCAGCTCCAGTTGTCCTCACCTCTCCTCGGGTACCAGGGAGGAGAGAGAGCCTTCTGTCGAGGGCTGGGGGGAGGGCTTACTAATGATTTGTCAACATCGCAAATTTATATTTATGAATATTTATCAGAACAATATCAATGAAGATAATTACCGAACCACGGCCATCTTTAGAGCACGTGGGTGTCGTGCGGACACTCTGTCCAGCACCGTACCTACGGCGCTGAAGAGCACGCTTTAGAACAGAAGCACCGCGCCGCGGACGCGTCACGGACTACCCAAAATTACGACCAATGATATCCACGAGCAGACCTTTGCGCCGCATTGGGACGGCCTTGGCAAGTCGGCTTCACACAGTGACCCACGCATCAGTTCACTGTCGACTCAGGAAAAGACCCGTTGAGAGCTATGGGCTACCACCGGCCTCCCAAACGTTTGATACCGGGATCTTTTTCCATTCGCGCGCTGTCGCCACCTTGTGTTGCTGAGAATCGGCAGCGCTTCATCACCGATGCCTGCCCTCAGCTCATCAGCGCACAGACAAGGAGACGTACGCCGGTGGAATGCAGCTACTTACCACCTCGGCGTAGTGTAAGCCCGCATCGCTACAAACCTGATCGAGCGCTCCACAAATCCGGACCAGTGACCCAGGCCGCCCCGCCCCGAGATGCCCTATAAACCGTGCGCCTAGCCTGCCCAGAGAGCCGCTCCCAGCGGGAAGGGACACACCAGGGCGTCTCGCCTAAGCCGAGAGCCAGTCTCCGCAGCCGGAGGCGTGCCAGGGGCGCCGGCACACCACGCCAACAGACGCTGAGATGAGTAGGTCGTGTATTTGGAAGACACGGGCGAGCTGGCGGTGTAGCGCCGCCGCCGCACGCGGCCTGGCAGTGAGGGGACACAGTGTGGAGGAAGGTGGGAGCCGACGCTGACACACCAGCGTAAGCTACTCCGCTTTTACCACACCCGTGTCAGAAACAGGGAGGCACAGTACACAGGGCCGGGCGAAAAACACTCACATCTTACCGGCAAACAATCTCGTCGACGAATAATCTCAGCAAATGTGATACGACTCTCACACACAAGCATCTAAAAACGCGTCGATTCCGTACAAATAGATCGCGATTGCGCAATGGCCGTACCACAGTCCCAGAACATTGTTAGAAATATTAAAATCGCTTCACAGGGCGCTTAAAAAATATCGAAGCATTATTGCAATGCCATGGCTGCGGACCATTCATTTTGTGATACGTTCAGCCACGCCGGGTCGCACCTGCAAGTCAAAAAACGGTTGTGAAACAAAACTTTTCCCTAGAACCCTTCAGTAACAGCATTGTGCGAGAGCGATGCATCGACCCTGCGTCAGGACACTGAAGGGCATATAATCAATCTAAAGCGGCCGCAACGTGTCACCAGTGTAATGCCTCGGTCTCGCGCTGCACTCGGCGAGCCGCTAAACACGACAGCACACCAGCCTCGCCAGCAGACACACAGCACCAAACAATCCCCGCTGCCGGCTGGGTCGCCGGCCGGGCCGCCGGAGGCTCTCAGCGCGCCTCCTCGCCGCCGCCGCCGCCGCCGCCGCCGCTCACGGGTCGACGAACGAGATCATGATGTAGCGCGTGCCGGCCGTGGTGGGCAGGCCCTCGTGGAAGTGCGTCAGCCGGCCCGGATGCATGAGCACCCAGCCCGGACGCGAGTCCTTGACGGAGCAGTTGTAGCGCAGGAACCGGCAGCCGCCACCCTGCGGCGCGCGCGCGGCTCGGTCATGGAAGGCGGCGGCGAGCGGCCGGCGCCGCCGCGCGCTCAATCCGTCACAGTCACACACAGAGGGAGAGACTCGGCATCGTGACAGCAACGACACGGCACGAGCGCAGCATTCGCCGCTACCCGGCGTCATGGGAAGGGACCGTCAAGTGTAGAGGGTGCCCGGAGGTCAGTCGGCGTCATCACGCAGCAGCGAGGTCGGGTTGAGGACTCGGTGAGCGGCACCCTCATCAAATGGACTGTTCACTAAGTGATGAACTAAAATAGCCGCCATGAATTGGCACGGCAATTGGCAATTGGCAAAGCGGAATAAATCTCGAATCCCACTGGGCCAAAGGCTTGTCACCTGACCAACCACATCGCGCCTACACCCGCTGCCGTCAATGCAGCTCCGATGTGTCAGCAACCCGCCTCCAACCCCGTCTTGAGCACCCGTGCCGTAGTTCACCTCGCATCTGCCTGTACTCTCCCCTCCCCCTACTCCGCGCGCCTGCGCCAGAGACGGCAGGCGTCCGGCCGCGCGGTACCTGGTAGTCCACGCCGGGCTTGTTGAGCGCCACGTTGATAGTGTAGGTAGACGAGTCGTGGTGCGGCCGCAGCGACGGCTGCTCCTCCGGCTTGTAGCGCACCACGAAGTTCATCAGTGAGCGCGGCGGCTGGCGGGGGCGGGGCGTTCGGTCACCAGGGGGCGGCGGCGGCGGCGGACGCCGAGAGGGGGGGGGGGGGGGGACTGCCACCAGAGACGGCGCGGCACAGGTATGTGACATGTCACCAGACTTCTCACAACCTTTCTGGGTGGACACATGCCGATGGTGAGCAAGCAACCATGAAAGCGCCTCACCATATGCATACAAGTGCTGCAAGTGAAGGAAATCCCAACATCATCTTAAATAACTAAACCCGTCTCATATCGTGAAAACCAAATGTACGGCATCAGGCCTGAGCATGTCATCAGATTGAACGTGTGTAACAAGACGGACAAAGTCCGCTCACACGCAATGCTAATAATACAATGATTGGTGAAAGGACAGTCAGTGACGCCGTAGGAAATCAAATGCTTCACGTCACCCCAGTCGACCACCCACAAAGTAACAAGGTTCCTAATGTCAACCATCCGGGGAGCCGCCAGAAAATGCAATGCCGTCATGCCACCAGTGTCCTTAATAAATGGCTTTGCAGCCGCATGCAGTGCCCTGCAACCTAGAAAACAGTGACGTCGTGAGTCGGGGGACAAATTAAAAGCATTAAGTACAAATCACACTCCCATTCACATTTGGGGCTAGCCCCTGACCTGCAATACAAGAACTAATACGGAAAGATGTGCTCCCGATAACCAGCTGACGTTCTCACGCTAAACGCCGTTTGTTCCTAAAAAAATCACGAAGCTCACATGCACTGCACTCAGATATTACGAGCAGGTGCGCGAGACATATCAACGCACGTCCTTTACACTAGTACATCCGTAGATGCGCATCAGCTCGAGGCGAATCTGTACGGTGCTGAAGAAAGCCATAACCACCACAACCGCAGCTGACTCTGCTCCCACTAAACATGAGAACATCTCAGTGAGAGGCAGCGACGTTAGTCCGAGCTCGCCGACCGCCGCCGTCCCAGCAGCCGTCGTCTCCTCGCTGTCCACCGCCGTCCACTGCCGTCCCGCCACCACCACCGTCACCGCCGCCGCCACCACCGCGACGCTCCGTGCGCTCGTGCAGCCGCCGCCGCCGCCACCCGGCGCTTACTTGGCTCTCGTATCCCTCGAACACCTTGGCCTGCAGCGGCGACACGTAGTCGCGGAGCAGCGCCAGCCACTCGGTCTCCATGCCAATCTGCTTCATGTGAATGTCGCGAGTCGGCACCGACTCGTAGCCGCCCTCGAGCCGCACGTCCTGCAACACTCGGTCGAGGTCAGCCGCGCGCCGCCGCCGCCGCCACGGCACCCACGTTATGGAAGTAGCCGACGAAGAGCTTCTCCTGCATCGGTCGGACGTACTCCTTGAGCAGCAGCAGCCACTCGCGGTCGTAGCTGATCTGTTTCATGTGGATGTCGCGGGTGGGCACGTTCTCGTAGCCGCCGTCCAGCCGCTCGTCCTGGGGTCAGAGGTCACCGGGCGGCGCGTCACGGCGCGCAGGCGCGGACAGCAGAGGAAGAGCCCGCACCGACACCCGGACGACGCAGCTGTGAGATGCGCAGGGGGGGGGGGGGGGGAGCGAACGGCCAGCGCCGGAGCTGGAGCCAGCGTCAGAGAGCACTCTAGGCTTGCCAACGAATTTCGTGAGTTGAATACACTGATGTCTTTAACTTGATGTTTGAAGGGAAAAACAAAGACATTCTTAGGGCACGGTTGTGGTAAGTTTCGCACCCGTGCCAAAATGAGAATAGTTTCATGACTGTCAATCAAAGCGTTCGAAATTTTCGCGGTGAGCCTGGATCTGCGTCAATCACAGCAGCTGTGTCGATGTTGAGACAGGTCGACAGAACAAGAACGAGTGCATGGCAGCATTCCCATGAGTAAGAAGAGACGTGCACCGATAAAAAAACATGCATTGGCCACAGACAGCTTGGTCAACAAACTGCTGCAATATCTGGCCTGGCATACTATTAACAGAAGATTGGCAACGGAACTATTTATCACGAAAACGAATACCGGAACAAAAGCAAGAGCCTTACCCAAACAGGACATTGTACCACACCGAATTATTTTAAACCCCGCACCTAACTGAGACAAGGTAAAGTTACGTTTCCCAGCGACGTCTATTATCTTTGTGGTCACCATTCGCTAGCACTGAATAACACCTTTGCATGATAAACGTCACTTACTACAAAACCAAAGTTGATAAAGTCCCCATTTACAGGGTCCCTATTCCGATTCACATATTTGGAGTTTCGGCCAGTTTGGATCTGAACTGAACGAAGCATGTCAAGTGGCAATGTCGGTCAGCACGTCCCAGGCCGCGCAGCGGTCAGCCAAACCCACCACCGTAACGTGAGTAAGCCATCACGTACCTGCGTCGGTCACAGGTCACGGGTCACGTCACAGGTCAGCTGTGCTAGCCGCGTTAGAAAGTCGGGGAAAGTCGGGGAAGTAGAGCCGCGAGGTCGAACGAAAGCGCCGCGAACAGCAATAGCCGTTAAGAAACGTATCTCGCGATATCGAAGAGGGAGAAGTCTCGCAAAGACATTCTGAAGTATCTCTGAAGGATGTTCAGAGGTAGCTCAAGAGCATGCGTAAGTACAGTCAGGATGGACTGTGCACGACAAGTTGCCACCCTCCTGGACAGTGGCCAGACATCAGAAAAGTGTCACCGGCAATGAAAACGTAACTACTTCCGCGTGCATCGTCGGCATTAAACATTTCTTGCGAACCGATCAAAAATTGCCATTGAAGTCTCAATCCCATCATCTGCAGTGGTGGCATCGACACGGTCATGTCCTTGGCAAGGTCAAGTGTGCTACACAGCACATGTGTAACAAACGCATGACCAACAGCACGTACATTCACATTACATCTGCCACGCCATTTCCTCCAAGATGAGTGTTGTTGCCGTTTTACGCCAATTAAATACTAAGCACGGCCTTGACACATAACCAACGTTGATCCATGATTAGATAGAAGGAAAGTGTTACGAGTTCACAAGCTTTTACGCTGCGTTATCGACCTTCAACGTACCAAGAGGAATTGGTAAAACAAAGTTATGGAGCAAAAATTGGTTACATGGAAATTAGTTGTAAACAACTATAATGTACCCTCTTGAAATTTTTGACACTTCCAGCTCTGCGTGACACGTGATTACAAGCCGTTCCATCAGGACACTACCCAGCCAGTTCAGCAGGATCGGTAAACATTTGGCGAAATATACAAATACGCAGGCCTTGCTTGGCCTGAATATTAGTTGCCTGAACCAAAATATGCATCGTAGCCGAGAAAAATCAATGCACGTGACGAAAACACATCTGGGTTGTTACCTTATCACGACATTGACTACACCGCACTACCGCGGAAAACTGATTAACTCGTTGACTCCCCTGCCTCTGTTGACTACTCTGAATCTGTTGACTATTCTAGCTCTGTTGACTACCCTGCCACCGCTGACTTTTCCGCACACTGAACTCTTCTGGCCCTCTTCATCCAAGAAAAGGGGCCTCAGCTGCTACAACCAATGTCAGGATAAACTTATCCAGTTTAAATGAACTTCGTTTACAACTAAAAAAAAAACTGCCGGCGCGGAAGTCTTCTACATGTTGAGCGTTACCCTGTCGTGTTCACAGTCCCACAGTCGCCCGCCTGTCCGGCTGCGTCATCACCGCATCTCTCGGCTTTGTCTCCGTCCGCGGCGACCTGTCTCTGCCTGTCCAATGTGTCAGCCTCCAAGCGGATCGTGTCACACCAGCCCGAAGTTTGAGCCTGACACCCCTCCGTGTCAGTCTGAGCCTGACACCACTCTGTGTCGGTGTTACGGCGTCTGAGCCTGACAGCCCTCGGTGTCAGTGTCACGGCGTTCTGCCTGGCCCGGAATCTGAGCCTGACACCCCTCAGTGTTGGTGTCACGGAGTCTCACCAGGCTGGTGTCTGAGCCCGGAACTACTCGGTGTCAGTGTCACGGCGTCTGGGCCTGACATCCCTCGGTGTTAGTGTCATGGGGTCTCACCAATTCGGTGTAAGAATCTGACACCCTTTAGTGTCAGTGTCACGGCGTCTCACCGGTCCGGCGTCTGAGCCTGACATCCCAGCCGCCCTCGGCCGGTCGGCGGACTCTCACCTCGTTGGTGCCGGACGACCACTGGCCATAGTCCTCCATGGTGTCAATCAGCTCGCGGCAGAACCGCTCCGTCACCAGCGGGAACCAGAACACGTCCGGGCAGGGCTGCGGCGAGCGCGGCGCCCCATCAGGCATGTAGCGACGCCGGTAGCGCGGCGGGCCGCTGGGATCGGCGGCTCCGCCGCCTGCCCCCAACGCCAGGGGGTCGGAGCGAGGGACGGCATCGGGGGAGCACGGCGGGACTGGACCGACCCGCCGCGCTGCCAGGAGACTCAGCTGGGGCACGCCCGCTCGACCTAGCGGCCGGTGTGCGCGGGCCGGACCGCGGAGCCGGCCCGTCACGCCGGCCAGCCGGGGCACACTTCGGCGCTCGGCCGCCCCACGATCCACACGCCCTGGCCTCTGACCAGCAGTGGAGAGGCAGCTGCAGCTCGAAAGATACCGACATCTCGCTCGAACCCAGCGCAATGACCACGTGACATGACAAGCCGGAAAATCCCATCACCGACACGCGAAGCCGTCGCGTCGCGCGGTTGGAGACGTCCACAGACGCGCGGTTGGAGACCGCCACAGACGCGCGGGTGGTGACTGCCATAGACGCACGGGTGGTGGCCGCCACAGACGCCCGGTTGGAGACCGCCACAGACGCGCGGTTGGGCGGCGACCGCTCACCATTTCGTTCTGCGTGTCCTTGTCGAGCGCATGCGAGTAGTTGGGGTGGAGATAGCGGTGCTCCCAGTCCCAGCGGTTCTCCGTGATCTGCCACATCTCGTTGAACAGATGCGTGGTCTCGAACGCGTCCGTCGAGACCAGGTGACCGAAGCTGGCGCGGTTCGACACGTACATGAACTTGTCCTGCGGGTGCGCACGGGGCCGCAGGGTCACATCGCCGGCCCGGGACGGAGTCCCCGCCAAATGGCGGCACGGCGGGGGCGCTCCTCGCGTACACGCCGTCGTCGTGCTCAGCTCGCGACCTGACGATCCCAGCCGGGGTTTAAAGCGCCCCCACTGATCCCCAGTGACAGCTTCACAAGTCGGGATCTAATCGGCCCTTTATAGGTCTCTCCCCGCGGTTTTGTCAACTTGGTTGCCGTGATGATTGCTTTGAGTTCTTGCGTGATGCGCAGTAAGCAACACGAGTTCTAAGCGTGTGTGTTTTGCGAGTGTGAACCCAGAAATCTCAGCTGAGACCAGATGGAAAAATGCAGCAGGCTGAGGGCGGGAGTGAATGTCAGGCCAAGACGTTCAATCCTCACATGGTAACATTACCGCGTCACAACGTTGGCCGGTGCTCTACACCATAAAAAAATCCCGGGCTCATTGAAAACGGCCTGGATGGAACAATACTCAGCACAGCTGCTGGCTGCCGCAATGGTGAGATGATCCGTTCGAACGTGGTTTGCGGCGAATCGAGCACTGGGTCACCTGCCCCGAGCACGTAGTCACGGAAAACACCCAGGTAAGTTACCAAAGACCACAAACTACAGCCGTTCTGCACGTCCGTCAAAAACCCCACAACCTGCAAAAGACAACTTCCAACGCGGAAGCCATGCACAGCCAGGCTTTACAACTCAACGTCACACGACGCGCGCCCGCCCGTTCTGAAGCGCACCGGGCCGGCAGACGGGCGCCTGTCCACTCACCGCGTCCCGCAAGTTCTCGCAGAAGGCCATGTCGGCGTCCAGCAGGTTGTTGATATAGTTGGGCCGTGTCTTCTCGTCGTCCAGCACGGCCCGCTTGATGAGGTAGCAGACCGAGATATACGGCACGTTCCAGATGCCCCTGCCGGCAGCGAACGAATCCTTGAACACAGGGGTGTCACTTTCTGAAATCGGTCGGGGGGGGGGGACTCAGCCGAAAAGGCTGACTTAACCCACCCCAAGCATGAGTTGTCCCCGGATTTCGGTCAGATCGGTTTGCGTCTTCGATGTCAACATAACAAAGTTGCTTGCTGTTTCGTAGATTCAACATGGTTTTCCTTCTGAGGAATGACTTCCCATTTCGAGTGGCTGTAAGCTGCCTTTTGTGAATGGCTTGATATGGGGTGAAAATCACAGAAAAAAACATCTAACTAAATCTTAGTAAAGGATCACGGATGACTACCGCGGCCGCTGACCGTGTTGTACAACCACCACAACCGCGATTATGCGACAAACACAGTAGCAGCTGTTGGGGAGAAAATTCGTTAACTTGTATCTGGGTCACCATGTACTTTTTAAAGCTGCCGCATATTGCAGTCAATTGTCCTTTATCCTGACTCAGGCGCTATCCTTTGAAAAAAATTGCCAAACATTTGCTGTCTGACATAACATATGAAGGCGTTAGCGTGATAACAACATTATAGGTACCTACAGTATATTATTGAGTAAAAAATTAGCATGGAACCAAAAGTGATGTGTTTAGGTACCTACTACCTGGTATACCAATAGTTAAGATAATCATTCCGCATTAGTTTGTACTTCCTCTTTGCTCAAATACATTGCGGGGGTTAGGTGGAGCCTGGGGGTGGGGGTGGGGGTGTGGGTGGGAGCTCAGCCCCCCCCCCCCCCCCCCCCCCAAGTACAGAAAGTGGAACTTCTGCTTGTACACTCGAAAGCTGCTGACCAAAGCAATCAGCTCAAAGGTCAAATGTTGAAGTCAGGCTAAGGCCAAAAGCCGGTCAGGCCAAGGTCAGTTATCAGTCGGCTATGTACGAATAGATCCCCCAAAACCGCCAGTGTCCACCGTGTGCAAATAATACAATGATGTTTAAAGGCAACTCGACGGAGAAACCGTCCTAAAGATCCACCCGCCCATCCGATCCCATTAACCTTCCATAACCCAACCAACGGAGTCTTCCACAATCTCACAAACGGGCCGAACAGAAAGACGCACTTCGGCACGTCTCCCTGCCGAGTGCTTTGTCTTGAGCCGGGAGCGGGTGTTTTGCCTGATGCGTAGACGTTTGGCCGCGGTCCGGCCGACGCCGTCCCTAAGTGCGGCGGCGCCGGCGCCTGCTCAGTGAGCCGGCGCCCACAGCCGGGGATGGAGCTTCCGCGCGCGCTGCTGGCCGCCGGGGCGCTGGCGCTGGCGCTGGCGCTCTGGCCGGCGCCAAGCGGCGCCAGCCTGCACCTGCCCAGCCGGGACCTGTGGCGCAAGTCGTCCGTGTGGCGGCTCGTGCCGCAGCAGCACGAGTACCCGCACCACCGCAACGAGTTCATCACGCCCGGCAAGCCGCTGGAAGGCGCCAAGCGACGCAGGCGACTACGGGACCCCGACAAGGTGGGCCTCCTGGTGCTGTCGCACAGAACTGGGCGGGACTCATGCCAACTCGACCAGGGCTCACCCAAAACTGACGGGTGAGCCTGCTCAGGACGCCAAGTACCATGCAGACTGGCTTCACCGACGCTGCCAACTGCAGGCTTCCCATCGTATTCCCACCCCAATGCTCTGAACATCGCGTGGTGCCGTCCGACCTGACGTGATGTACCCCAAATAGGACCTGACCCAAGCCTGCCTCAGACTCCCGTAGTATCACAGACCCTCTCGAGGGCCCTGGCCGGGACTAACAATGGACCCCTGACCGGACATGGGCCGTCTCCAGGTCCGCATCACCCAATCGTCCCACTACGAGCTCAAGTACACGCTGGGCCGCAAGATCGTCTTCATCTGCGTGGCCAAGGGTCGGCCTAGGCCCCAGATCACCTGGTTCAAGGACGGCATTGAGCTGTACGCCCACAACTTCTTCAAGGTACGCCGCGCCACCGTTCAGAGGCGTGGCGACCGGACGCGCCTGTACCTGCTGAGCACCAACACCGTGTCTGACCAAATGTCCGCCCGCTGGCTTCCGTTGCGGGGACATCATTGTTTGGGTTTCTCACGCAGCATGAATCGAGGTTTTATCGTGCATGAGAACTTGACATGAGCTAGCGACACAGTTCAGTCTAAGCCCCTGTTAGGTCAGCCTTGATATATTCCGTGTAAGTTTAGTATAAAGTTTAAACGTTTAATCTACCAACAGAATTTCAACTTCCAGTGCAGAAGCAACGGTTTCTTCTTGGGTACTTCTTGTGTACTTGCCGGGGTAGAGCTTCGTGTGACAAACGTGCCCAGGTCTGGGTCGCAGCTTTCATTCGCGCACCATACTCACACAGCTACCTGCTCGACTGGGACTGAGTGGCGCGCCGACGTCAAGCCCGACCGACGACAGAGCACCTCTGTCCTCAGCTGCACGAGTGGCAGATCGGCAAGCAGCGCTTCAAATCAAAGATGGAGATCGACCCGGCCACCCCGATGGACGTGGGATTCTACGAGTGCGTGGCGGACAACTTCCACTCGGTGGACATCCGCGGCTTCCGCACCGAATACACCGCCTCGTGAGTACCTGCGTGGTGGACAACTTCAGCTTGGTGGACATCCGCGGCTTCCGCACCGAATACACCGCCTCGTGAGTACCTGCGTGGTGGACAACTTCAGCTTGGTGGACATCCGCGGCCTCCGTACCGAGTACACCGCCTCGTGAGTACCTGCGTGGTGGACAACTTCCACTCGGTGGACATCCGCGGCTTACGTACCGAGTACACCGCCTCGTGAGTACCTGCGTGGTGGACAACTTCCACTCGGTGGACATCCGCGGCTTCCGTACCGAGTACACCGCCTCGTGAGTACCTGGTACACCGCGCGCTGCGTCGGCCGGCCTACTCTGACCGCCGGCTGCAGCACGACCGCGGGGAGAACTGCGTCACTTTCGGCGCCGCCGCCGGGGTCGGCCCTCCGTGGGCCGCGGCGGCGCCGGGACGGACCTCGCCGCCGCCGCCTACTGACGCTGCTCCCCTCCTCCACAGGATCGTCATGGAGCCCCGCGCCGGCTGACAGGGTCACCGCCACCGCCGCCGCCGCCGCCGCCGCCGACAGCGGTGAGTGACGAGGGAGGTCGGGGAGGACCGGCGTCGCCCCGGCGCCGGCCCGGAGTCACGTGCTGCGGCACGGCAGCGCGCGCCGACGCTCCACTACCCGACAGATGTCGCAGCTCACGGTTTGTTCCCGTGCTCGTTCACTCCAGCTGGCTGCGCACCACGGAACCAAGCCGCGCACCGGATACCGCTGGCCGTTTCCTGCCTCATATCCCGACCTCAACCGAGCGCGTGACAGCTACTGACATCTCCTGACAGCCGTCAGTCATCATCGGTCAGTGAGGCGCCCCGACAGCTCGAGCTCGCCGCCGTTCTGGCACCGACTCCCAGGGCGTTTGTCTCCGTCCGCAGGGCGACGCTGGGTTCGGGAACGTGGCCTGGAGCTCAGGAATACGCCGGCCGACAGGGTCCAGGGTGCTGAAGACACGGGGCCGACGCTGCCTCGCGATGACCTCAGCCGCGTCACGACGGCCGCCGCTGCGTCACGACTGACACCGGCGAGCCACAGCGTCTGCGCGGTACGCAGGGGCAGTGGTCGCGACGCCCTGATGTGCCGTGGTCGCATTACTACAGCGCGCCGGGGTCAGCCCAATACTTCAGAGGTCATGCCAAACAGGTTTGTTCCCGTACTGAGCAGACGTATCGTCATCACCCACCACAGCTAGCTCAGCGCAATCATGAGTGTCTCCATCCAATATCATTAATATAAAAGCATAGATTTCCCGTTTGTTTTGGTTGGAGCATGTACTCCGCATCGTGGGGAGAGAGAGCGGATAAAGTTGTTGAAATCAGCGGCTATCAATAGCACCGCTTCAAATATAATCTATTCCAACACAATTTAATATATACCTAATCGTTGCGCTCTTCATCAACAGCAAACGGTATTCGTTGAAATATAAAGAAAATATAACTGACATTTCATACAACGAATAGTCGGAGTACAGCACCACAAGTGCACCCTTCAACACCACGTTAAACGCAAACCATACCTCAAAAAGAACCTGTTATTAAAATCGATATATAAAACAGGTCGATATGATCAACAGATAGTGATTGTGAAAAAGCATCGATGCGATGGAGAGGATCAGCAGTCATGGTTCAATGAGAAAACAACGGACCCTTATTTCACACGGCACATGTATGGTGGCAGCAGAGCCGTCCGTCATGAAAAATGTCGGCGATTTATTTGGAACAAGCGGCAAGTGATTGCCACTTTATGCCGACGCCATTTCGCTCAGAACAATGAGCAACAAATCAGCGCTAACAATCCCACCCCATTTCGGTCAACTGGGTGTTTTATCACGGTCGCGTCCTAATCCAGGCCGAGGAGGAGCGGTAACAGTCAACCCGAGTGACACAACCAAACAAGAAGATATCTCAAACGAATCTGAACTGAGCAATGCGAACCGCTTTACCCTTAGATTTCCGTCCTAACTGGCACAAGGGGAATCTACCAAATCAAAACATAAACGTTTATCAAACTTCCTACAGTACCCTAAATGAAAGCTGTTTTTAGTTGATATGTCAAAGGGGGCAAAAAAAACTGCACAACACTCAGGACGAATGACGATTTTCGTCGTTAGCAGACAATCGAGATCGTAACTCGTTGCTTTCTCCGCCAAGCGTACCGCTGCTCGGTGTCCGATTACTGGAGCTGGCCGTCCCCGGGTCCGACCCGGGGTCCGAGGCGCCCCCCTCCCCCTCCCCACCCCATCGCCAGGTTCGCGGAAGGCCGCCCTCCGAATCAGAACACGACACACTGAGGCCCGGCGCAAGCATAACGAGGAAGTGGTCAATTGTCGGCAATCGCTCTCCATTGTGGCGCAGACGGCGGGGCTCTGGCGGCGCCAGCTGGCCAGAACTCACTCAGCTAGTCAGAGCTCGCTCAGCTGGTCAGAGCTCGCTCAGCTGGTCAGAGCTCGCCCAGCTGGTCATAGCTATCAGTTGCCGGAGCTCGACAACCTCGGCTGCGGAAGCGCAGGAAGAGGGGAGGGGGAGGGGCACAGGGGACACGTGCCTTCTCCTTAGGTTCCGAGGGGCCATTTGGGCCCCCCGGAACCTTAGACTAAGCATCCGATTTGAGGGCCCACAGGGCCCGAAAGGTCGACCGGAAGTTGTATTCAGGGGTCCCGGCCCACAGAGCCGGGCCCTCTAATGCCAGTCAGAGGGCTCTCCGCTCTGATCAGGGGTTCCCTGAGTCGATAAGGGTCCATATGTAGGTCAGCCATCACCAGTAACGCACAGTCTGCTACGCGGCGGCATGGGCCTAAGAGCCCATTCCGTACGCAGGGACAAAGCCGGAGCTAGTTATTAACATTGGTCGGGGTCGCAGCGTGTATCAGGACCCCACAGCGCCTAACGGGGGCCCTGTGTTGGCAAGGAGTCTCGAGTCAGCCAGAAGCAGTGTTCGAGATGGTCTGAAGAGCCTCAAGGGGGCTCGCCGGGTCGACAATCAAAGGCCCCATCGGAGGATCTAAGGGCACGAAGGGCTTATCGGAGTCTAATTCAGAGGCCCCGGCCTGCGGGGTCAGGCCCTCAAATGGCAGTCAGGGAGCCCTTGGAGCCTATCAGGGACACCCTGAGTCAACTTTGCGAGCATTTGCGAGCGCGCTTGTTCCAAATAAATTACGGCACATTATTTGCATCACTATCGATTCTGGTTGAATATTGGATTGTCTATTTCCGTCAACGATGCGCCCTGCCCTTGCAGACCTCTGGCTGCGCGTCTGGCCAGCTGGTCCGAGGTCAGTCTGCCAGTCCGGTGTGCCGGGCTCAGTCTGCCAGTCCGGTGTACTGAGCTCAGTCTGCCAGTCCGGTGTGCTGGGCTCAGTCTGCCAGTCCGGTGTGCTGGGCTCAGTCTGCCAGTCCGGTGTGCCGGGCTCAGTCAGCCAGTCCGGTGTGCTGGGCTCAGTCTGCCAGTCCGGTGTGCCGGGCTCAGTCAGCCAGTCCGGTGTGCCGGGCTCAGTCAGCCAGTCCGGTGTTGCCGGGCTCAGTCTGCCAATCCGGTGTGCTGGGCTCAGTCTGCCAGTCCGGTGTGCTGGGCTCAGTCTGCCAGTCCGGTGTGCTGGGCTCAGTCTGCTAGTCCGGTGTGCTGGGCTCAGTCTGCCAGTCCGGTGTGCCGGGCTCACTCTGCCAGTCCGGTGTGCTGGGCTCAGTCTGCCAGTCCGGGTTGCTGGGCTCAGTCTGCCAGTTCCGGTGTGCTGGGCTCACTCTGCCAGTCCGGTGTGCTGGGCTCAGTCTGCCAGTCCGGTGTGCCGGGTTCAGTCTGCCAGTCCGGCGTGCTGGGCTCAGTCTGCCAGTCCGGTGTGCTGAGCTCAGTCTGCCAGTCCGGTGTACTGAGCTCAGTCGGCCGGTCCGGTGCACTGAGCTCAGTCGGCCAGTCTGGTGTACTGAGCCCAGTCACCCGTTGAGAGCTCGGGTCTGACCCCAGCGGAGCCCCCGCCACGCGCACCTAGAGCTCGCGGGCGTCACCAGCGCCGCTCTGACACCAGTGCCTGGCCTGGCCTGGCCTGGCCGTGCAGCCTCACATCGGTCCACTGACGGCCCCAGCCAGACCGGCGCTCCGGATCGGAGGGACCAGCCTTCCGGTGGTGCCAGTGATGACTCCCCCCCCCCCCCCCCTGGCAGCCCCGTCTACGTCACCCCCGGCAGTGGCGCGTCAAGTGCCGGCGGCTCTCGTGCGGCGCCACCACGCCACAGTGGCTCCGATCTTTTGCTGCGGCTCGATGGCCAACGCAGTCAGCCAATGAGAGCGCAGAAACGACCGGGGACGCGGGTCGCGATTGGCAGGGAGAGAACGCTCCCCGATGACGCGAAGGAAGTCGCTGGGACCGTATGGATTTGTAGACGCAAGCTTCAGAATGGCAAGGCTGAGTGTAGCGGCCAAATTCCGGCGTATTTGGAGATGCGCGTTCAATTACTATGCTACATGCATGGTATGCGTGTGACGTTGCACACTGCGTACATGTATCCGTGCGTGTGGACAGATGCTCATGTTTAAAACGCACCGTCGCCTCTGACGGCATATCCCCTGCACAGCCTTTGCTGGCTTCAGCAGCCAGAATGCCCCCACGAGTTTGGATGATGCAGATGTAAGATTGCCAAAGCTAGTTATATGCAAAGACAGAATTGTTCACAAAATCCGCGCTGCTCATGCACGCCACAAATGGTTCTACCACCGGCTGTTCGCGTTGCAGTTTCAGAATGCAACGAACCGGTGTCACCCAGTGGATCCAAAATAACGCGGAGACAAGCGTGAGTTTCCGGGATGTGGGGTTCTGGGCGTATACTAATCCATCTGCCCACGCCCTGGGACGCTGCGGCCGCCATCTTTCGCGCGACCACAGCTCGTCAGCACCCCTTGCACGGCCCACAAAACGATGCCACTGGGGGAGTTCACCTCACACCAGAATGAATCCCCCGACGCAGTACGGTATCTCAGCACTAGTAGTAGCTTCAACGAGCGCAAGCGATGGCGCCCTTCACCGACATCTGCGCTGCATACAGTCCTCAGGTTCAGCCTTAAAGCGTCTGCATCGACGATGATGATAATGATTCGGGCTGGAGGGTGCTCCGACTACAATGGTCAAATGGCGTGTCTGTAACGCCTCTCACGCGCCACGCGAGAGGGTAACCCACGGGGCAGCGGCGGCATGGGCACTCACGTGCGGCGGCCCTCCACGATGTCCATGTAGTCGACGGAGCGGGCGTAGAAGCCGTCGGCGGTGAGGGAGCCCCAGAAGTTGCTCCAGGCCTTGTAGGGACGGACGAGCAACGGAGCCACGATGTCCCTGCGGGGGGGGGGGGGGGTGTCGGCGTCGGACGGTGATCAGGGGTCACAACGGCCGTCTGGGGCAGGCCAGACACGGAGAGCTGGGTCAGAGTCTGGACGGGCGAGTGACCAGCAGCCGCGAATGCCACAGGCAGAGATGGATGGTGTCTGTATGATGGACATTTCATCATTCCAGATACGGTCACGCAAACCGGCAACATCGACTGACAAAGAGCACGCGGCGCTGTGTGCGCGGCGCTGTGTGCGCGGCGCTGTGTGCTCCCCGCGCGCGCAGAGGGCGCTGTGTGCATGCAGTTGGTGACACGCTTGTCTCAGGTTAGTGACGACCAACGCCGGTTCTCCCGCAGGCAAGACTGACAAAACAGCTGGTTTTTTCACGAAAGCAGATCACAGAAAAATAAAGGACAGGGGTCTTCGCTAACATAGCTACAGCCGAGGAGTGGAAAAATACTTAATCAGCATACCATGACTGTAGTAATTCCAAGACACGGGAATAAACAACATCAGTCAAGCTTCGAAACACAGCCAGTTTATGTTAAAAAAGACAGATGGACCGTCAGTGTCCCAGACTCCAGTTGATTGTACCTGTTCTGTTCGATCAGCAGCTTCAAGGTGTATGGATTATCCAGCTGAGCGTTGGCATCAATGTTGAAGTAAAAGTCAGCCTTGGTCTTCAAACACTCCTCACTGAAACAGAAACACGTGGTCAACACCAAAAACGCAAGCATTTTGGGCATGGAGACCAAAAAACACATGTTAAAACTATGAACTGAAAAGCTATTTACCATTAACGACACTGACATCACGCACACGAAATGAAACTCAATCGCAACACGGCAAAGCATCCCAAGTCAAAAACCTTAGCTTGGCATGTCTGTTAATCATCACTTATGTGAGAAACAATGAAAGGACTGCATGCGTGCATATAGCATCATGCATTCAGTGATGGACCTACAATTCCGCTTCAGCGCACTGTTGGCGTGGCCATCACGACAAACGACAACACCCGAACGGAACCCTAAAACATCGTTAACACCGATCATAATAATCCCCATCCAGGTCTGTCAAACGGTTCGAGTACAACCACACGTCACGTACAAAGAGCTCGGGTCGCTCCGCCCATCTGCTAGACCAAAACCAACTAAAGCTTTAAACTCCTCCGACGGAGGCGCTAGTGCTGCCGTAGGCCGCCGGCCGCCATGCGGGCGCGAGCCTCGGCGATGAGTCAGGCGGGATGCGGTCAGATCGGGTGACAGCTGCTGCACAAACAGCTGCTGCTGCCAGACGGTGACGAGGCCTCAGAGGCAGCCGCGGTGCCATGACCTCAGTCACCCAACCGCGAACAGACAGAACCCCAGTGGCGAACGAGTGGTCTCCGCTTCAAGACACCTCAAGCACTTTTATTCTTAGAAGTGAATATTACAGTCTATATCTAAACTTCGTGCTGGCAATCAACAATCCTCGCGCAGGAAATACTTAAACCACGACCTCGTGTTGAATTCCGCTGCGCTCGTGGCGGAAATCACGTGGCGTGGCGTGGCTCGCGCGTGGCGAATCAAGGGGCACCAGGGCCAGGGCCTGCTCGTGCTGACGCACGAGCACCAGGGCCTGCCCACCACCAATGGCATGCGCTACATCTTGGTCTCGTTTGTCGACCCCGACGTTTGATTGGCTGGCTGCAGCCGGGCTAGTTATGTGCAGCTACTGTCAGCGTAGCCAGTTGCACACAACAAAACTACACAATGCAAACAGGATGGGAGTGAATGAAGTTATGACTGATGGGAGTGAATAAAGTATGATGGGAGGATCATGAATTACCTGCAGGCACGCGCTGTACTAATACTTAGCCAACCAACGTTAACCATGCAAGTGGAATGAGCACTTTCAGCCGGCTCAAAAACTAGGTTTGCTGTTCTGTGCGAATGAACTTGATAACAAACGTAGAAATGTAAATAAAGGTAAAAACAAAATACAAATCAGGCTAAGAACTTTTAAAAAATTTAAAAAATGCCGCACATGCAGCGTAGCGCTTGGTGTCTTGTAAAGCTGGCATTGGTTGAAAGACGTTCCATAAATGATGGAGCTGCGTGCGAGGGTATGCCTTAGAGATGGTGTACACACGCAAAACACACGCAAAACAATGTACACCTAGACATGAATCCAAATATTTCAGGACTCATCAACCAGCTGTTACTAACCCACCTACCGAGACCTCGTTACGTCTGGCCCTCGCCACCCACCGAGACGCCACCCTCACCAACCCCTCCAGCCCCGACGCAGCGGCGGCGTACTCACATGGCACGGTTCCTGGCATGCCACTCCTTCAGGCCGTCGCTGTGGCCGGCCAGCGTCAACGAGGCGTACTGGGCGCCGTGCTTCTCCGCGAACGCGGCCACCTCCTTGGCGTGGTACTCGACCGCGTTATGGATGAACAGGTGGAGCTTGCTCTTCGGGTAGTGCAGGGCCCGCAGCCGGTCGAAGAACTCCTCCGTGAAGGGCGTCGGCACCTCCAGGAACACGCCCAGGAACACCACCGGGTACTTGTCCGTCTGCGGAGCGGGGCGCGTCGTCAGGCAGCTCGGCTCCCGCTCAGCCGTCCGGACGGTCAGGGTGCGGATCGCCGCGCGAGACGTGTCGAGCCTGCTGGCCGAGACCTGGCCGTGTCCACCGTGGGCGACAGCGCCACCCGGCGGCGACACGGCGCGGGCGTCCGCATCCGGCGCGACACGCCAGACCGACCGTCAATGCATAAATGACTGGATAGATGAGCAAATGATAATATCCAACCGACCAGACCTTGGTTGGCTGGCCTATGAGGCCATTAGCCAGTGTGGCTCATCCACCTAAGTCGACGCCACGGCCTGTCACGCAAACAACCCTACAGATTAGCGCAATTCCGCCAACTGAAAGATCCAGCCTGCAAGGAGCGCGACGCTGCCCTGTCGGCCCCACTCGTGGCGCCGGCGGGCAGCCGGCGCGCGCACCTGGTCACCCAGCTCCAGCTGGTCTCCCAGCAGGCGGTGCGCCCGTCTCGGGGTTCCACGAGTCGGCCAGATAGCTGCCGAGCGTGTTTCGCACCATCTTGGAGGCGCCGTTGCCGTGGATGACAGCGGCACCGTGTTGTAGGCTGTGTTCGCAGGTACGCCTCGCTGCCCTTGAAGCGCAGCTCGACGTCCGCTGAGAACGGCGCCCAGACGTCAGCGGAGGCAAGCGGTGTGTCAGGGAGGTGCCTGCGAGAGGCGCACCAGATGTCGTGGAAGGTGGGAAGCGCCAGAGGAGGCGCCTCGAGAGGCGCCAGACGCAGCGGGAGAGATAGGCAGCGCCAGGGGTGGGCGCCTCGAGAGGCGCGCCAGACGTCAGCGGAAGGTGGGCAGCGCCAGGGAGCGCCTCGAGAGGCGCGCCAGACGTCAGCGGGAGGTTGGCGGCGCCCAAGGGGGAAGCGCCTCGAGAGGCGCGCCAGACGTCAGCGGGAGGAGGGCGCGCCAGGGATGGACACCTCTAGAGGCGCGCCAGACGTCAGCGGGAGGAGGGCAGCGCCAGGGAGGACACCTCTAGAGGCGCGCCAGACGTCAGCGGGAGGAGGGCAGCGCCAGGGTGGACACCTCTAGAGGCGCGCCAGACGTCAGCGGGGGAGGGCGGCGCCAGGGTGGACACCTCTAGAGGCGCGCCAGACGTCAGCGGGGGAGGGCAGCGCCAGGGATGGACACCTCTAGAGGCGCGCCAGACGTCAGCGGGAGGAGGGCAGCGCCAGGGATGGACACCTCTAGAGGCGCGCCAGACGTCAGGGAGGAGGGCGGCGCCAGGGATGGACACCTCTAGAGGCGCCAGACGTCAGCGGGAGGTGGGCAGCGCCAGGGATGGACGCCTCTAGAGGCGCGCCAGACGTCAGCGGGAGGTGGGCAGCGCCAGGGATGGACGCCTCTAGAGGCGCGCCAGACGTCAGCGGGAGGTGGGCGGCGCCAGGGAGGCGTCTCGAGAGACGCGCCAGACGTCAGCGGGAGGAGGGCAGCGCCAGGGATGGACACCTCTAGAGGCGCGCCAGACGTCAGCGGGAGGAGGGCAGCGCCAGGGATGGACAGCTCGAGAGGCGCGCCAGACGTCAGCGGGAGGAGGGCAGGCGCCAGGGGTGGACACTTCGAGAGGCGCGCCAGACGTCAGCGGGAGGAGGGCGGCGCCAGGGATGGACAAGCTCTAGAGACGCGCTAGACGTCAGCGGGAGGAGGGCAGCGCCAGGGATGGACAGCTCGAGAGGCGCGCCAGACGTCAGCGGGAGGAGGGCGGCGCCAGGGATGGACACCTCTAGAGGCGCGCCAGACGTCAGCGGGAGGAGGGCGGCGCCAGGGATGGACACCTCTAGAGGCGCGCTAGACGTCAGCGGGAGGAGGGCGCCAGGGATGGACACCTCAAGAGGCGCACCAGAGGCGAGCAGGGAGGCGGCGACAGCCTCTCTCAGCCAGGACACCAGCAGCACAAAAGTGAAAACGGCAAAGTAAAAGTAGAAGTGCCTGTGTCAGAAGTGTAGGGAGTTGAATACAATAACCGCGCACAAAGCAATGCAAATCAGATGTAGCGAAATTGAAAATGCGGTGCGGAAGACAAGTACATCACGGACACGTAAGTGTCATGAGAGGGCACATGTCGAAAAGCTACGACAATGATGTGGTGGTACAAGACAACTGGTACAGACGCTTCTTGCCAGAGGGTACCAGCTGACATCCCAAAGCGCTCGTCATTGGTGGCCTTCGTCCCGCACCGCCAGAAAGCGCTCTGGCCCAGTACGGCGCTCAGCGCCCAGAAACGTTGGCCTGCTCTAGACCCGGCCAGCAACGACGCGGTCCCGCGCTTTGACGGTGAGCCGGTGCTGTATGCTGACCGGCGTCTCCCCCGCCATGTCACCCATCTGAACTGCCCCCCCCCCCCCCCCCCACACTACGAGCCAATCGTCGATGCGAACTTTGCACGCAATCGACCGTGGCCACACCAACAACGTGCAGACCTGTCAGAGGGCTCCCTGTCCACTTCCTAGATCGTAGCGGCAGCAGGCGGAGTCCCGAGCCGGCGGCGGCAAAGGGCACGCGCCGGACGGGCCCCACCCCGATCGGCGCCGGCGGTAGGCGCCGTCTTGCTCACCCGTGGCACCGTTCAGGTTCTGGAAGATGTTGGCCGTATAGTCCAGCTTGATACCCAGCTTGCTGCGGAGCGCCTTGTTCAGGAAGATCTTGGTGTAGTACAGCTGGTCGTCGCCGCCGTCCTCCAGCGGCTCGTGCGTCACGATCTGGTACAGCTCGGGTGCGTACCCGATGAAGGCTGGGAACGGCGAAGCCCAGGTTAGGAACACCATGCCGAACCACAGCCGAAGACGGTTGCGAAGGCGACAAACACCAAATTGACAGAACTCCAGGCATTCTGAAACCAGTAATGCCCGCGAAAGCGACAAACAAGCACCATATTGACAATACTCCAGCCATTCTGAAACCACTCATGAATGCGAAAGGGACAAACAAAAACCATATTCACAGTACTCCAGGCATTCTGAAACAACCAATGCCTGCGAAACCGACAAACACCATATTCACAGTGCTCCAGACATTCTGAAACCACTAATGCGCCACTATTTTATTATATTATGATTATTAAACCACTATATTATTATTAAACCACTATTTCTCACGTGCTAACAAAACGGGCGCCTACCTAAAGAAGCATACAGAGAAAAACATCGATTGCCAGGTGAACTTGACGTCCGTCATAAAGCGATGGTCTCGCAATCCACTGCTGTTCGAACAGATCCTTGTAACGAGTTCATCTTTGGAGAACTGCTCTGCTTGCACGCACCATTTCCATAAATCAAGATGAAGAAGGATCACTAACTATGGGGCCATGACCTATATTGAAAAGAGAAAAGAGCAGGACAGGACATGAGAAAAGAGCAGGACAAACCGTTTTGCCCTTCTTTACCCAATATTAATATACGACATGAGATTTAAGGGTAGTGGTCCTTTTCAATCATGATGTAAGGTCTGAACTTTACGCCACCAAATTTCCATACACCATACAAACGCGCCGCCGCCCGCTTCCCACGTGCAGCGCTCACCTCCCGAGTTGAGATAGGGCTTGCCCTTCTCCGGCACCGGGTACTGCGAGGCGAGCGTCTTGTCCGGCCAGCAGAAGCCCTCCGTGGAGAACACCACACGCGCCTTCATCTTCAGGAACTCGCGCACGATCTGACTGCCGCGCGCGTTGATGACGACGTCGTAGCTGTCGGTGAACATGATGATTTTGTCCTTGTCCAGCTTGTGCTTCTCCAGCTCGGCACGCAGCAGGTTGACCTTGTGCCCGCCGCCGGCGAAGCGCTTCACGTCGCCGCCGCGCCACTTCTCGCCCATGCCGAGCACCTGGCGACGAGCGCGGACGGGCGTCAGCGGGCGGCGGCGCACCGCTGCTCGGGGGAGGGCTGACCGGAGGCGACGGGGGGGGGGGGGGTTGGACCAGGAGGTCACGAGGTCACGAGGGGGGCTGCACGCAGCGGAGACGGAGTCGCGGCTGCCGCAGGGAGTCACGGCTGGCCTGACTCCCAGACTCGACCCACGAAGCCCCGACGCAGACACACGACGGCCAGCCTACGGAGCTCCCACAGCGGAGATGGATCGCCCCCACGACGCATACCACTCACATTGTAACGCTCATGCCATGCGTTTCGCCGGCCCCGAAATATGACGGGTACTCACGGGGAGAACCAAGGCAATAGGAACCACGCCACTGGCGCTGCGTCTTTCGTAACTTTCAAAAGTTGGAGCGTTGAGCGCAAAATCTAAAAACATACACACAAAATCACGAGTAATAAGCACAGTCCGGAATTTTTTCAAGGTTGCCCAGAATTTTGCTCATGACCGCTCGGTTAATCCCAATCAGACGCATCGGATTGATACACATATACCGGATCCGGTTTCCCGATATCTCCAACTGAGCTGACGACATTTCGCAAAATGTCGTGGAAACTGGTCAAACTCGTGCCTGCGGAGCATTTTAAAACGACTCCGCCGAGCGGGAGCGTGCCACGGGTCCAGTTCTGGTCCCCCGAAGCAAACGAGTCTCGACAGGTTTGAATCGGCGCGTGTCCCGTGCTGATACGCTGATATTCCCACGCACGGAGACGCGGTGTTTTCCCCAGAGGATATGCGCATGCGCGGATTGTGTTCACGTGCGGACATCGTTCTTTTCATGTCCACGCAGCATCGTAGCGCATACAGCGCTATCTCTTTCCACCCATCATCTACAAACGGGTGACCAGGCCCATGTCCACCGCAGCGTACAGAACTTCTTCCGAATAAGGAACAGAAAATCCCGAGGCCGGGGCACTCCTTGCTGAGAAGAAGAGGAGATACTATACACGTAAGGTAGAACAGTACATATATACTCGTATTTTCCAGTCAGTAACGGGAGATTATGATGCACACAAATGCCACTTAACAATGAGAGAGAAATGAAAGAAGTCAGTGCCAAGTACGACCACTGGCACGCCTCTAACGCCAATAAAAACGTCAATGTAACGCAGCAAACCTACGTCTGATTAATGCGCTAAATGGCTTTGGGACAAAGCAGCGTCCTGGTCAAATGCACCCCGCCACCACTGGCGACGGAAGACCGAGCGCGCGTGATGCCAATGGGACGACCGGGGTGCCGGCGTAGTCACTTGGGGTGGCTTCATAGTTAGGGAGAGCGTAATGCTCTGAGCTACTTTTGCATGTCAGCTCTAAGTAGCTCAGAGCATTACACTTAGGGTGACGTCATACTTGGGGAGAGCGTAATGCTCCGAGCTACTTTTGCATGTCAGCTGCACACAAAACGTTGGGTTTTGTCAAAGTTGAGTTTGTTGGCCATATTTCTGCATTTTCCGAATTGTGCTAGCCATGCCCCGCGGAGCGGCCGAGGCACATGTAGTAATCACATAATGCGGGGATCTCGTACACGGAGTGAACAATTTATTGTCACAGGCGGGTCATAGGCCATGATTGTCTATAATCAGTCGTCTAGTGACCTTTTTAGACGCTTGCGAAGTGGACATAAGCCTTATATTCGGGAAAAGTGGGGCGACTTTCTCGTTATATAGTTTCGGAAAAAGCGCAAGTCTTGCGGAACCTTTGTAATTACGTTTCGAAAGCGCGCACTCAGAAGTGTTTGGTTTTAGTGTTACGATGAGACAGTTTGCACACTGAGATGGTTTTGTGTACATTCATTGAGCTGGTATGCGCACGATGACAGCTAATCACACTTGTTTGGCATAATCCGCCAATTCACCCAGACTAACTAACGTACATTACTCCCCCTGGAAACCTCGGCCGCCCACGTGCGGGAAGGTCCGCCACAGTGACCGGCGGCCCCATCCCCCCGCCCGTACCGTGACGGCGATGTCGGCCATAGTGGTCGAGCGGACGTATCTTTTGAAGCCGTCGGTGGCATCGGTCGCCACCGTGATGGCCAGGAGATCTGCAACGGATCAAAGCAGGCGTCAGCTGCCGCGGCGGTGCAGTGGCGCGCTCAGCACCCCACGCAGTGAGAGGGGGGGGGGGGAGGCGGAGCAAGTCGATCATACCTGGGTGGGGGCGGTAGCAGAGGCGCGCTCAACACGGCACGCAGGGAGAGGGGGGGGGGCGGAGCAAGTCGATCATGCCTGGGTGGGGGCGGTGCAGAGACGCGCTCAGCACGGCACGCAGGGAGAGGGGGGGGGGGGGGGGCGGAGCATGTCGATCATGCCTGGGTGAGGGCGGTGCAGAGGCGCGCTCAACACGGCACGCAGGGAGGGGGGGGGGGGGGGCGGAGCAAGTCGATCATGCCTGAGCGGGGGCGGTGCAGAGTCGCGCTCAACACGGCACGCAGGGAGGGGGGAGGGGGCGAGGCAATTCGATCATGCCTGAGCGGGGGCGGTGCGGAGTCGCGCTCAGCACCCCACGCAGAGGGAGGGGGGGGGGGGGAAGCAAGCCGATCATGCCTATGCGGGGGCCGTGCAGAGTCGCGCTCAACATGACACGCAAGGGGAGGGGGGGGGGGGCAGCCAGCCGGGCATGTCGGGCGGAGCAGGGCGGGTCTGGAGGGGAGGGGCAGTGACTGTCGGTCATGTCGGGTGGAGGCGGGAACCAGAGACATCCTAAGCACGCTTGCCTCCGGGGGGGGGGGGGGGGGGGGCAGTAGCCAAACAGGGACAGGGCGGAGCGCGCCGGCACGCTCCGCTTATCTGGCAAGAAAGCAGTGTCGATCAGAAAAAATGGGCAGGGAAGACTTGTGACGAACCCCGAGCACACGCCTCTGCAGCCAATACAGTCCAGAGGAATGGTATCGAAGCAGACCCACACAAACCTGCGCTTGCGAGGTGCTTCTCAAAGCTTTCACGCCCGCACCAACTGGTCGCACCCAGGCCAGTTTCAAGAAACCCAAAGATTTCAGACTGCGATGAGCTGTGAAATCAAACGAATAATCGCGAGACGAGACAATCCACAGGCAGTTGGAGAAAAGCGTGTTCCGACACCAGGACCAAATCTTATCCGAAACTTAGCTGCTCATACGGAGCACTGCAAATACTTTATATAAACGGCCATCGCACACAGAGATGTCACGTCGTCACGTTTTCCCCTCCGATCACGCCTGCAGCTGGGCTCGACGGCGAACCGGCCCCATCTGCCGCCCCGTCCGATCCCCTACGATTATGCCCCTCGTCGGCGTCCCAATCCCTAGGAGACTGAGGAGATTGAGAACACGCGTATCCTTCGGATGTAAGCCGGTCAGTCTCGCAACGGCTGATGGTTTGCACAACAGCTAACAGCTGCTCCGATACCAATGGGGGCACGACGGCATCTGCGTCGTTACAGGCCCCGGTCGTGGCCGAGTGCTGGAGCCGGCGTGGGTGTGCGTCGGTGTCTGTCGTTGAGATGTCCCGAAGCACCGATTGCGTCAGCATACCGCACGCCGTTTCCAACAGCGTTTCGGGCGGCGCTCCGTGAGCTCATATCTCGCCATCTGTTTTGCAGCCAGCGGCGCGCACAGCAACCGCGGTCCAACAAACAGCCACATCACTCTAGCGGACTTCTGCGGACTTGAAAGCAGCTTCCCTCAGTCCTCTTTCACCAGCGTGAGGCTGATTAACCAGACGGCTAGCGCCAGTTGGCCTCACCCGTGTCCATGTCCGCGTACCGTCGCTTTTCTCCCCGCCGTGGCGCGCCGCCTTGGCAGCAGAACGACGTGACCAGGCGTCCAACTCCACCCCCGCCCGCCCCCGCCCCTGCCCGGTCCGCCAATGTGCAGAGCACACGTCTCTCAGCCAGCCAGCCCCCCCCCCCCCCTCCCTGCGGCTCACGCGGCGGCCGCCTCGGCCGGCGAGGGCGGCGGGGGCGGCGGCCGGTCGTGCGGGGAGGGGAGGGGAGAGGAGCAGCAGACGCCGGCGGCCGCGTGCGCCGCCGCCGGCCCGGTTCCACGCGGAAGGCGGCGCCGTTAGCTGCGGCTGACGCAATCGGCCGCGGCCGGCCGCCCGCGGGCCGCGCGCGGATCGGGGCCGCTCAGGCAGACGACGGACGGTTCCTGGTGCCGGCCGCTTCGGCCCACGGCGGCACGTCCGACCAGTGACCGATCAGTGACGTCGATCCGCGGGGCTGCCGGCCCACGGCAGCCCCGCGGATCGGGGCGCTGCAGGCCGGGCGGGGGCGCATGCCGGGTGGGGGCGCAGGCTTGACGGCTTCCTGTCGCGTCGGCCGTAACCAAACAAACCGGCCGGCCGGGGACGTGCCGGCGGCCGGCGGCCGCACCCCGCCGGCGTCTGGGACGCCCTGCCGACGGCCTGAGCCAGCTCGGGCATCGCTGCAGGCGGCCAGCCGTCCGGCGGCCATGCTACTGTGGCAGACACTGGCGATGGAGAGTGAAGCTTGGAAAGGCACGGTGTGGCGTTTTTTTTTTTGCAGCGGCCGTACAAATTTCAAATGTACTAGGTCATTTATTTCGAACGGTTGGCTGTTGACACCTGAAAACATCACATTTGGATTGGCTGAAACTGATATCCTCATTCAGTACAAAAATGGAACACTCCGCGGCAGGCACACAAGTGTAGCCAACGTGAGTATCGCTGCAGAATGGCACAATCCAGTCCGTCAAGTTGTTCTTGACTGGAGCGTTCAATGCGCAGGTTCCAGTCTAAGTTAAAAGTCGTGGCTGGATCTTAACGTTTTCTTTCTCACGCCTCACGAACAACTTTCTTCGTCAAAGATAAAAACGAACCACGAGGCAAGAACGTTCGCCTCTCAGCACAGCATACGAAAGCACAAAAGGCGACAGAACGGGTAATTAGCCTGCTTCTGACGCAGATCGGTACAGATGGGGGGGGGGGGGGGAGGAACAAACACGACGTACCCATTGCTAATTAATATGTCACTGTGACGACCGCTGACAAAGGCATGACCTCTGGACTGAGTGCAGGAGTGACGTCACTTAGGGGCATGATCTCGCAAAACTTGTTGGAGTTTTGGCAAATGTCGCTCAACCGAGGGTACCCGAATGCGTTTTCTTCCGGAAATAAGGAAACTATATTGTATCACTTCAGGAAAATGTCAGCCATATTTCACAGCTTGTTTGTCTTTGCTCACGTTGGTTGCGTTTCGCACGAGCATGTCTCAAGGTCGGAGGGATCTATGTCATGTTAAGACTGAGCCACAAGCCGGTGGCAAGAGCTCGGGCTTCTCCAAGTCAATACGATTTCAGCCTCGCGAAAATCACGCATCCCCCAGATCACGCAGTCGCACAGATCACGTTGCCAAACTGATCACGTAGTCAAACAGACCATGTAGTCACACAGATCAAGAAGGCACACTAATCACGTGGTCATACAGACCCCCTGCGTCACGTGCCCTGGCGCATCCAACTCCAGCTACCGTGCAAACAATATATAGTGCTAGTTGTTCGTAACTTCCCGGTTTTACCCAACGCAGGGCTGCTGGCCACCATACTGCCACGCGGACGGTATTTTACGCGGAAAGACGAGGAGATCGAATCTAGCGAAACGTGTTCCACTTGCACTTTACCTGGAGCAACCAGACAAACCGGATTCCTGGGGGCGGCTTTTTGTCCCCAACAACTTCCGTCATTGCCATCCACCGCAATCCACGCGCCTTATCTTCCGCCATGACGCGGCGTACAAACGCACTACCATGATTGAAAGTGGTTGCACAAAAATTATTTGTGAAGTTAACTATGCGCAAAGTTGCAGCATGCCACGCTAACCATTAGGCGTCGTCCTTTCTTGTTCGCTAATCTTCTTACATTGCAATCTTGCTCAGGGCTTTGTCATTGACTCGGGTGCATTGGTTGGCGAGTACCGGTCGGTGATACTGCCTTACCTTTTTTAAAAATCGTCGGTTTCTCCTTGTTCCAGAAAAAAATACCTTAACGTCTTTTTATGGAGCCCAGTCACGTTTTGCACCACTACGCCAGCATGTGTCTGTATCCCAAGGATGGATCCATAATCCCGTAGGGTTTCAGGGTAAGAGGATTGTGGGCTTTTTATTCCATTACATTGTGGGCTCCCGACAAATGCCTGCCACCATGCAGTACCTACTTGCCTTCCGCATGTGTAGAGGCTAAAACTTTGTAACTTCAGTATAGCGTGAAAACAATTCGACAAAGAAAAAACTTCAAGTTAGCCACACAGAGCTTTCGCAAAACGTACACTACCCGGCGATAAACGCCGTAAATGCAGTCTTCTAGTTAAAACCCCGTGTTCAACACCCGAGCTAAAACAGTTACTGGTCTCTCGCTCCTGGCGCAAGCTGCTGACATCACTGCTGCATGCATTTCCACGACGAACCGCAATCGGCGTTGGGGGGTTACGAGCTGACGCATCCCGGACCGGTTCACGCCCTTCGGTTTCGGTCGCCGAGCAGGGACGCTGGAGCGCGTCTCCCGACCGGTTCGGCCGGCGCTCTGAGCGGCCCCTCCCGGGCCAGCGCGGCGCGGTGCGGCGCGTCCGTCCGTCCGCCAGCTGGGCCGACGGACCGCTAGACGCGTCCGCCTGACCCCGCCGCCGCCGCCTCCGCCGCCTCGTCATTCTGACCGATGACGGTGTCGGATGCCGCTGCGGCGGCGGGCCGGGCGGCGGCGGCGGGGCCGGCCGGCCGGCTGCCGCGCGCGCCACTCCACACTGGGTCAGCGGTGTGCGCGCCTCTGGCCCGGGCCGGCAGCGGACCGCTCGCTCTGCGACACGGCCAGGCAGACAGGCTGGGGCGGACGAATGCAGAGGAATCGGGCTGATTTAGGTACGGCCCTCGGGACTGGTCAGGCGGCAGTCTTGTGGTGCGTACTGCTACGTACGGCTCAAGCTATGAAGCTCGCTCCGAGCGGCGTGGGTAGGCCAGGGCCCTCCGCGCCTGAAACGACCCAGAAACTACCCGGAAAAGGCAATATGCAAGACGCCTTCACAACATGCAGCATCGCAATCCATTCCGCTGATGCCCTCGGACGGAGAATCAGGTTGGGCGTAAGACAGACTTATAATCTGGGTGCAATAGCCGCTGTCAACAGCCGGCTAATGTTCCGAGGCTCAAGGAGAGCCGGTTTGGCACGGTCCGGCGTGCTCACCGATGCAGGGGCCCCGACAGGTGACAATGGTGCTCCCACTTTCCACGCGGCGCGTGTCTTTTTGCTGCCTTTGAGTGGGGCACCGGAAGCGAGCTACTCAAAGACGTGGCCGAAAACTAGGTTCTGGGACCTAACCCGCTTCAAAAGTCTACGCAGCAATGCATGTTTAAGAACCAGCGGTGGCTACAGTGTATGGCCAGGTCCCAGTCCATAAAATACTCGTCGGAATTTATTGCGCTGAATCTCCTGCTTCTGCCTTCTAATTTGCTTACGGACTTAATGAACCAGGTCCACAACACGCTTAAAAACGTATTTCAGGCAAGCATTCTTCGTCTAGCCCGGAAAAAAATTAACTCAGGAGAACGCACATCAAAATACATGATCACTTTACAGTCCGGCCCCTTTGGTACCCCATGGCTGATCTGGCCGCTGACGAGCCGGGCATCCCGACGGCGGCCGGTCCCATACGGCCGCTTCGCAGACGGGGAAGCGACCGGTCCCACACGGCCGCTTCGCAGACAGGGCAGCGGCCGGTCCCACACAGCCGCTTCGCAGACAGGGCAGCGGCCGGTCCCACACAGCCGCTTCGCAGACAGGGAAGCGGCCGGTCCCACACTAGCCGCTTCGCAGGCAGGTAGGCGGCCAGGTCCCGTGACGGTCATGAGAACGCCACGGTCGACTCGAGGCGGGCCGGATCCCGCGCCGACTGTCGTCGCTCGCCCAGCGCGGCGGGTCGGCCTAACGGTGCCACTCAATAGATGCAGGCCGGGTCGCTCGCTACCGCGGCAGGGGCTTCAATGAGGCCACAAGTCCGACGCCCTGACTTGCTGCACCGCACAACGAGGGCTTCCAGCGGCTTTCGGCTCCAATCATCCCCATCCCAGGTCTGTTTCGGTGTCAGCTTCCAGCGCGTGCTGCATTCGCTCGACTCATGATGCCATCTTCGGAATAGTTGGCGGCTTCTGCTACCTATTGACATTGCTGCCTTACTACCACAAGATGCGCGATGACCAGACAACATCCATCAGCTAAATACGTAGACGTTGGAGCAAGATCAGATGCAAACAGTGAAAAAAACTGCTTAAGATCTATCCAGACATCAAGGTGATGTCAGTGCGATATGACTCCGCCCGATCCAAGCCGGTCTCTCTCACCGTTAAACCGACCCAAGCCGCCTGCTCGGCCGCCTGATGCCTCTCTCCTCTCCCCCGAGCAGCTCCGTGCGGCGCCCCTCTGTGGTGGCGGCCCTCGCCCGCACCACGCGCGGCCGGCGGCGAGCCGGCCCGACCATCACGGCACGAACGTGGCGTGGGAAGCTCACGATCCCCACACGTCGCCAACATGGAATGTGCCATTCTCGCCACGGCTGGCTTAAAAACAGCGCAGAACAGGCTTTTAAGCGTTTTTTCGTTTCGTTGGGCCTAGCGTTTCATCGCCACGCTGATTATTTGGCGGTCGGTTTGAAATGCACTGGCGCAGGTCACGACCGAGAGGAAGACCTTGCGATCAACAACAGGGGTCCTGGTACAACAGCCACCCTGAATGTCGGGAGCCATGTGATGGTAGCACACCCGGGACAGGGTAGCGCGGCGAGGTCGACGAAGTGAAGGGAGTTTTCACCCTGATAATTTCGATCAAATTATGAGGGATGTGGCCTGGTTATCCTGATCACATGGTGGAGGTTATGGCACAGAAGGAGATGATCATGTGATGATGGAGGCCCAGGGCTGGTCTGAAGATTTGGTGGTGACATTGCCATGTAAGCAAGCAGATCTTGAGAGCATCTAAAGCATGTGTATATTACAAATAGCACCACAAACTTTTTCACCCAAAACTTGTCTGTGGAAAGGAAGCAATGCTCCTCATAGGATGACTGCTCTATCAGAGAAGATATTCCTGCCAAAGTAGATAAGCAATCTACATATTCTATGACACATGCAGCATTTTCACAAGCAACCTTCTGTACAAAGCTGTAACTTCATGTTCAGCAATTATGCTTATCACCAATTTGCACTGAAATATTGGGTTTAGGAACTGCATCTAAGAAATGGAAAACAGCTAAAGATAAAAATGAGCTAAGAATATGTCTAAATTTGACAGGCAATCTAACTTTACTTGAACTTTGATATACACCCCACTCTTTTCTCAGGTAACAATGATGCATAAAAATTTTTATTACAAGCATGATTACACAACAGAAAGGTGTCAGCTGCAGCAATCTGCTTTCACATAATCATGTGATCATATATGAACCCATGCTATAAGCTTTAGATATGGGATGCAATTTTGAAGCAGCACCATGGCCCACAGAATATGTGCAACACAGCATAGTGAGACCTGAAGTTTGTAGGCAATGCCCACTGGGCATGTAGTGCAGCACAGCACTATTATTGCAGACAACCAGGCATACAGAATACATTTTGAAGGGGAGGGAGGATGTCTGGAACTAACTCTCCAGCCATCCTTCCCATTTTGGCACTTCCATCTCACACTTATCTTCAGTTATTTTTTTCTGGTTGAGATGACATCATGCATATTATGTACAACGATATGCACTGAAAACATTTCACATGAATACCTAAAGCAAGCAGGTTAGGTACTATGTGATCAGAGAAGGATATTGGGTATAGCTGGAAAATCTGATGAGCAGATATGAAATGCAAGAAATCACTCACCATCACTTTTTTGTGAAGAACATTGAGACTCAGGCAGCAGCACACACGAGATTAGCACCACTAAGGCACAAAACGCCCTCATCTTGCTCTTGCACAGCAATCAGAACTAGTGAAAACAGATAAAGGCTTCACTCTTCTTACTGTACCCTTGCTGGAGCAAAATTAGAGCTGCGAGACAATCTCACTCGCTTCAACCCTCACCAAATACCAGCCCCACCACCCAGCTCCACACTCCGCTCCTCCACACAGGGGCGAGTGCGGCGAGCGGGTAGTGAACGAGATCGCAGACGCGGCGCCAGAAACGGTGTCACTCAGCCGCGAACCATCAGCTGATTGTAAACAATGTTACTAGTGGCATCTAGTGGCCATTGTCTGAACCACTCAATTGGTCAAAGCTCCCGGAAGCACACAGGGCCGTGGAATTTAGGTACACCAGAACTGCAGAATTTACGGCAGATTTGCTCATTGCAAGATTTTCCATATTTACAAAATATAACTTCCTACCTCCCTTTCTTACACGCGTGACCTATAGGAAAACTCCTTGCCGCGTATATTTGCATGACATTTTCTCGCAAAAGCAATCTTCGTAAACGCAAAAACGGACAACTAAGTAAGGCTTGCACGGGCATGACACCAAACCTGGCCTCCACAAAGCCTCATATAAACAAGCATTCGAGGCACGTGCCATCATAATATGTGCACGCATGAATCATCACCATCTGCCCGTGGTCTCGCTCAGCTGCGTTCGTGTGTTGAGTCCGATCTGCCTGCAGTCTCAGTATGGTTTCGTCACAATGGCCTGAAGATCGACCCATCAAAAACTGAATTCATTGTTGCTAGCACATCCACCAACACCCGCAAAGCCGCCGGGCTGAGCTTTGATAACTCCCGTCTGTCTCCAGAGTACATCATGCTCATCGATAAAAATATCAACTGGCAGCATCAAACGGCCAAAACTACTCAGCACTGTTTTGGCTCCCTGATATCTATTCACAAGCTTAGGCAGTGTGCTTCCCAGCTCCACAATAAAGTCCCTAGTTGAGTCACTGGTCTTCCCTCACATCAGATATTGTTTACCTGCATGGGCCCGGACAACAGCCGTTCAGCGCCAGCGCCTGGATAAGGCTATTAACTTCGCCGTCAGAATTATTGCCGGCAAACGCAGACGAGATCACGTCACGGAATCCAGAGAACAGCTAAATTGGACCAATTCCGACGAGACTGTCACCCGCCGCGAATGCATATGTATAATACAAACATATAATGCATATAATAATACAAATGCTTGCATCGCGCCATTCACGCGCCTGATGGGCCACCGGCTATCAGCAACCTGATCAGGCGCCGATCTGAAGTATCTCAGCGGCCACCAGAGCCACCGATGACGAAACTGTACTGTACAAGAGCACTATAAATCATCCTCGCTTAGAGTGCGTGAAAAGGGCAGTTCCCCATCGAGCCGTGCCTGCGTGGAATCGCCTCCCCGCTGCCACGTGCCAGTGCAAAAACTTAGATGAGTTCAAGGGCAAATCAATGTCTTTCAGCAGAAAATTACCTAAACTGACGAACTGGCCATGACGTGCAGGTGCTGATTGTATCCTTAGTCGCTCATGTTTTATAACATCGTATGTGTATCGCCGGCGTTGCGTTCCATTTGCACGTGTTGCGTGTTCTGTGTTTATCTATGTGACATGTACTGACGCGGTGTTTGAAAACCCACTCGCTGGATTTCGCCGAGGTTCGCAATAATACGTTCATTGCAATACATTTGTTCACGTACGCGATTCGTACACTTTTACATAAACGCCATTATCCGCATCGCTTTTCCTCACCCAAATTGTTGCATCACGCTTCTTAGATTTATAAGTTATTTGGCTGACGCATGGGTGCAATCACGTCTCTGAGACTGGAAGGGTCAGATAGGAATCTGTGACGAGACAGCATGACCCGGTGAACGTGATAGCGTGAAAGCTGCATTTTACAGGCAGAGCTGGAGAGGACAGAAACAATTTTGTTTTCATCGTGAAGCGTGTTCTCATCCCCGCCCAGAGGTTACGCACATGAGCTGGATGAATCAAAATGCGTTCAAATCGGGTTCGACGTAAGGTAGCGCGTAAGTCACGTGTGCTTCTCAAATTCGGGGGTGTAATGGCCGAGTGCTTAGCGCGTCGGATTTCTTGTGGGGTCCCGGGCTCAAATCCCGTTTAAGCCATGGCCCGTGAACATTAATATGGCCGATGGCTTCCCTTGCGCTCCTTAAAAGAGGACGTGACGACGTGCGTCGCGTTGCTTAAAAATATATGAGATTCAAGAAATAAGACAGTGGCAATGCCCTTATTCCTCATCTATGTATATACGCATCCACATCGTGGCAGAGAAGTCGCAGAAGCGGACGTTGGAGACGCTAGGACGCTCTGGTCGGTGGCTACTCAGTTATTCGTTTCGCTAAAGGCTTGTTGCCGAAATAACACATCCATATCCCTATTCTTCCGTTTTTTTTCTCCGAGGAATAAGGCTATCTTCTTTCTGTTATTCACATCGCAATGCTGGTATTCATCTATTCTTTTCAATAAAGACATGTTGCCGAAATATCAGCACATCTGTATACCTATTTTCCTGTTTTTTCTCCGGGGAATAAGGCTATCTTCTTCCTGCCATTCACATCATAGTGCAGGTCTTCGCCTATTCGTTTCAACAGACATGTTGCCGAAATATCAACGCAGCTATTTTCCATTCTCCTGGTTTTTCTCCGAGGAATGACGCGATTACTCCTGTCTTATCTCCGTGCGTAATGTTCCTCGCAAATGCATTTAACTTACGGCATATCAGATTCAGTAAGATAACGCATGCTGTATGCATTGTCTATACGCATTCCCTACGCATTTCGATGCGACTGGTGCAAATGTAAAGATGCACGATGGCGTTCACACAATTACCTTCAGCTGCGGCCAGGGGGAACAGGGTGCCACTTTTGAAATCGGTGAGGATACGGGGCTCAGCTTAAAGGGTTAACTAAATGTTACTTTAATAAAGGATTTTTTTCCGATTTCAAGCCCAGTTGAAACTGCGTATTTGAGAGAAGCTGAGAAAGGACGTAATTTACAGGAAACAGCTTAGAAAGACGGTCCGATAATTAAAAAACCGTCCGATGCAGTAGGTTTCGAATATTGTTAATGGGATGTGGTCCAAAACGCATCAGGACAGTTCTATGCAAAAGGACGGGGCCTGACACGTGTGCAGACTAGAGAGGAAAGCACACATGACGCCTTTTCTGTGGAGAGACTACGGAAAATATATCATGTGCACTGCCGAAAACTATCTATACTTAAAAGTAACACTGAAATTGTACGACCTCAACAGACATGTTTATAACTGAAGACACGGAACGGTGGAGGGTCGTGACTGGACCTGTCAACAGAATGGCCGTCTTGATAAAAGATGCGACCAGTGCTTTGGCATTAGCATGAGTCTGATATCAGCAAGAGAGGCCTTGCGCTTATGATGGTAATCAGCATTATGCGTTGGCGGTTCGCTGAAAACAACTGACCTTCATTTTGAGAGGAGGTACTCATCGAGCGGCGTTATCAGGCAAGCAATGACCGTATTTAAAAATTGACGTTTCAGTGCTGTGTATATGGTGAGGCTTCTCAATAGCAATTAAGTTACATGGAGACGCCGATGGTACGCCAATATCTATTTCACTCTTGGACACAGCGAACAAAATGTTTCGCATCATTCATCCACACCCTTTTTCTGGCGCAATTAGGTGCAAGATATAGCACTGAACTGTGATTTAAGCCCATGAACGCCATCATACTGCCCTATAACTCGACATATTCCCGTGGTAACTAAAAAAGCAGTCCTTATATCACAAATGCGGAGATCGATGCGTATTTCGTCTGGTCCTAGTCGTGTGAGCGCAGTCGTGCTTAAGTCTTCCCTCCTATCCGTGTGAGCGGAAATCCGGAACACCGAGTGAGGTCCATCGCTGGAGCAGCATATTCTCGGCTTAAAATGAGGGACGTACGTACGTCACAGCCCTGTGGGCACATCGTCCCCCCCTCCCCCATTGGAAATGTATGATCTGTAATATTTACGCGACTGAATATCGACATTCAAAGTTTCTAAGCAAGCACGCAAACGTGCCAGATCGGGAGCATGCGATCTTTTGCGACATACACAGGAAATTGTGTAGGCCTGTGGTGCGATTAATGAGGTTTTCATTGTAAAATTGCCCCCCCCCCCCAATCGCAAAATTCTGCGTACACCTTTTTTAACAATACAGGAGGCTCGTGCCTTAAGTCGTAGAAGAGTAATGCAAACAAACCATCTGCATGCGAAACACTCATTCTTAGCTGGCAAGCTGTGCAAACGAAACGAGCATTAGACGAGTTCGATGAGATAGCATTAGTTAGATGGCATTAGTTAGATTAGCATTAGTTAAATAGCATTAGAGAGTACAGCGAATTAGATGGCAAACAGGTGAATGCCACCGTACCATCGGGAGGTTTGCACGGTCTTTGGGCAGCGTGGACTGGTGACGCCAGTCCTATGTCCGTGCCAATTCGACCAGCCCTCGACACCCCAGTGCGTCCATCTGGGATATGGCACGCCACACACACGAGTCAATCGGCTGAAAGGAAAATGTGCACGGACAATGTAGCATGTAAAGCCCCTTGAAGACCATCGAACACGGTACAATAAATACCGACTTATAGACAGAAATTTTAGCAGCAGCAAAAGACCATGCGGATCTCAGGTTATACAAATTGTTGCCAACAGCCATAATCTTCTCCCAAGGCTGAATACATAAGCGTCGTCTTAGGACTCTCTTGAGCTCAGCTTTTGGGCAGCTAGACGTTTTCTTACCAACGTTGTCTAGTTATAGACGTTTAAAAAGAGTCCTCTAGTCGTTGTGGTGAACACTGACGCCCGCTGGCAAGTTTCTCCCATACTTTTGCTCAGTACGTGTCATCGGAGCCTTTCGGTTTAAGAGGCTGTGGTTATTAGCACAGTCCTTAGCACAGCACCGCGTATTGAGCGACAAGACGTGAGAGCCTAAATGACTGGAATGTTCTTAATGAGTGACCCGAGGAGGTCACACCGCACCCAAGCCGTCGCCGCCGGCCGCGAGTCCCGCAAGCTCCAGCAGATCGCGCCGGCACCACGTCGCCGCCGGTGCGCCTGGAGCGAGATGACCCTGCCACGAGGTCAACGGAGGACCTGGCCGTGGACGGCTGACGCCAGCCCGGCCGACCGAGAGGACCATCCGCCAGCCCGGCCAACCGAGAGGACCATTCGCCAGCCTGGACCGGCCATCTGCGGACGAGCTGACAGACAGGATAATAGGATACGCATAGGCAACGGATGCGCTCGAGATCCCACGGAGAACGCGGACACAAAGGCTGCCTTCGCTTCGGCCTAGCGATGCGGTCATGGGAACGCGAGTACAAACACCGTGCCTAAGGCTACGCCGATGGGTCCCTGGACGTGTTGAAACACGCGATCGCGCACACCCATTCACTGAGTTCACTGAGTAGTGCTGCAGCCAACGCGGTAATGGATGAACCGCGTGATGACAACTTTGGCGCGACTCACATACACGCATTGGACGATGCTGTGCCGCTCTAATGGGATCCTGGCCAGATATGCAGCGCGCCAGTTTCGGCGCCGTGGACAACTGACACGCTCCCCAGGCTCGCCAGGGCCTCCCCATCGTCCGGATCCATCGCGAGGCCCTCTGAAAGGCGCCGGCTACCTGCCGAGACGTCGCCGGCGACCGTCCCGCCCGGCCGGCGGCGACGGCGCCCGTCGGAAGCCGTAGCTACGCCTGTCACGTGACGGCGGATCCGATTAGGGGCAGCCGTAGCGCTACGCGTCGGCGAGAGGCCGCACATAGGCGGGCGGCGGGGCGGCGGCGGCAGCGGCCATGACGTCCAAGGACCCCGAGCTGGACAAGCTCAAGACGGAGCTGGAGGCGGCTATTGAGGCCATCAAGGTGGGTTGGGCCAGGTCAGGTCCGCTTAGCACATACTAGGTTATGTTTGTGCCGCTCAGGTCAGGTCAGGCTGGTGTAGCTCTGGTCAGATCAGGCTGGTGTAGCTCAGGGCAGGTCAGGTTGGTGTAGTTTGGGTCGGGTCAGACCAATCTAATTCAGAGTCAGAGCATGTGCATTTAGCTCACGTCGGGTGATATCGGTCTAGCTCAGGTCAGGTCAGCCTCGCTCAGGTCAGATCGTTTTAGCCCAGGTCAGGTGGGGTGTTCACTGTTGCGCCACCGGGTGGCCGGGCATGTCTCAGGCCACGTACCAGGGTGTAGGGCGACAGCTCTGCCGCTGGATTTTGACAATGCTGGGACAGTTGTGCTGAAAATTGCCCTGGAGCAGGGGAGTCTGCGTGGAGCAGGAGCTAGCTCCGCAACTACTAACGAGGCCGTCATCTGTGGAATCTTTCATGCTTAATAATGCAATCACATAAGCATTATAACGGAAAGCCAAGAGAAGCTAGAACGAGATCTGAGTAAAAAAGTCTGCATGATCATTACATACTAAATTTAAGTCATATTGATTAAATGTGGTTTGATGATTAATCCTGCAACAGTTGTAAAAATCGGCGAGCATTCCACAACCATCGGGCTGGACTTTGCGATTGTCCCGACGAGCAACTTACTGTGTCCCGAAGTGCATGAAAGGCTGCCAGCCGCCGGCTCTGCGTCCGCCTCCGCCGCCGCCGCCGCGTCCGCCGCCAGCGTCGCCGTTCCAAAGGCGCAGAGCACCACAGTCACAGTCACAGCCCAGGGCATGACGTCTGCCGGCGGTGGTGGGCAGCGAGCCTCTGCCTTCCCGACCGCCGCCGGCCCGGGCCTCTGATCACTCGTGACGCGCCGTGACGGCGGCGTGACCCGCCCGCGTCACTTTCGCCGCCTGCCACGGCGGCTGTGCCCCCACGCACCGCCCGAGCGACACGAGACACGTGACGTGGAGACACATGCCAGATGAGGCGTGACGGCGAACATGTGATCACACGCGCAGCTGCGTGAGACTCATCCGCGTGGTGACCTAGCTCAATTTTTCCTGAGCCGACTGCGGGCGAAATGCACTTACTCCAGCCACAGTCTTCGCCGTTGCGAAATTGCTAAGATAGTTCTTGCTAATCGAGATGCTGCTAGCTATTTGGGTGGCGAATACCGAGGCGGCGCCGCTGCGATGGCGCAGAGATGCACGACACGCTACTTTAGTCCCGGGAACAGCTGAATGTGACGGGGCTGAAGCCGTAGCGCCCTGCCCGAGCGAGACGGCTTCTGATGAGTCGACTTCCCCGGGAGACGAGACTTCAGCAGTGCTGACCTCCGAGCGACAGCAACGGGAACGGTGGGAGCGAGGCGGCGGGGGGGGGACGGGAGCAGTAACATACACCGAGACAAATAATGTGAACTCTTACATTGTTGTATGGCAACAAGCGACGCATACATTCGCGCTTGTTCCCCTCCCCTTTCTCAACCTCAGCCTCATCCGGTGATCTGCCATCACTGGGGCTCTATTGAGCGGGTCTGGGGGTGAATCGAGACCTTCCTTGGTAGTAAATAATATACCATCTTTGTTGACCTCGCACAGCCTTGACCTTCCGTCACCTGACCTTACCCTGCACGATCGCTGCCTCGGTTGACAACGGACGACACCAGAGGCCTGCGCCCTGTCTGGCGTGCCGTGATCCTGCGTGAAGACCACCCTGGTTGAGATGACACCACGACCTCGTTTGACCTGTCATGGCCCCGGATGACCTCCGGTTGAACGTCCTGCCCGCAGGAGGCCCAGAAGAAGGTGGCCGACGCCGACCTGGTCACGGTCTGCGCCGATCTGCAGGACGCCCCGCGCATCCGCGCCTCGTGCAAACGCATCCTCAAGGGCCACATCAACAAGGTCAATGGCGTCCATTTCAGCGGAGACAGCAGGTCAGGGCGGAGATGATGTGAGGGCGACATGGTGACAATCACGAACTGAGGCAGCAGATCAGGGCCGAGATGACTTGGGAGCCGCATGGTGGCGATCACGAACAGAAGGCCCGACTCGGATATCACCTGCAATGTATGCGTCTGGATTGAGTTACCTCAACATATGCATGTTCGATTAAAAATGGCTGCTGACTCAGCAGTGACGAGCTTTTTGACTCATCGTTCTAGTTTCCGGGCTTTTAACTTGGCATTATCGTCTAGGTTAAAGATGATTCGCACACAGTTATTCATATATTCGTCGCTCTTTACATTCTAACGTTTCGAGATCCTATCTCATCGCTGCAGAAGACTGGATGTCACAAGAAATAAGTTTTGAGTTTTAAAGGATAAAAAATTGTGCACTTTTATTGGAAAACATCTCTTGGTACGGAAGACACAGATGAAACGTGGCTAAATGAAGTAAGCCAGAATCCTTTTTTACTTTGATATATACAAAATACATTCATAATGGGACCACTACAAAGACACAATGAGAACACTATTGTCATAATCACGTCAATAGTGCTCACCACCCACCACCTAAAAGTTCAACAGTTGTACAAGAATTTGTCTGAATTTGGCTGGAGGGACCTCGTTAGTGAACATACTTCCCCAAATTTGAAGGCGTCTTCTGTCATTGCACGTCCGTAAAACGTCAGCGTTGTCTGTCAGTTGTTGTGTCAATGTCCTGTCGTGTTCGTGTCGCATATGGTCCGGAGGTACCCACCCCGTCACGTAAACGCATTGCCAGGCGTCGTGAGAGTGTCGTGGTTACACCAATGTAGTGTATAGAACGAAGTTTTCAATCTTTGATGTTGCATTTGAATTGATGCATTACATAGGTGCATTTAACTTTGTCGGGTTTGTCTGGGATGTTTCTCATACAAATTAGAGATTTTCTTATTACGATAATGCCATCCTACGTCTCACTATCCTACATCCAGCCGTCCTTAGTGGGATGCGTAATGACAAGGACAGCGATTTAACACGACTGCATATCGAAAACAGGCTAACAACGGACGGTGCTTAAATGCTGAGTAATTTTGTGCGAACCATCTTTAACCAAAACGATAATGCCGAGTTAAAAGCCCGGTAACTAGAATGATGCGTCAAAAAGCTCGTCAATGCTGTCAACAATTACTTTTAATCGAACGTGTATAAAAGATAGGAATCTGCAAAAATATTCCAAAACACACACACACACACACACACACACACACACACACACACACACACACACACACACACACACACACACACACACACACACACACACAAACACACACACATACGCACACACACATATGTATATATATATATATATATATATATATATATATATATATATATACCCATCTCTCTCTCTTTCTCTTTCTTTTTGCTCCTACGTGACGCGACTTGCGCTTATCCCCCTTTTATATAACATCTTGTTTCCTCGCTCACACTCCGTCCCTCACTCTCTTTCTCTTGCCCTGCGCGGAGACGGAGGTCTCCCGAGGCGAGGGGGGGGGGGGGAGACAGGAGTCTTCCCCTCGCCCCCCACCCACCGATTGTGCGGCTCAGACCGACTCCCCAGACCGAGCTTGGCCTCATCGTTGCAGGCACTGCGTCAGCGGCTCTCTGGACGGCAAACTCATCATCTGGGACACGTGGACCGGCAATAAGACTCAGATCATCCCCCTACGCTCCGCCTGGGTCATGGCCACCGCCTTCGCGCCGTCCGGAAACTTTGTGGGTGAGCCGGCCGGCGGTGGTCCGCTCTCAAGCCAGGAGGCCGCGGTCTCTCAGCGAGCCGCGTGTGGTCTCTCAGCGGACCGCGTGTGGTCTCTCAGCGGACCGCGTGCGGTCTCTCAGTGGACCGCGTGTGGTCTCTCAGCGAACCGCGTGTGGTCTCTCAGCGGACCGCGTGTGGTCTCTCAGCGGACCGCGTGTGGTCTCTCCCTCCGTGTACGGCGGCGTGACGGAAATCTTCCCGTGGTTTCCCCGAAAGCGGCACGGCGTCGCCGGCGGCGCTGCGGCGTGACGTTCGGGGGCGGGGGGCGGGGCAGGCCCAGATCACGACCACGAGCGCGCCGTGAGCTTCTGGTCACGCCCGATTGGACGCGGCGTGCGGCGGAGTCGAGCGGCCGCGTGCGACTCGTGATGACTCAGGTGCATGCAGGGTCTGCCGCACCGGAGAGGCTTAGCACTTGTCAGTTTTGCTCAAATGGAGATGAAGGGCACGCCAACCCAATGTTCGGTCAGAAATCACATAATATTTGCCTCCGCATATTCAGTTTTTAAAAAAATGCATTCATATTTAAACGCATCTTCGATGTTTGGCATACACAGAGGATATCGAAGCATAAACGACACCGGATGAGAGAGGGAGCGAGTCTACGGATTGCAGTGTGTTATCGGTGTGTTATTGTTCCCGCGGCCACACTGCAGCGACAAGTGCGGTCTCTCTCTCTCCCTCTCTCTCTCTCTCTCTCTCTCTCTCTCTCTCTCTCTCTCTCTCTCTCTCTCTCTCTCTCTCTCTCTCCCACTCCGTGCCGGGTGTAGCCCCCTCCCTCTCTCTCGCCATGTACCATGTGTGACCGGCGCTCTCTCTTCCGTCCCATGTGCCAGCCAGCGGCGGCATGGACAACCAGGTAACCATCCACGACCTCAACAACCGCGACAGCAGCGGCCAGGCCAAGGTGATCCGCGAGATCAGCGCGTTCGAGGGCTTCCTCAGCTGCGCCCGCTTCCTGGACGACAGCCGTCTCGTCACTGGTTCGGCCGACATGAAGATGTGAGCTGACCTCGTGACGTTCGTGGCACCCCACCCCGGCCGCGACCGCGCTTCACTGCATTGCGGGGGTTTATGTCACGATTTATGTATTCGCTATGGCTATTGACCACGATCTTGGGGGGAAAAACAGCTGGTGGCAACTCTGGAGCTCACAACCCGCAGTGATGGGAGCGTGCCTCCGCCAGGCTATGACGCCCACATGCAACAGCTGATGACCGTTCCTTTCGGCAGCGGTGGTCGACTGCATTTTTTTCTGTGGCTGATGAAGCATTGTTTTGCAGTGCATCTGATCATTTAAGTCACGTAGTTGCAAACTGTGTCAGTTATTGGAATTTATTCGACAACGGACGACAAAACGTGATATCGAGCGACAGGCTGCTGCATTAAACACGGGTTCAATATGCATGGGCTACATCGACCAGCATCTCAGGTTATTTATCTCCTTTCTAGATTGTTTCAAAAGTGCAGTCCCCGTCACAAAAACGCCCACTCTCAGGGGCGAAGTTTCCATCCCACTAAGCCGCTGTCCACCCTCCACCTCTATCCGCACGCTATCCTACCGCACATTGCCGCACATTTCAACACGTACACAGCGCAGTCCGCGCCCATATCGAAGCCGTCGCGTTTCAGCGTTTCCTTCTCGACGCCTTCCCTTGGATGTCACCGTCGAGCCATGCTGGCGCATCGGACAGCGCCCGCGGTGCTCTGTGACCCCACTCCGGACTCCGCGCTCCCCGCCCGCTCTCAGCGCGTAGCGTGACCCGCCCCGCCGCCGCCACCAGCGTGCTCTGGGACGTCCAGGCCGGGAAGAACCTGGGCGAGTTCCACGGCCACGAGGGCGACGTGGTCACGCTGTCTGTGGCCGGCGATGGCGGGCACTTCGTCACCGGCAGCGTCGACCGCACGGCCAAGCTGTGGGACGTGCGCGAGCCGGGCTCCGCCAAGCAGACCTTCTGGGGCCACCAGAGCGACGTCAACTCAGTCTGCGTGAGTGGCGCAGGAGGGACGGACGACGGGGTGAATGAATGAAGGGATGGTCGTCTGTTATTCTTGTAGAATGCGTGACATCTGTATAAAGCATTTCAAAACCTGCAAACATTCTAAAATACTATATCCATTTAAAACTAGAGGAAAATCTAACGCAGAAAGAATGCATAACTTTTTAACATCAGCAAGAACTTAAGCATTAAAAGCCGTTTCCGAGCGTTTAAAAGCAGGTCAGTGGTGACCACTGTAGTCGCCTCTGGCGGCCGACTGACCGTCGTCCTGCCGGTCACCGTGACCCGCGCCTCCCGGCACCACCAGTTCCACCCGTCGGGCCAGGCGTTCGCCACCAGCTCGGAGGACAAGACGACGCGCCTGTTCGACCTGCGGGCCGACCAGCAGCTGGCCGAGTACACGCCGCCGTCGGCCAACTCGGCGTTCACCTCCTGCGGCCTGTCGCGCTCCGGCCGGCTGGTGCTGGCCGGCTCCGACGACAACACAGTCCACGTCTGGGACACCATGAAGGCGCAGCATGTCGGTCAGTGCGGCGCCGGGGCCGGGGGCTGAGCTCGGCTCCGCGCGACGTGGAGGGAAGACCTGACGTCAGGGGGGGGGGGGGGGGGGGGGGGGGAGCGGTGGCAGCTGCGGCGAAGGCAGCGTGTCGTAGCTCACAGCACCCCGCTTACCACCAAAGCAAAGCCTTTAAGCATCTCTTCGTGAGAATATCTTCACCCAAACAGCCGCCAATGGTTTACGTTCGCAGCGACATGTCGGTGACCGGCACGCGGTGTGATGCAGAGGCCACCGCCGCGCTGAGCTCAGTGTGACTCCGGCGTCCTGTGTCACGCTGTGCGCCCGGCCGCCCTCCCCGGCGCTGGCGAGCGCCCGCCGAGCGTCCTCGCCGTCCAGCCGTGGCCGACGCCCGCCCGCTCCTCCCGCAGGCAACCTGGCTGGCCACGAGAGCCGCATCACTTCGCTGAGCGTGGCCGACAGCGGCATCGGGTTCTGCACCACGTCCTGGGACACGACGGTGCGCGTCTGGGTCTGAGCCGGCCGCGGCCCCGTCACCGCCTCACGACAGAGCCTCCCAAGTGGGAGGGGGAGGGGACGTCAGGAGAGTCTGTGGGCATGCGTCGCGGCGAGATCAGGGTAGGTGGTGCGGTGTTACAGTGTGCCAGCGCGGAACGCATTGCCGCGACAGTGAGCGCGCCACCGAGCCCCTGCCTTGGGGGTGCAGTGTTGCCATGGTTGCCATGGCGACGGCCGGGCCGGTCGCGTGACGTCACCATCCCACCGCTCACCGCTCCCAGGCGCGGACAGTTATCGCTGTTGTGACTTCGAAAATACACGGACCACGAGTGTCATGCGGTGTAGTGTGCCACAAGGCGTGCGGAGGATCAGCGCGGTTATGGACGAGTAGGATACGCTGCCGCGTAATGCTCTTAACCTCGTGGTCTGCACCCAGGCCTGACAGGTAAAGTTCTCACGCTTTTCCCTGACGACGGGAGACTCACCACCTTTATCAAAGGCTTGACCTTATCCCTTTTCACTACGGATAGCAGCTGCCTCCTCTGCCGCGAGGAGAGCACGGCACGCGCGCTCCGCCCGCAAAGGATACCTAAAGGCAAATAACGATCCGGACTGGCATTCCAAAATAGGCAGACAGCATTGAGGTGTTGTATTGTACGATCGTGTTTGCATTTCGGTTAACTCAGTAACTCACAGCACTGCCGGGGTACAATGGTGCATCAAGTAGCTAGTTATACAAAAGCGCCTTTCCGGACAAATAACTACAGTGCAGATCAGGCCCGGTATGGAGAAGAGCCTTACAACACCAAGACACTGTGCAGCATCCCAACCGACATTAAAGACACTACGCAGCATTCCAACCGATATTGAAGTTACTACGCAGCATTCCAACCCAGCACAGACAGACAGCCGACGCACGGAAAAAGGCTAACGGACAGACGAGACGAGACGAGACATTCAACCGACCAATGACGCGACACCACTTAGCTGCCGCTCCGGGCTCGCGCGGCACCGGATGGTCCAGCCAGTCGCCCGGCGCAGCAGAGCTGAAAACGTGCAAACGGGTGGCGGCCGCAGGGGAGATCCTCTCACACACAGCGGTTAACAGAAACACACGCCAGTGTGCGACCGACAGCGGACGACTCAAACTGAATGGTGATTGACGCGCGCGTGACAGCCAGCTCCGACGGGTTTCGGATCAGGAGGTCGCCGCCGTGGGAGGGCGGCGACGTCACTCCGTGGGCCGCCTCCTCCGCCGCCCACCGGCATCGGCGCCGACACCGGAGCGGCGGTAGGCGAGCCCGTCATGAGCGGCGGCCCGTTCACTCCCGGGCGGACCCTCGCGCGGGGTCAGCCAACAGCCACCACGGCGGCGGGGCCCGCTGGCTGCCCAGCACCTCGCCGCGAGAAGGTCACCAGCATCGCGGCGGGCATCCTCCGTCTCACCGAGAGCGCGCGGCTGCTGACGGAGGGTGCTCGGGCACCGCTCCCCACCGCCGGGCAGACGCAGCGCCTCGGCGCCCTGACCCGCCCGTCTGGCAGACACCGCCAGAGGCGCCGCGGCCGGCCCCCGCGGGCGGGCTCCAGAACCGCCGACCGCCACTGAGTGGAGCCGCTGAGGTCGCCAGCGGTGCGCCCGGTCTCAGTCGGCGGCAACAGAAGCGGGCGTGATGCCTCCGGCGGTGGTCATAGTTCCCGTCCGCACACCGAGCCGGAGTAAAAACGCCGTAGCCGTCACAAATGATCAAAACGGCCTGCTTATTATGATACATCAGACAACACAATGCTTCACAAAAACACCGTTACCTGAAAGCCAAGCCTGCGCAATAAGTCGCCTGATGATGAACAAATGGAAGACACCTAAAATGACACGGGGAAAACCTACAAACGCACACATCCCATGCTAGTCATCCTCACACATTTCAATCTACACCATTTACCATAGACGGGTGTAAACATCCGTTACGCCAAACGGAAACTGAACAACAGCCTGAAGATAATCGCATTACGTAAACCTGATCTTCTCTGTGATCTAAAAACGCATCGCCAACACTTGACACCGCTCCCGTTACAAACCAATCCGTTACAAATGATCCGGGCTAGACAAGATCCCAAAAGCACGCGATGAGCACGCGGTCCGACTGTCTGTGGGCGCACGCAGCGCATTATACAGCTCACACAGCCCACGGGCGCGTGCCGCTGACACAAGGACGCAACACAGACACTAAGCATGGCGCCACTTCCCAGTGGTCGGGTGACGTCACTCGCCGACGCTCTCCTGTCGTTGGCACAGCCCGTCGCGGAGGCGCGCCTCCCGTGACGTCACTCCCCAGCGGCCGGGTGACGTCACTCGCCGACGTTGGCCTGCCGCTGGTCGAGGACGTCGCGCAGGCGCGCCTTGTACCGCTTGGGCTCGGACTCGTCGGCGCCGGCCGGCTCCAGCAGGGGCCGCAGGCGCTTGCCGGCCTCGACCGCCGGCAGCGGCGACGGCTTCACCATGGCGTTGATGGATCGTAGCTCCTGCGGGCGGCGCGAGACGGCGTCAGACGCGGCGGCCGTAGCCGGAGGAGGCCGGCTAACATCACAGGCGGGGGTGACGCAACTGACGTCGGGCGAGGAGCGCCATTGGCGGAGACGGCGCGACGTCAGACGTGCGGGAGCCAACCCGGAGACGCGAACCAGGAAGCATACACCGGACGCGTGACCGTGATAAGTCGGACACGTGAAAGTCGGACACGTGACCGTGATAAGCCGGACACATGACCGTGACAAGTCGGACATGTGACCGTGATAACTCGGACGCGTGACAGTGATAATTCGGACACATGACCGTGATAAGTTGGACACGTGAAAGTCGGACACGTGACCGTGATAAGTCGGACACGTGACCGTGATAAGTCGGACGCGTGGCCGTGACAAGTCGGACACGTGAAAGTCGGACACGTGACCATGATAAGCCGGACACATGACCGTGATAAGTTGACACGTAACCCTGATAAGTCGGTCACGTGACTGCGATAAGTCGGTCACGTGACCGTTACGCGCCGACTTGAGGCAGTCGGCGCGCAACGCCACGAGTGTAGCGCACAAGGGACCAGCGCGTGTGCACAGTGGAGGGAGGGAGAAAGAGGGGGGACTCACGTGCGCCGGCGAGCGGTTGAAGCTGTAGGAGCGGACGTTGCCGCGCTCGCCAAAGCGTCCAGGCGACTGCTTCAGCGGGCTGATGTAGATGGAGTGTTTGGCCGACACCTTACGGCTGAGCGGCAGCGGGCTGAGACGCGGCGACGGCAGAGGCGACAGCGGCGGCTTGCCCTGCCCGGCCGCCCGAGGCGCGTCACATACCGTCCGGCACGCGCGCGCGCCGACCACTATGTGCTGGCACGACCGGCACCGGCGCAGCAGTATTGTAGCCAGCCACTCTTTCAAGTTTGGATTGTGTTAGACGCGGACACAAAGGTGAAATTTGAACGTTTCGTGCTAATATCAGAGCGCCACTGCAAGTTTGGCGGCTTCGACATGAACATGAGCCAAGGAAGTTTTTTTTTGTTGTGGGCCATGGAATACGTTTTCAGCATCTTATAGCAGCAGCCAACAAACGCACATCACCAGCACCCCACAAGGCTGGATACATATTTACCAAAGACCGGCAAATAACAGACATACGGAATAGATAAAACAAATGGAATCCTACAGAGAGGCACGGAACAACGAGCACGCAACAGATAATGCAGTTAATAAGGGTAAGATAATTAAAACACTTCCTATTACCACTGGAATAGTCTCTCTCCATCATGACGTGACCTGACACAGGCTCGATCGGCACGGGGGAGAACTAGCCCATCCGCAATCAGACCGAAGAAACGGACTTACCCGCACCTAACAGGGAATTCCATGGAAATTGAACATTTCATTAACAACTCCTATAAGCCCATACGCTACAACGAAACCACGATACTCACTTCACATACTTGGCGCCGTCTTCTCCGAGTCCGCGTCTATCCCACACTACAGTACCTCCCTCTCCCCCCCCCCCCCCCGACACCCAGGGCGCCTCCATCCGTGGGCTCCCCACCGCCCAGCGACCGCCGGCCGCCCACTCACGTCACTCTTGGAGAACTTGCTGACGAATGCCTTGACCTTGACGACGAACACCTGGTTGTAGAACTGGATGATGTCGCCACGCTCCTCGTTGCGGTCCTCGAACTCGTAGCTGGTCGCCGTGCCGGCCATGCGCGAGGGCGTCGGCGGGCAGAGGGGCGCCGGGACCGCTGCCACAGGGCGGCGCCGTCAGTGGGGTGGGGCAGAGGGGCGCCGGGACCGCTGCCACAGGGCGGCGCCGTCAGTGGGGTGGGGCAGAGGGACGCCGGAGCCGCTGCCACAGGGCGGGACCGTCAGCGGGGGTGGGGTGAAGGACGTTTCAGCCACGGACAGACTGGTAGGCGCCGGGGACAACGCAAAGAATGGCACCGTCGCTAAATCAGACACCTCGCAGTCAGGCGAGTCAGAACGGCGTCTTGGACCACGCTCGGTGAGCCAAACAGCGCTACCTTGCGCATAACTGCAGCCTCGGCAGGACGGTGTCCTGCCCACAATGTCACAGTACAAGTCACGCCTAACTCGTCGTGGAGGGGGGGGGGGGGGGGGGGGAGTCTGCCGGCCCGTCCAGCGCACCGTCACACGTCGTGCCGCTGCCCACCTTTGGCCGGCTTTTCAGCCGGCTCCGGCGCCGGCGCGGCTTCCTCGCCGCCGGCGCCATCCGTCTTCTGGTTGACGCCGAGCAGCACCGAGCGGTACACGTGAGACTTGGCCTGCGGCTGGCACCGGTACATGCCCATGATGTCCGTGAACTTCTTGTTCATGCCGAACGCCTGCCGGAAGGAGCAGCGCGAGCCGTTACGGCGGTGGCTGCCGCGCCGCTACCGCCGCGCTGGCAGGGAGCCGGAGCGAAGGCCGAAGCCCCAGAAGGCATAACGCCACGCTTTCAGTGTCGTGACGACGGTAGCGTCCGTCCGGAAACCGTCACAGTTTATCGGAGAGGTCGCGCAAATGCGGAACACTGGGTCCTGCCACGAACGGCTGCTGGGTGAAGCCAATATGAGAATAGAACAGATGTAGAGCAATATAATAGAGCAAACAGAGCAGGCGAAGTTAAGTCGTAATGAATTGTAAACCCGGCCCTCATCTATAGCCTAAACTTCCCGGGCACAAACGTTCAGTGAGCACTAGAGAGCAATGGTGGGAATGGTTGGATGGACCTTGGCCACGGCCCTGGATGGGGACAGTGCACTGTCCCGCCCTGAACTACAGACACACCCTCTGGCATGGGAGGGGGGGGGGGGGGCGCCCAAGGCGACGGCCCAGCCCCACCTTGCAGACAACGAAGATGGCGGACATGATGAGCTGATCCAGGTGTCGGCCCTGCATCACGGTCACGTGGTGCACGATCACGAACTCGAACACGGTCCAGATGGTCTCGCGCACGTCCTCCATCAGCTTCAGCCGCTCGCACAGGTCGCGGATGCGCACCGACGCCAGGTAGTAGAACTGCGGCGGACGCGGCACCGTTCGGTGAGTGGGCGCCGGGGCGGTGTGTCGGCGGGACGCCCATACACGGACACGGTGCCGCTCAGTGGGTGGGAGCGGGGCGGTGTGTCGGTGGGACGCCCATACAGGAACACGGTGCCGCTCAGTGGGTGGGAGCGGGGCGGTGTGTCGGTGGGGCGCCCATACACAGACACGGTGCCGCTCAGTGGGTGGGAGCGGGGCGGTGTGTCGGTGCATCTGTGGGACGCCCATACACAGACACGGTGCCGCTCAGTGGGTGGTGTGTCGGTGTGTGGTTGAGACGCCCATACACAGACACGGTGCCGCTCAATGGGTGGGAGCGGGGCGGTGTGTCGGTGTATCTGTGGGACGCTGTGGTATCATCCACTCTCACAGCCCGACCAAACACTACGTCAGGTGCTACCGTGAGTATTTTCCCAATACCTCGGTAACAACAAAAAAGTGATAATATAACGTCCGAGGCGTCCGAACACGTCGCGCCCTCGCCACGCGCCACCTTGTCAAGGCGAACTCCCTCGCGCAACTCCCACTTGCCTGGCGCGTAGGCTCCCTAAACAACTGCCATACACCACAGACGCCCATACACGGACACGGTGCCGCTCAATGGGTGGGAGCGGGGCGGTGCGTCTGTGTATTTGTGGGACGCCCACAAACAGACACGGTGCCGCTCAGACGCCATCTGGGGGAGGGACGGGGGAGGAGGCAGGCTGGCAGCACGAATAGATTTGTCGCGAGCCCCGGCACGCGGCACAAGTAGATGTGAGGTCCACAGACAAACTCGAAGAAATCAACGACATGGCATCGAAACGGCCAATACCAGAGCAATCACCACTGAAAGAAACTGGTTTGTGCTCTTCCGGCTTGGCGAACCAGTCATTCTTAGCAAGCTGAATGTTTTAATTTGACCGCAAACGCTACAGATTCGAGTCTGCGTCTTGTCGAGTTTTGCAGTCTCTGCGACAACCAAAGACAGAAGCAGCGATGATGACTCACAACTTTTTTGTACGCGGGGCTAAATCACGCAAAAACGAACAAGTACAATTGAGTGAGTGATGGACTCTCTCCTAGGGTGTGCCCCGCGGAAAATGCACCCATCCCCTCCGAGCCCACCTTGCGGAAGAACAGGCCGAGCGAGTTCTGCTTGGGCCTCATCGGCGGCGTGTCGGCACCGGGCGTCGGCGTTTGCACCGACGTCGGCGTCGGCATCAACGTTGGCGCCGGCGTCGGCGTCGGCGTCGGCATCGACGTCGGCGCCGGCGTTGGCGTCGGCGTCGGCATCGGCGCCGGCGCTGGCGTCGGCGTCGGCGTCGGCGTGGGTGTCTGCGTCTGCGTCGGCGCGGCGGCGGCAGTAGCGGCGGCAGCGGCCGGCGCCGTTGACGCCGCGACGGCGGGCGGCGCGCCAGCGACGGTGGTGGAGGCGGCTGGCGAGGCGGCCGCCGGCTCGGCCGTCCCGCCGCCGGCCGGCGTCTTGCGTCCGGAGCCGCCGCCCACGATCAGCGAGTAGGTGCGCACGCGCCGCTCCAGGGCCGGACTCACTGCCGAGAGAGGGGTGGGTCAGACCCAGCTCACCGACTTGCGAGGCGGCCGGCGCGCCGACGGCGATGGCAATTACAGACAGATGTCCAGCGTAACCAAAGGTCACGTGGGTGTCACGTGGCACGGATTGGCAGCTTGCCAGCGTGAGCCGACCTGAACACATCGCACCGCCGCGTGTCCCTCCACTGTCCGCTGACTGCCGCTGCTTCGGGCCAGAGCACCGTCTGGCGCCGCTGGAGACCGGCCGGAGCGGGCCTGGCGCCGGTGCCGGCGGCGTCAGGCCCGGACGCGACTCACCCGTCACCGCCGGCTGCTCGCCGCGGACGCCCTGGCGCGGCCCGGCCACGAAGAGGCGGCGCCGCGCGCTGGACGGCACCACCGGCGACATGAAGCGCTCCGTGGCGCTGGACAAGGGCGACTGCTGCGGGTCTGTGGACGCACCGCGCCAACGTCAGGCCGCGCACGGACGGTACGCACACGGGCCGCGTGCCGGTCCAGTGACGGGGACGGGCGCACGCCCGACCAGCGTCACACGGCAGATAATTGTGACACGGCGAGCAGTGCCAGCAGGAGAGCCGTCACAAGGCAACACAGACCCTGGGGCCATGGTCGTGCGCGTGACGACAACCATGTTCGGTGCCTGGCTGAGCGTCATCACACACGGGGTGCTCATCTATGACGCGACACTCTTTCAAAAGAAAATCCTTCTACGGCAACCAATGTCGCCAGCAGCCGGCGACCGCCGGGCTCGGGAAGGGCTCATGCCACTGGAGGAGCGCCGCCACCAAACGGGTTTCATCAGTCGTGCCTACGGCGCCGCGCCCGCCCAGTACGCACTCTTGGCCGCCGACCGGCTGCTGTAGGTGACGAACAGGCGGCGCACGGTGGGGTTGTGCGGCGCGGGCGACAGCAGAGTGGTGCCGGCCGACGAGGCGGCCGCACCCGCCGCCTCCTGTCGGGAGGAGACAGGGTCACAGTCGGGCGAAGTCAGGGTCACAGCCGGCGAAGGTCACAGTCGGCGGAGACATTCAAAGCCGGCGGAGACGGGATCACAGTCGGCGGAGACGGCGTCACAACTGGCGAAGACAGGGTCACAGTGGGCGAAGTCAGGGTCACAGCCGGGCGGAAACAATGGGGCAGACGGGGACACGAGTCCTCCCGCAGGATGTGTCAGGAGGGGGGGGGGGGGGGGGGGGCACAGACTCAGCCCATCTGCCACGTCCAGCGGCCGACTGCAGACAGCTGGCGACCGCAGCGTCGGGGCCGAGTGTGCCGCATCGTTACGCGTGACTCGTATGAACCGGACGACACGGCACCGAATCAGTGGTTTCGAAAAGGAGACGTCATAGCGGCGGCGGCATGCCTAGACAGAGGAACCTCTGATTGAACAGTTCTCTACAGAGGGGCATATCCACGCCAGAGCCGAATGGCTGGATCTTACACAGCTCACAGACGCCACTCTTTGGCGTCGAACTGGCTGCCGCCTGTCAGAGCGCTGGTGGCAGCCGCCAAGTGCACCACTGACACCACGAACTGACACGCCCATTGTACCCCCCATTGCCCTGCGTGCCCTGGGGGCAGGAGGAGGGCAGGGGACGTACCTGCAGGTGAGGCGTCACCGTCTCGCTGGTGGGGATGTTGCCGGTGCCGGCCGCCTCGATGACCGTCCACAGCCGGGAGCAGCGGCGCCACGCCATCGAGTCCAGGATATGCTCCTCCACCTGGGCCGGCGCGCCGCGGTCAGCACCCGGGCTCGACACGGCGCCTCCCGGCCGCCAGCGGGGGCGAGCCCGTCCGACTGACGATTACAACCTCGAACAACCACCACCGCTGGTCCCACTGTCGCCGCAGGTTGGCGACGCCAACGAGCTTAGATGAGTTGCGGGCGCCGGCAGGCAATCTAGCCCATCCAACGAGAAAAACATTTTGAACAGGGGGTAGGGGCACGTGTAGGAAACAAACACATTCACATACACAGGCTGTGGGTGCAACTGAGACGTGATCGATAATGAGCAGCCCGCTGGACAAGGCACGTCGTGCACAGGGCCGGTCCTACCAGCGGCCGTCCGCGCGCGTCCGTCCGCCGGCCCACCTTGTTCAGGTGCTTGATCACGTCCCGACAGAGGCCCTGCTCCTCGCGGATGATGATCTCCAGCAGCTTGTAGAAGTCGTACGGCTCGATGTTGAGCGCCTCGAGCAGCCAGGGGAACTCGAGCGGCGCCGTGTTGTAGCTGAAGAGCACGATCTCCAGGCTGCAGGCCAGCAGGCAGCGGTGGAACACGCTCTGGTCCAGGAGCACCTGGCGACGTCAGCACACGCGGCCATCAGCGGAGACAGCGCGCCGCCCGGGAGACTGCCGATCTCGCGGGAGACTGCCAATCTCGCGGGAGACAGCCGAGTGGCGGGCACCGCTCACGCCTGGGGCGCCGCTCGTCGCTCGGTAACACCCGCTCATGGCGGCCGACTGCACCACTAGACGGGCGCCGCAGACTCGGCTGGAGGCGCTGCAGTGAGGACGACAGCCCCGCCCCCGAGCGGCCGGCGCCACCCACCAGCAGGTTGATGTCGGGCTTCCTCCGGCGCTCCGACAGCAGCACGCTCTCCAGCGTCTTGTAGAAGAAGCAGGCGGCCATGTGGAAGCGCCGGTCCACCAGGTCGGGCGCGTCGGCCCCGTCCACGGCGCCGGCGCAGGCGGCGCTGAACTCGGCCTTAAACTCGGCCACCAGCGTCGCGATTGTCTCGGTCGGATCCGGTGAGCACGAGCTGCGGCGAGCGCGGACGGCCATGGTCAGGGCAGACGGGCAGCGAAAAAGCGACACAAAAACGTAACAGCACGGAAAACGCCACCGGCCATAATGGGCCATTAAGGATCTGGCTCAGACCCAGCGCCACGCTTGGCTAACCCACCGTCGCCTAGCCCGCTTGGCTAGCCGATCCAAACCATAACGTACCGCGGCAGCGTCTCAGACGTCGCCGCGACCGGGAGCGACACAGCCGTGGGCTACGGTCCTGCCGGCACCGCGGACTGTGGCCCGCTTCGGCGGCGCTCGCCACGCCGGGCGCGGCGAACGTGGCGCGCGCGCGCTCCCACCTGAACAGGGCGGCCAGCTGGGGACTGGGCGCCGGCCGGCGGCCGTCCAGCAGCGCCTGCAGCCGGCTCACGCTGTACATGGAGGCCGTGATGGGCGTGGGCGACGAGTTGGCCGGCGCCGGCTCGGCCCGCAAGTAGCCGCGCCCCGTCAGCGGCGTCGACGGCATCAGCACGTTCTTGTTCTGCGGCCGAGGGCGCGCGGTGAGACGCACCGCCGCCCGGACCGCCACTGCGCGTGACGGAGCGCCGGTGCCCGCTCGCCACGTGGCTCCGTCCCCTCGATCTCGATTACGTACACGGCAACGACACACGAATTCACGTTTACACGGAGCCGCCTAGCGATGCTGAACTAACCCGTCACAAATGCCGCCCGTATCGTGTTTGAAAACGAGCTACGTCAAGGACAGCGACAGCAGCGGAAGAAGTTCCGTCCACTCATCCAGGTGAGCACGAGGGCCTCTGACTCGTGTCCGGACGCCAGCCTCGTTGGCTTGAGTGAGCAGCGTGGGACCCACCCCGCTAACCTGGGTGAGCATGAGGTTGCGCCGCACGTGGATACGCTCGGCCAGGTCGCCGGCCGTTACGCTGTAGTTGTTGGCCTTGCTGGGCGTGCCGATCTCCTGGCCGGCCCGCTCGCCCAGGAACGTGCGCTCGTCAAAGTTGCCGCACGTCAGCAGGTACTCCTCGTAGCGCTTGTTGACGCTCTTCCAGTTCAGCTCGAACGGCTCCAGGTCCAAGATGCCGGTCAGCGAGGCCGGGTCACCGTGCAGCGTCTAGGGGTCAGAGGGGTGCCGTCGGGGGGTCAGAGGGGTGCCGCCGGGGGGGGGGAGGGTCAGAGGGGCGCCGCCGGGGAGCAGAGGGGCGCCCTCGGAGGGCAGAGGGGCGCCGCCGGGGGCAGAGGGGCGCCGCCGGGTGGTCAGAAGGGCACCTAGGGAGGTCAGGGGAGCGCAGCCGGGGATCAGAGGGACGGCGCCGGAGGTTAGAGGGACGCCGCCGGAGGTCAGGGTCCGCAGCCGGGGGTTAGAAAGAGCCGGCCACGAAGCTGAAGACAGATATTCCACCCAGCACAATGGCCGGGACAAACAATCGTACCATACCCGATATCTTACCGCAAACGAAGACGTGGAAAACCGACTGATACCTAGCCAGGACCCATGCAAACTCAAATTTGCGTCAGAATGCCAATCACAACGTCAGGGCAAGTAACGAGCCAAGTAACAATCAGGCCGCACGCCTCCTCGAAAGACCACGACATCGACGGCCAGGCACACGGCACCAGGACGATGTCAAAGCGGCATCGGCGTGTTCGCTGCGTCCAACACGACGGCTCTCGGTGGCCCGTTCCCACGTGCATGCAGACCGCCCGCCATGGACCAGCCGGGCGACGTCACCTTGCTCGCGAACATCTGGACGATCTTCTCCTTCCAGACGTGCCGCCGAATGCTCTTGGCCTCGATGATGAGGCCGTTGAACTGGGAGCAGAGGTACTCGAGGATGCAGGGCACGTCGGCCGGCGGCTCGTAGTCGCGCGAGTTGAAGTTTTCCGGCAGTGCTGCGAACGGGAGGGGGAGGGGCGTGAGTCCAGAGCCCGCTGGCAGCGGAGGAACACGGCATCTGAACACAGGAGCACGTCCACGTCTGCAGGATCTAGCGGCAGGCCGACAGCACGCCCCCTTGCACACTGTTCAGCTGGAGCTGGACGCGGACTCCGGTCACAACATCTGCATGACACAAACTACAGCAAAGCCCCAACCGCTGCAGTGTGGCCAGAGGGCGACAAATCAAGCAGGAGCACACCACCACGTTCAGCTACCGAAACGTCTCCGGGCAACACTGCTTCGCACACAACACGACAACACTGCATACCTGCAGCACATCTTAGACCTCGATGGTTCGACTCGACTCGGCGCGGGGACCGACATGGTCCGCCGCAGGCCAGAAGGGCGGGGGAGCGGGAGCCGAGGGGGCGACGTACCGGGCGAGCTCCTGTTCAGCAGGTCGCGCCGGTCGGCCGCCACCGTTACGCCGAACATGTAGTCGACGCAGGCCAGCAGCAGGTGGTACGTGCTGACCAGGTCGGACGACACGGACGGGATGGTCGACTTGACCAGCACGAACAGCGTCCAGGTGAACTCGAACGCGTCGCTGGCCGTGCAGGCGCCCCGCCTGCGGGCGCGGCGCCGCTCGAGTCACACGCCGGGTGTCGGCAGGGGTCAGGTGACACACACAGGTGCGGAGGCACGGTCCAGGTCACACGGCGAGCGGCGCGGTCACCATCCATCCGCGCAGGTCGCTGCCGTGTGGCCAGGTCAGACGCAGCAGTTAGAAATATCACAATACACTAGTCGCCCAGGACTCGCTACCGCAGATCTAGAGGGTATGGCTTGCTTTTCCAACAATGTGTTGCGGGCGAAAAGGTCGTGCAAGTGCTTCCGAATCCGTTTACGCCAATGCGCAAAACAGCTCGGTCTTGACTTTGCGGGACGAGGATTGAGAGCCTTCACCAAGGACCATTGCACAAGTTCAATATTAAAGTACAATATATATATATATATATATATATATATATATATATACAACTTGCAACATTTTATTGTTACCATTGTTATTACATAAGCTGCAACAGGTAACGAGGGTGCCTCATTCACAGCACGTCCCGCCTCGGCCCGTGACGTCATTCACCTCTGCTTCCTGGACTTGGGCGGGCGAGGCGGATCGTCGGCAGGATCGGTGTATATCTTCTTGAACATAGGCTCGTAATAGTTGAATAAAAACGTTGTCACAGCAAAGTTCCTCTCCAGGGCGTCTAGATTCCTTTGGAACGGGTGGGGCAGGTTGGACATCTCTGCCCACTTCTTGGACTTGTCGAAAAACTCAAGCAAACTGCAAAAGAGAACGCAAAACATCGATGAAGTGAGTCTGCAAATGAACACGGAAAATCCCCATTCTGGCGGAGGTGGCGCCCATCGATCATCTTGCAAAATCTTGACACTTGGATACACTGTGTCATCATCACAATGTTGAATGCAAGAAATTGAGAAATCACGCGTACCCGACGAAGACCAGTTCCAACTACAACATGGTGAATAAGCGACACATTGGAATGTTATTAGCCCAATGACCGCCCACACTCACAAAAAAGGCACATCGAAACCCAGCCCACAAGTCCACAAAGTTGTAAGCTAGCAAGCTTCAATGAATTTGGTTTCCAAACACCACTCGATGTTTGCTTCAATTCGAGGCAAGGCAAATCACAGCAACAACGACCAAAACATGTAGTGCACAGCACTAATTCACGGACTACGACGCCGCAACACGTCGCAATGCACACCTGCGTCCTCTGCCACACATCCTACCTGAACTGGGCGAACCTAAGCAGCCTGGTGAGGCTGATAAAATTGCCCTGCATCGGGGCCAGGTGGTGTCCGACGGTCGGCACGGAGCCTCGCCGGCAAGACACGTACAGTGCGCATGCCAGCCAGTGCAGCTTTTTGCCCTGGGGAACAGCAGCCACAGAGCAGAGCTGAGACAGGCGGGCTGGCCAGATCACACCAGGGTCAAGTGCCTTACCACCAGCAGAACTGTTGCAAGTGGGACTGGAGAGAACACACAACCATGTGTCTGCATAACAATGCTTGTTTATAACACTGGTGCATCTTGAACAATCACAAGGTGTTAGCATAGTCATGTTTAATGCCAATTTTAATCATTTCATGAAGAAAAGTGACTGAACATACCTCTAGTGAGTAGTTCTGCTTTACTTGGCAGTAGCTGTTCCATGCATCCCTTGCAGTAAACTTGTCCATATTGAGATCAAAGCACATTTCTTGAAAGTCCTCATAAATCTGATCACTTTTTTCATCAACAGCATTCATGTTTTCAGTTTTTAAAACAGGATGAGGCATTGGGAGTGGCATTGCTCCTGTTCTTGACAACAGGGATCAGTATGAGAGAAAGATCTTCAGAGCAGTTGGCATGCCTGCAATATGCAGTATGCAGCAGGTTACACAGCAGGGTGCATGACAACAGGCTGGCAGTCCTAGATGTCAGCATGCAGCCAGTGACAGCTGAAGTGAATTTTGGCAAAATGGCACATGCAGAAGTCACACACACGATTCACACATAAAAATTTATAATCCTGACAACTGCCTCCAAATCCCTGATAAGGCACATTTTGCTATGTCTGAGGCCTTGATTGACAAAAAGATTACAAGAGGGGAAGCCAGACTTATATCATAACAAAATGTGACTTCACATTGTTGATTCAACTTCCCATTTATAGAAATAATATCAAATTTTAAAACATTCCAAGCCCAGATGGTGTCAGGCAATGAATGTGCAGTGGTAACAGGATCCTTTAAACACCTCACTACCCATGTCATCAAACCTTGTTTCCAAATTCCACAAAGTAATGCACAAAATATGCACACAATGAGAACTGACCTGTGCTTACTGAAATGCCATTCACACGGCCACCACCGTGCACATTTAGGGAAGCATGATATACAATTGCACAGATAGCCATGCCACTGTGAATGATACTCATGAACAAACATTGCATAATTTTATACAAATCATGCTCATTAAAATTGTTATCACTTGCTGGGCAGGAGCAATTCTTTTTTGTCACCACCCTATTTTCAAGAAAAGAGCCCATTATGATAAATGCTTACAAGCAAAGCAGCAAACAACATTTCACCAAGAAACAGAATGACACTTTTCTGGTAAAATTGGTGCAAATAATGTCATGCATGAAATCAGTCCAAAAGAATCACCTATACTCATTCATAAAATATGAGAGCGGCCTGACCTTCTTAAACCTTAAACATTAGTCATTAATGCAACAAGTGATATATACCCCTCTGTGGACATAATTATACACTGATTGTGTGCCCAAAGACAGTCTTCAGCCAATGAACACAAAGCAACATCATTTGCTATATAAATAACTGCAAAATCCAGAAATGACATCATAGGTCAAAAGCTCTGCATAACCTGAGGCAACTTCACACCACTGCTACAAAACATGTCTCCAATACACATGTCACCAGCTGCATCAAAGTTTGTAGCCCTGCCACCTATAATCCCTTAGAGGTCTCAGAAGTGCTTACCAGGCACTGCATCCAGCAACCATCACCTGGTAAGGCATAACAGTGCTCACATATTCCAGCTCTTATATTTCACTTAGAAGCTCAAACAGACTGCCTCTTTAGAGCCCACCAGTTACCAATGCTGTTAGTATTGTGAATTACCAGATCCAGGTATCTTGATCTGCCATTTACTACTTGAATTATAGGCCATGACCCAGGTTGACACACATTACAATTCCCATGTCATATCTGCATCTGTTTACAAACCAACTTCTGGCTTAAGTTTAAAGGTTTCTATGAAAGCATGAAATTCCTGGCCAATATGGTGACATCTGAGGTAGTTATGGTACCTGCCATTTAAAAGACATTGTGCACTAGTGATAAACATGAAGCAGCACACTATTGTGTCAGCATTTTGTATGACTATGCATGGCATGTAATGGACAAAAATCCAGAAAATAACCTCACATTTTTGCGGGTATCAACCTTGAGCACCAGATAGCCAGAAAAACATTCACATGGTTGATGTCTTAAAGCTCTTGTAATGCAGCACAAGCCCAGATAGCGTCAATCACAAGATGACACATTTGGAATCTTTTCCAAATGCACAACAAACAAGATGAGGTTAATATCTCATAAAAACTGGAAATATGAAGCATCAAAGCTTGAGAGTACTTCGAATGGCCTAGGCGAAGATGGAAGATAACGTGATATGCAAGGAAACGAGAACACCTAAGACCGGCACAATTCTCGCACGTTAAGCACCATAAGAAACCTACATCCATACAGGAAGAAGGGAGATGCTACCAGCATTCCTCAGCCATAACAAATTACATACCACCCCCAAGATCCGCTAATGCACTAAACGCCACAGTCCCGCAGATACCAAGGCGTCGCTAGCGCTGGGAATGCAAAGTCTGTGCGCAAATATGGCGCATAAGTGACAATAAATGAGCACTAGACGCGCGGAAACCGCGGGATAACAATACTAAAGTACTGGTAATGAAAATGTGTGTCTTATTAAGGTCAAAACACAAATTCACAGCTACCTCAAGCATGAAACTGTATCGGTAATTGAATAAATTGAAATTTTATGTGCATTATTAAGTATTTTTCTGATTGAAAAGCTTTTTACGAAGCAAACCCAACAACGTGACGGAGGCATCCTTGAATATGGTACCAGTCTTCATCTTTTTATATAGTACCTCATCATCAGAACTCACGATACGGAAATACAAACCACTTGTATCTCACTCATCTGGCGTCTCACAATAAGGAGATAAGTGCGATGTGATGGTAGCTGATGGCTCTGTACTATCGCTTTTGAATAAACACAGTCGCTTGCACCCGCGCGCAATCATACGCAGTTTTCTCCTGGCCGCTGTTTCCCTGTCATTACTGCTAGCGGGTTGATCGCAGTTGGCAATGCGCCGGTCAAAGGTGATTTGAACAAAAAAAGACAATGTCGGACAATGAGTGATTTATATTGCCGGTCAATAGTGCTTAGAAAATGATATCGTGCGCTCACGTTGGCACCGTGGACCACGGATGGACGTATGTTTAATTGAGCGCCGTAATTTTATCGGTGAGGGAAACGGCAAGAATTCAGTATGACGCTTTTGGATGGCCGACCGAGCAAAATGGGAAACGGGATGGGACACGTGTGATGTACAGGCAGCTGATTATCCTATGCCAGCGCTATCAAATGCACACAATCGAACTTTTGGCGAGTGGTTAGGAGTTTTTTTTCTAGGCTGCCTACTCTTGGCCATCTCGCTACTGGCACGCCGGCTGCAGTTAGCAATGTGAAGTTGAGGCGGATTCTAAAAATAAAAGTTATTTCGGCCGATGAGGGAGCCACCTTCAATCGACTAGTGCTCCAAAAATGACAACGTAAGTGCACGGTCGCATAGCCGTGCACGGCTAAAAGCAATTTAACTTACACGCAGTAATTCTGAAAATCTGCGCTGTTTCCGTGCCGTCACTGTGTGGGACGTTGTCGGAGGATCGACCGAATAAATTCCAAACCGGAAACGAACAAGTGTATTGTATTAACAGCTCATATCTCTATGCGAGCGCTATCTAATACACATAGCCACAATTTTCACCCGTGATTATAGTTTTTGTGGAAGGCAGCTATATTCTATAATTGCGCTACGTGCAGCATGGCAGCAGTTGGCCGTCAATTGCTAAATGGGGGAAAAAAGCATGTCGGCCCTAGGGCGATTTACAATGCTGGTCAATGGTTTTCCGAAAATGCCCTCGTCATCGTGTTTCAAATTGGACGCCGCATCTGTCGAATCCAACGCTCCAGTCAGCCAACCAGTATTGAGCGATACGCTGTCCGAATGATATAATGTGCTTGGGGCCGAAACGATCGAAACGAAGAAAGGATCAGTGCGTTATGCTCACAGCTTGAGGTCTTTTACAATTGTTATCGAACGTGTGAAGTTCCAATCTTCCAAACTGACTAAAAGCATTTTTCCCGGGCCGCCAAATTATGGCCAACGATCTATGTGCGGGCATCCTGCCGTTGACTCTGCAGCATCAAGAGATGATTGAAATAAAAGAGGTCACGCCTGCCGAACCAAGATTTAAAGTGCCGACCGGTCAGGCTCCCACAATGACATAGTTTGCAAGGTTGCACATTCCGCGCAGAATTTGTTTTTTAGATCAAATAAAATGGGGCGCTCTATGTGTCGAAAACACCGCTTTAATGCAGTTTTCAGCATTAAAGGGAACGTTTCACATTTGAAGGTATTGAACTTAGCGTCAGATATGGTGAAATGGGGTTAAATAAATATGCTCCTCAATACATCATCATTTGATTATGTCATAGCACTTCGCACGGCGTTGATTGAGAGCCAATTGACGGGCGTCATATCTGAAAATCGTGCTCACGAACGCCAGATATGAATGACCCGACAATTGCACGTTTCTTGGCATTGATCACCGCATGGCTAAAGGATTGACGTGAGTTGAATGATGCTCATTTTGTGATGTTGTGAATACCTGTGAGGCCTTCAAATAGTCTCCCGAAATAGTTTGCGCAACTTGGTGGGCGTGTAGCTCACAGGCTGGAAGGGCTTAGGCCTAAATAAGGGCAGGTCTGTGAACTGCACCGAATTATTTTCAAGATGACTTTTTCAGTTCAAAATCCCATACAAATGTAGAACACCCGCTTTAAGTGATGGACTATGGGCGGGCCGACCGGTGCAAATCCAAAATCCAAAATCAGACGAGTATGTTGTACTGGCACCTCATAGACCTGTACAGTTCCATTGAAAGCACAAAGTCACATTATTTCATTCTAGTCATTAGCATTTTTACCGAACTACCATATCAGGGTCATCACTCTAAGTGCAAGCCAGACTCCGTGAGCTCTGTGCTGAGAAGCTGTGATTTGAGCACAACATGTTATTTCGGCTGTTGCGAGATTTACATTGCCGGCCGATAATACTCACTAATAGCATTGCTACCGCAAGGGTGCAGCTTCCGCGCACAGCTAAAAGTATGTCACAGACGTCAGATTTCCGTTTTAATTGTTTCGGTCGACCCTGACACCGCATCACTCGATGCTGGCAGGCTGGCTGTAGCGGTGATTTGGACAGATATAGCGTCAAGTTTTAAATACTTTAACTTGCGCACGGAAAGTGCATCGCTTTAACGATGCCATTGTGGGAGCACTAGCGGCCGGCAATGTTAATCTCACATCGCCAGACCTGATCATTTTTGCTCAAACCACCGCTTCACAGCGCAGAACTAACGGCGGTCTGCCTGCGCGTAGAGTGTTGGCCAGTATACAGCGGCCTTGAAAAATGCTTGTAACAAGACGAGGCGATTATGAGTTCGTGCATTCGGCAGGACTGGTATAGGGCTAGGAACTACCAGTACAGCACACTCGTCAGATTTTGGTCCCTTTGTTCGGTTCACCACCTGGCCGTTTATCGCTCAGTGATGGCAGGACTAGGGAGCGGTGGCTTTGACAGATGCGACGACCAATTTGAGACCCTTTTACTTGTGCACAGAAGGTGCAACATTACTCTAACGAAGCTATTGTGGAAGCACTAGCGACCGGTTAAGTAGTAAAGCTCGCATCCGAAAGCATAAGACCCTCGTTGTTCACTAATATTTCCTTGAAGATGCAGAGCTAGCGCCGGCCAGGTTGCACACAGTTGTGGTCGTGATGCAGCGGCCTAGGAAAATAACTTATCAACCAAATGGAAGATTTTGACTCGACGTCTTCCACAGGACTGCTATAAGGCTATTAGGTACTAGTACAACACACTCGTCATATTTGGAGCTCGATTATGGTTCATTCCCATGCAACCATATCATTCAGTACTGGCGAGCCATTAGGAGGGGTGATTTGCACAGATACTGCGTCACATTTGAAACACTCTTGCTTCTGCTCAGAAGACGCAACCTTGTGCGCACGACGTCATTGCGGGAGCAGTGTCGGTCGAAAAAAGACACACAATCTGTACGCCTTTGGCACAAAATAAGGTACTGGTGGAGAATGTCAGTTCAATGAGTCATTTCCCAGAGTGCAGTCAATTGTCGCATGGCTTATACTGATGAATTGTTGTATTGAAAATTTGGCTGGAATGATGTCTTTAGGCTCAAATAAAACCAAATTGGTGTTATAGATTCCTCTCGTCGCATAATCTGATTAGAGACCGACTACCAGTAAAAGCCATCACGTGTGGTCATTGAACTTACTTGACCGGGGGAGGGGGAGGGGGGCGGTACTTGACTCACTTGATTCATCGGGACCCCGAGATATTCACTGACTCCATCTACATACCGGTGATAACGTGCCGTTGGATTACCAGGATCCTTACGACCTTATTTTCCCTGCTGTCTGCTGCACCCTCGCAACGTTACATAACCCGAAACTTCCTTAGGATGTTAAAAGGATCACAATGTCCAAATTGTATGACGCACCACCTAGCTGCATTGCTAAATTGAAACAGCCGTCGCGCTGGGTTCTATGAGGTCATGCGAGATCATTGAACTGACTTAAACTCTGAGAGGTCACAGGTCAACGGAGCGCCTGATCGGACCAGCTACAGCCTGATGAATAAAGCTCGGCGCAAAACCATAATACATTTACCAAGTCTGTGCGTTCCACATGCGGAATAACAACGAAAACGGCCACTATCCGATGGAACCCTAGCATGTGAGCTTATGTATCCGTGACCTGACTTGGCGCAAGTACACCGCTGGTTTGCAAGACACCACTGGTTTGAGACGTGAGGAATGAAATCTTCCCTCGACCTGAGGAAAGCGGCGCGCTACTGCTCGCCATTTTCCCGCCATGTCGGAAAATCTCGAGGTGGTTGTTTTGGACCTCGTTAGGACAGGGTTGAAAAGCATACGTGGGTATTAAAAAGCATCGAGTGGGGGTATTAAAACCATGCACATTTGAAGACACTAGTGCAAGGCTACCAAAACAGCACCCAAACATCGACGCAGTCCAACGCTTCCATATCGCTCAATATGTTGACATCACCGCACAGCGTCACCGATCTACGATACGATCCTTTCATTTGTAAAAGCCTGGGTCCGCCTCTGATGCTTAAAAACAGGAGCGGGGCTTCACATAATCCATTTGGTGGCTGGAGGTCTGCTGTCGGCAACTGCAGACGGCTTCACAGATGCGATTTATGTGGTATGGTGAGATAAACAATATCCCCACAGTAGATACAGCTTTCTCTGCGTGCATCCCACACTCAACTGGTTGGTTATTTGGTTATTTGGGTTAGAGCCTTTTTTACCACTAATGATCCTTTCAGAGCTATGGGATGAAGAAGAATGAAGAACGGTGGGGCAAGACTTTTTACGCCTGAGGAGGGGGGGGGGGACAACTACCGAGCCTTAACCCGCGCAGTGACCCCTCTGCGCAGCATGTGCCAGGCGCCCAGTTCCTCCCTCTAGGGCACCTCTCGGCCAACTCGTGGCTGGCGCATACAGCCTACTCCGAACAAGCGGGGCGTCGTGAGGATTCAGGATAAAGCAAGACGGAGGATAAGAGGGCCGGATGCCCACTCGCTGGCCCTCTTAAACACAACTTAAATCGTTAGTGCAGCCTACCGGTCACATATTGCCGCACGTGGCTAAATGGCGCGTGCATTATCCTCTGCCCACATCTAGAAAAAACGCACGGATGAGAGCAGCCCACAGGGGCGCAGGGACACATATATTAGGTACCACGCACCCTTAGAATGACAGCGAATCCTACATCTAGAGCTAGCATGCCATGCTCAATAAATAACTGCTATGACTTCGGCTTGGACTTCGCTTCCGGAAAGACAATTTGCTCCAGATTTATGAAAGGTATTTCAAAAGATAGCGACAGCAACAGGGCCATGGAGAATGTGACAATAACCTCACCCAGGATCAGATACAACAGTCGCAGCCCATCGAAATAAACGGTGCCCTTGCTGGAGAGAGTGCTGGCCTCAAGGACACTGATGTGTACAAGGTAACAGCAGTATGTGAGGCGGCTGAGCGGCAGGAAGGCGGGGTACGAAAGGAACGTGTTGACGAAGCCGCCGTAGCCAGTGACGCAGGCGAACACCACCCATGAGACGGCCAGACCCCAGGCCAAGCGGTGGAGGGTGCCGAAGGCCAGCGCCACGGGCCGGCTGTACGACTCCCAGGGCAGCTGGTAGCCCCACATGCCGTACTCCACGGATAGGCCGGTGGCGATGGCCGCTGCCCAGCCCAGCGACCACTGCCAGGCCCGCATCCGCACGCGCCGGCCGCGCAGCCGGTGCAGCGCGAAGCCCAGCGCCACGCCCAGCAGCCAGACGGGCGCGCGCGCCCAGATGGCCACGTAGATATCGCCCAGCTGCTGGGCGTGCTCGGGGCGCAGCACCATCCGGTCGGGTGGCAGGTCTTGCACACACCAGACGGCGATGCGCGCAGCCATGAGCGCCGCGATGGCCACCAGCAGCCACAGCGCGCCGGCCAGAGGTCGCCAGACCAGCGGCAGCAGCACCAGGGGCGACAACACGAACAGCTGCATGTCGTTGGAGAGGTACCACGTCTGCGGCAGGCACTCCTCACTGGCGTCGAAGTAGTTTTGGATGTAGAGCAGGTGGCGCCACCAATAGTGGCGGCACGTGTCCACCTGTGGGTCGATCCAGGCGTGCCAGATGGGGCCGTGCATCAGGTGCACGAACCAAGTGGCCGAGATGGCGAGCATGATGGCGTAGGGGGGTGTCAGACGCAGGTAGCGGTGCAGGTAGAACATGGGCAGGTTGAAGCGCTTGTGCCGCTCGTAGCGACCGCAGAACACGTAGGCCAGCAGGAGGCCCGACAGCAGGAAGAACGTATCCACGCTCGGGTAGGCGTTGAGAACCACGGAAAAGGCGGGGTTCTTGGCCCAGTCGAGGAACATGAGGCCGTTCTGGGCGTACCCCAGGTACATCCCGAAGACGTGACCTGTGAGCACCCAGGTCATGGAGAAGAACCGCATGCCGTGCAGGCACGTCAGTGTTCCTTTAGCGTGCGTCGTGCCCAGGATCCTCATTCCGTTCGTGTACACTGAGAAGGCGACGAGAACCTGTAGTCCTTTGGCCGGAGGTGACGGACGAGCTTGGTGGGCCTTCGCCGGGTCCTGCACGTCACCACCGGGCGGAACCGACCCATCTCCATCCTTCCCATCGACTGCGACGCGCTCTGCCCGCCTGGCGCGGCGCCTGGCTTGCTCACGGAGGAGGAGATCGACGCCAGTGCCGACGGCCATGAGCACGGCCACCAGACCGCAGACGGTGATGACCACCACGTCTCCAGGCGTCAGCGCCACCGCGTCGGCGGCCGTCTCCGTGCTGGGCACCGCCACCGAGAAGTTGCCGCCCAGCCGGCCGGCCAGCCCGGCCTGGAGGTCAGCCGCCGAGCAGCTGGACGGGATGCAGAGGCCGGCCCACAGCTGCACGCCGAGCGAGGTCGGCACGAGCACGGGCCCGCCGAGGCCCCCAGCGCCCCGCTCGCGGCCTTCCGCCTGCCCGCCGCGCGCCGCAGGCGGCGACACCACCGTCATGGCGTAGCGGCCGCGGAAGTGGAGGCCGCGCTCCGGCAGCTCCGGGTGCCGGGAGGCGTTCAGCCGCACCTCCACCGCCAGACACTCGTCGTAGGAGCCGAACGCGTGGATGTTGCCCATCAGGATGCCGTCGGGCAGCTTGCCGCTGGCGTCCAGCACTGCGGGCAGGAGAGCGCAGCTTAGCTGTCGGCACTCGTTATGAGTGTGCGTTTTGCACGGACTCGCAGCATAGTGTGACGTCATTTAGTGTGTTGCGTCACGTCAGCTCACTGGCCATCTGGCAGCTGTATACCGCGCCACGTACAGACGAGTTACTAACACTTTCTTGAGCGGAGGCTCGCTCTGTTTGCGGCTGAATAGCAAGCGAGGTTAGACGTGCGTAGAAGGTTAAGGGCTTGTGCGGATCGTTCACTTTCATCTCGTCGTAATGTCAGTAATGTACATCACCGGAAGTTTGGTTTCCTTCGTAAACATTACCTTAACACGTTCTCGGGTGGGGGTCAAATTGACCCCCAAAAGGTTTTCCGGAATGGTTTCCGAACGGCGCAGCTACACCGCGCCAAATTTTGCATATATGTAACCAATTAAATTGGAGATCGCTTCACATGAAAACATTAGATGTAACTTGTAAGGTCGCTGACCTATGGCAGGTCAAAGTCAGACCATGGTTTCAGCGAAGGCAATTTCAAGGGAATCGTTCAATCTGATCCAACGACAGAGTGTTAGACGAAACCACACAACTCTGATCTACTTCCTTAGGCAACATAACAATTGGATGAACGAATGACATTTACCTAGGGTCAGGTATGAAGGTCAGCCAAGGTCATAACCAATCTGTTTTATTACTCTAAGGCTTGCTGTATGCGGTATTTTCTGGCACCCATTTCGAACTTACTGATTATAGGAACCCATTATAGAACTTCCACAGACCTCTTAAGGATCACAAAAGGTCACTGACCTAAAATGACCCAGGTCAACATTTTGTTTTCAAGAACATACCACCTAGTGTAAACTTGTTGCTTATTCAAAGGCAAAAGTCATTGCAGCCTGGCATGCTTTTGATCACTTTGACCTTTAAGGGATCAAACAAGGACACTGACCTTAAATGAGTATGTGACTTTTTACTCAGAACATTTATCTAGGTTCTAGGGGCCCGTTGGAGACCAGCCTGGAACTTGACCTTGTTTGACCTTACTTGACTAGAAGGTTATGACCTAGAAACCTCAGACTTCGACCTAAGTGAGTTCACGTACAGGTCAACACAACCTACAAATTTGGTGTCTCTAACTCTCTTAGTTCCTTAAATCTCATAGGGGTCAAATTGACCCCCCACCCGATGAAGGGTATCCAACCGGCCACCCGGGCGCGTGTCAATCATGCCTAGACGTGGTAACAATTATTTTGTAAGCTTAGATGTTTTGGACTCTGACCCCTTCTTTCGTGTCATTTTACACTAAAATGCCTCTTACAAAACGTTTAAGCGATCGGATGAAAACTGGACGTCGCTGGAAGCCCTTAATATGCTAATCAGAGCACAGCGGCCGGCCTCATCAGAGCTGGCGCAGCGACCGGTCTCATAAAAGTTAACGCATTATAGCGTATTGCACGCTTCGCACTAGTTCATCTGTCCTTTCTGTTACTGACAACACGTGCTATTGACTTCAGATGACCGCATATGACCTCGCATGTCCTCACATGACCTATGGTGACCTCATTTTCCATTATAATGATATCGCAACATGTTTTCAGTGGAATAATCTAATTCTGCGTCCACAGTCACCGAGCATAACCTCCTATTTTGAGCTCTGCATGTGTTTTGCAGATGGTAACTATTGGGGTAGGTCATAACCTGGACCAAGCTCATGTACTCTGTAGTCATATCATGGTTATGTATGTAAGGTAATGCTTTCCCTCATATGCAAGCACCAAAACTATACAAAAGTGCATAACAACTTGCATCACTTACGAAAAACCGCGGCAACTGACCGGGCTTCAGGTCACTAATCTTACCGGGTTTGAAAAAATCTGAAAGACACAAACTGTAGGTCCTATCATTTTCTGTTACTATGATAACTTTGAACGGCGACAAATGTTTGTGACAGTTTGTGACTTGCTTCTTCTGCTTACATTTGTACCTAAATCAATCACCGACAACTTGGTTGACTGAAATCGAACTCAGGGACTAACGCAACAACTTTAAGACAATCGACTCGACCCCAGCTACATCACAAGTGGGGTGAGTCCAAAGTCAACTGCACCCGGAGCCAAGTGCAGTCTGGTAAAGGTTCACGCATTTCATCACTAAGAATACAATTCAAAGCAAGATAGGACAATTAACATCGATATTTATACCATGAGTATCCATCCAACTGCTTTCAAAGCGACGATCTAATAGCATGAACTTTAACGAACATCAGTCAACAGGCTTAGGCACTTACTAGCTATAGCCCACAATTCGTTCGGAATGGAATCCCACAGAATTTGCGTGTGATTCCGACACAGAGGATCTTCCGACTCAGCGGTCGCCACATGGAGACGCGACACCACCCTGCTGGCGCCGGACTCCGCCGTCTTCACCTCCAGGGTGTTGGCCAGCACTGTCAGCACACCGTCCAGGTCGGGGAGACTGACTCCGCTGTGCGACTCCCGCACCAGGCCGAAGGGCAGCGGTCGAGGGCCACCGTCCGCGATCACCGGCGGCGCGAGGGCCAGCACGAGGGCCCCGAGCGAGACTACGGACGCCCACATGACGGCGCCGGCGGGCCGGGCACCACGCCGGCTCAGAGTGACACCGTCTGACGGAGCGCCGCGATCAGACTGACGGTCAGACTGACGGTCAGACTGACGGTCAGCGCGCTCAGCAGCGCCGCGACGCCGTGTCGCAGAGCAAGGTCGCGACACAAAGTGTACCGGGTCGGTGACGTGCACCTCAGGTGGGCGTCTGATAAAGAGACAGGCATGAGTGTTTCAATTGGCAGATTGTGCGTCGTGATAACAACTGATGTAGCGCATTCGGCTCTCGGGCCTTTCGTTTTCAACGAGAGCGAATTCTCTGCATTCGATGAGTATTATCACCTGGCAATGTTACTTTGCAACGTTTCATGTAGCTATCCACAATTTTCCTTTTTGGTGTGAATGCGATACTTTTGCCGGAAATCATACAGATCTGTAATCTGCATTGGGTACGGAGGTATTGATGCGGTCATGGAAACCACCGTTATCGACATGACTTAGCAACGATGCTCTAAAGAGCGGCTGCGTGCGTCAAACTTTCGAGTGTCTGGCGCAAATCAACAAAACACTTGTGTCCGGGTACTCATCCATCATTCTTTATGGGGGTCCAAATAGCTAATGCAAGATTCCCGACTAAGAATGGTCCAGGGACCCCTTTCCCTTTCTTGGGTTTCTACTTGTGTTTCGCGCGAAGTATCTTACGTGGGTTTGGGGGTACGCGGGGTCAGTTTTCACTGTTCGGCCACGCCAATTTGTTGTTCATGGGTGTTTTCGGGCGCGTCGATTTTTATGGTCATTTTGCGCCCAGACCACGCCAATTTATTTTGTGAAAGTACGCTAGTGCGATGCACGCATTGGCTGGCACATTCTCAAGCAATAGGTTACAGCTGAGATTACCCACCCATTGTCTGCCTCGATCGCATACACGGTAAAGGTATGCATGCATGTATTTTGTTGTAGCACATTTCATGATGTCATGCATTCTATAAACGGATGAAATACATGTTTGACTATTACTGTGCCATGTCATGTCTTAAAACATTACCGGGTTAGACAGGCTCATTCATTCAACAAAAAGCATGCACATCTCATATCCATTAAAAACGCGTGCTCACGTCCCGGTGGCGTGAAGAAACCCTCATTGAAGTGTGGCAGCAAAGCATGAATGGTTAGGAGCCCTCACGTAGTGTAGCAGGGGGATGTACTTGACCGGAGTCTGATAAATAAAACGCCATTTGCCACTGTTCTGCCGCGCCGTAAGCAGCTTGATGTGTGACTGGCGAGTGCGTCTTCCCGTCGTGTCGGTGTTTGTGCTGAAGTATGTTTGTAAATGCTGATAGTTGTCCCGTTGAGATGATCTTGTGAAAAAAATTGCGTCTTAGTAATATGTCAGCGGTCTCCCATTCAGGGCTGGGTTTTGATTTACCGTGTTGGAAATTTGGTCTAATTTCCGGCGGCCTGGCATCACTCTCGCGCACAAAGTAGCATTAACTGGACCTGTTTCAAGTTTGACTGGTTTGCGCTACCGCGCACAGATAAGCAGTCGCGAAATAACGAGATGACCAAACTCTGCACTAATGTGTCTACATGTTCATTGGGGAAGCAGTGCCTTATATGAAACAGGGCCACAAGCAGGACGTTGCAGCGGAATCTCATGCTGGCAATGTGCGTCGCGAAGGTGAACGATCGGTCGAAGGTCAACCCAAGGTTAAGTGTTGTGCCACTCTCCACAATCAAGCTGTCTCCGACGTGGATTGAGAGGGGCGGTGCGTACCGTATCATTTGCTTCTACACGGAGTGCCGATGGCGATAAGTTGAATTTTGCAAGCACTCATTTTCACAGCACTTTGTCCAAACAATTGCTTCGGTGTGGAGACTGCTCGCTCCTTTTCGCTGAAAGTTCAGTCAGTTCCAGCTGTCTATCAGTTACGGTGATTTGCGTATCATCCGCATATTGGACAACATGGAAGCAACAAGGAAGGACGAGGCGGAACAACAAGGAAACCGTCTTCCACATGGAGGACGGCTTCCATTTGAAAGAATAGATATTGTTTAAAAACGGGCCGAGGGCCAGGGGTGTCAATTCTTGTAAATTATTGAGGAGAGGGGCGAACCAAAGGCCCGACATCCTACCTACCCCCCCCCCCCCCCCAGGTCTTCAATTTAAGCGGTATTTAAGTCATGCAGGGTTGGATTCAGGGAGCAGGCACTGGACGCACGCGTCTCTTCCGATCAGCACGTGAAGTTTGGAGGCCACCTAGGGGCACCGATGGCGCTCCTCTATGACGGTCAGGGAAGGCGGCACGCATTTTCGTTGCGGGGGACGGCGACGGGGTTAGCCATGAAGAACTTAAATCATCCCCAATATTCCGGAGCTTTTCACTTTAACCTTACAAACCATTGGGTGTCTTATGACACTAGGTATGTGAAGTTTATTGCATCGTTTATCCGCTCAGCTGTTACGACTACTATCTTGTGGTGAGAGCAGCCGTAACTTTTTGTTATGAGAGTGGCACGAGACGCCGCTATATATGTATATATATATATATATATATATATATATATATATATATATATATATATATATATATATGTAGTGGCGCACGCACGTCATATTGTACGCACGTTTTCTTTTCGTAGTATTCCAGACAAAAACATTGGGTGGGGAGCAAGCCAACACTGGAGAGGGGGGGCAACTCAACATTAGCGATGGGGGGGGGTAGGGGTAGGGCCCTCACCAAAAAAATGCAAATAGACACCCTTGCCGAGGGCGCTGCCGTGATACAACCTGGATGGAATTTTTATCGTCCGAAGTTTTACCGGTAAATGTCACTGTCTGCCGGTGGCTGCGAATATTGTTTATAAACCAGTGAAGATCAACACCATGACGACATAGTTTTCAATCAGCTTATCATGATCCATTACATCAAAAGATTTGGACGAATCCAATAGTACAAGCAATGAGATTCCGCCCGTATCCATAGCACGTAGTACAATATCGCCTACGGTCGTCAACGCTGTTTCGGTTTACGAAATCCGTGTTGTGACAGGACGAAGAGGCGGCGGGCATCGCAGGAGCTGTACAGTTCTTGGTGAACGACTCGTTTGAACTATTTTGGCGATGTCAAACACAATCAAGATGGGTCTACAACTGGAAGGCTCATATAAACACCCCGTCGACTTGTACATACGTTTAACTAGACGTTTTCTAGGCATTAGAAAGTATACCGGTGTTCAGGCTGGCGTCCATGATGGCGAAAATGACGTGATGGAGTACGAATGAGCAGCGTTTTATGACGTTCAGAGAGTGACCGTAGTCGCCGCAAGAACTTGAGTTACTCGTATCAAAAACGACGGAATGCAAGCTTTCAAGCGACACTGCGTACTGCGTGCGCTGCACACAGCAGGGCTCCATTTCCGTCACCCTTGTGAAACAGTCTTGATCACGCGCTTGCTGTCAGGGTACCCACGGGAGCACGTAGACATAGGCCTATCCTATTTCTAGGAGCTGGAGGTCAGAACCGCTTCGATGACCAGAGCGAGCAGTACTCTCCGGGTGGGCTACCGGACCGAAGGATCTACTTCAAAAGGAGACCATACCCGCAACTCCACCGCCGTGGGCGTTGACTAACGCAGCGTTAATCCCGAGACAGGCTGTCAATGTCTGAGAAGGAGCCAGTCGTGGAAAAGCTTACCGAAGTCGGGCTTGAACCGAAGACCTCTCACCAAGATTGGCAAAAGCATTACACATCATAATCGAGCTCGCTGAATGACACCGTACGCGTTTGATACCACTGCTTCAGGGCTGAATAACGTGCACGTTGACGCGCACGTCACGTATACGCCATGATCATTTAGCGAACGTCATGACGTGCACGTCACATAAGCGTGGAGATCTGCCACCGGCGCCTATGTTTTTGGTACGGCCATCCATGCCCATATATTCAGCCATATGTCAAGATCGGGTGTCTTGCGCAGGCTGCTGTATTGTAACTGCGCCACATAGCTCGCAGAGCACGATGACCACTGACCGCCCCGCCTCCCGGTACAGCACGCACAGCAGAGCCGACCGCCGGGCGACGGGTCGGTCGGCGGGTCGGTCGGCGGGTCGGCGGTCCGGTCGGCGGGTCGGTCGGCGGTCCGGTCGGCGGGTCGGTCGGCGGGTCGGTCGGCGGGTTGGTCGGCGGGTCGGTCGACGGGTCGGTCGACGGGTCGGTCGGCGGGCCGGTGGGCGGGTCGGTCGGCGGGTCGGTCGGCGGGTTGGTCGGCGGGTCGCAGGACAACATCAGCTCACGGGGAGCCCAACAGCGGCAAAGGCGCGCAGCAGCGCGGTTTGTACAGCCTTCCTGCAGCGAAGGGCAAGTCCGATTACTCAGTTGGTTAGAGCGCCTGGCTTCTAAACTAGCCGTCCGTGGCAGGGTGGGTTTGACTCGCTTTAGGCGCTCGCTACCTGCCCTTGATAGGTACGACCTGCGACCGGTGGCAGCGGTCGCACGAAAGGCCAGGTGATGTCAGAGGGAAGGACGGACGGTGTCGAACATTGCGGCATCAAATTCTGGTATTGACGGTGAAGTGAAATTGCACGATCAGATGGTAGCAGTCACGGCTCACACAACAAGCACGCTGCCTAGTGCAAGCTCTGATCTCGGAAATCCATTCACTCAAAAGGCTCGGATTAAATTTAAAGAAACAAAGAATACGGGCTGTGCGAAACTTTCACCTTTTATACGACAAACAGTGTTAGTTCATAAGCCACTCATAAACCATGCAGGAGTATTCCAACGGATGGCGGCTCAACCGCCGAGCTTACCTGCATCCTCTCCTCTTCGCACACACATGTTAAACTGGCGGCCGGGTGAGGTCGCATGATGAGGTCAGGAGCGACGCAGCAAAGGGGGGGGGGGGGGGAGGGCAGAGGGAATATTCACTCCCTCCCCGCCGGTAGGTAGGAAGGCAAGAGCATGTTTTTTTTCGCCACCTCAACAACAAATTGGGAAGCCCCTTTTTCCCATCTGGACATTGTATATCGTTATCAAAATGCGAGTAAAGAGGCCTCCACAACCGGGCCAGTGTCATAACTGGGGCTCAGAAGATCCTTTGACACATGAAGGGACCCGTTCTCTTGGTGCTTACATCGCCTTTATAAATAAGATACCCAATGCTCTAGATCGGGATGCCCAATGTTGTGGCCTCTTTGCCGGCTCGGGAGGCCCCTGTTTCAAAACAAAAGGCACCTGTGCTGGTTTAGGATGCACTGTCTTTATCCAGAAGGCGCCAGTTCTGGAACATGAAGCTCCTTTCATGCATTAGACAGCCACAGTCCTGGATCAAGCTGCCATGCTTTGGGATAGCGAGACCCATTGGTCAGATTTGGAGGCCCTTCTCATATGTCGTAAATTTCCTTTTCTGCATGAGAGCGCCCCTTTATGTGTCAGAAGATCTTTTTTTGGAACAGGAAGCCCTTTTTACTGCTAAGTGTTATTTAGTTTTAGTTAAGTGTTAAGGTTAGCGAGACCCGTTGCTGGGAATTAGAAGACCCCAATCTACTTTTTTTCTGTCGACGTTCATCTGCTTGCAGAGATATGATGCATTCTAACAGTTTGATACGGGGATACATGTCCTCGGTGCCCCTCCCATTGTATACGACGCTACGCGGGGATCTCATCGTACAGGAGAGTTCCTCGAATATTCTGTCCCCCCCTCCCCCCAACTCCAAGCCCGTGGCACCACCCCTGGGCGAGGTGACCAGCTACAGCCGTTTGAAGCGGCTGTAGACTCGTCTGCATCTGCCGGAGAGATACCGCACGTAGCCCCGACACGCCGACCGTCCGTAACGGTAGTCTGCGGTGCTCGTGAAGCCGCCCGGCACCCCGCAGTTCTTTGCCTTTCCTCTTGGCCGTGCCGCGCGCGACACGCGCGTGACCTTCAAGCGGCTTCCAAGGCCGCTGGGCCGACCCCGTTTAATAGTCCGATACGGATAATGCCCACACGTGGCTCCTCATTCCAACTAAAGCTCACATCGGGGCCGCAGTGAAATGCCCGCTGGGTGTGTGTTAAAAACGAAAATAGCAGACTGGTGAAATTCCCACCGTGGGAACATGATATCGTAGAGTGGCATGTACCCTAGATGGTCGAAGATACTTGAAATTGTTTTTGTGCGCTTATTTAGAGAAAAAAGATCCATGAAACTGCCAGTGGACTATGTTGCTTACAACGTTCAGCAGCCGATGTGCAGTCGATGGCATTGATTTTAAAATACGCGTAATGACACGTATTATAGAATAGAAAATCCATGATCCGGTCATTGATTCCATACAATACGTGCACGTGAACATAAAAGGTCAAGATTGCCCGCGTACTGTCATTCTGGCTGCTCCCTTGGGTCTAAAAATCGGAATTTTGATGCGAATTGAGAAACGATTGACACCAGTGACGTCATCATACTGGCTGATGCCCGACAGCTTTCGTTCGGCGACCCACAGCATATCTTGAACCGAGCGTAGTTCGTGTTCGGCCGGTGGCGGTTTATGTGTGTGGGGTGCATATTATGGGATTTTGTTCTATTCTGGTCGCCACTGAGCTTTGAGACGAAATGAAGCTACAGTCAAAATATAGGCTTGTACTGCACACTCGCCTCCCGTAGGATATGCGCGATAATAAGGTTCTTATTTTGATGAATAATTACACCTCCGGACAGGTCCTCAAGAAGCAATGGTTAAAACGGGCCCAAGAAGCTTGCCACAGTTTTGCAGACATTGTACTTGCGTTTTGTTTTAGCAGAGTGCAATCCCCGGGCCTTGATTCATTGGGTTACAAATTGAAAGTCATAGCTTCATGTTTCCATTCATGTTGTGCATGATTATAGGCTATTGTTAAATCAAATCTGTAAACCAAATTTTTTGCATTCTCACCAACAGTAGGGTAACAAAACTGACTTGTAGTAAACTTAAAGGAAATTTCATCAACCATGGGGCCCTGAACCATGAACTTGCATACTTGTCTGACTGCTGTGCCACTACATGAAGGTGGTGCTAGGTGCTTTGATAATGCATCATGCATAAAAGTTGGTGCGTTGAGCCATCCAGAAGGGCATTGAGTGCTGCAATAAGTGTTTTCCATCTCTTTCTTAGCTTGGTTTTCTTGGTTACTGATTAAGTGTACATGATTTATTTTGATCAATTTTTGTGATGAAAACCCATCCTTAACCATGTTCATTGCATCAAGTTGTGCCCAAAGTGTTAAGTGATGGAGTCCAGGTCATTGGAGAAATTCTCTGTAAAATTTTAATTGTAATCACTGTTTCATTCTGTCCTTGCCTCAGTCACCTAAGTAAGGTAACTGCTGCTGGCCACAGCTTGTCCCAGTATGGGAAACATAGATGGCACTTAAAGCGGCTTCAGTCAGTGTGCTAACTGCTACTAGCATGCAAATCAGGAGAAAGGTCCAAAACAAACTCTGAGCCATGGGGCATATAAAATGAGTAATATTTTGGCAATGGGCAGCAGAATTGGGTGAATTTACTATGAAAAAAACAAATACCAAACCCCATTCACATGTCCCATGATGCCATTTCAGGTGCTGTCCTCATCTACCACATTATTGGCAAATGAAAGAATAATATCTGAGCTGCACTTGGTGTCGTCATCCACTCTGACAGCCACACCATGTCGACTTCCGGGACGTTCGTGCTGGACAACGGAGCGTCGCTGATCAAGGCGGGGCTGGCGTCGCGCAAGGAGCCGCTGGTCATGCCAAACGCCATCATGAAGGCGAAGAGCGAGCGACGCAGGCCTTTCATCGGTAACCAGATCGACGAGTGCCGCGACGCCTCCAGCCTCTTCTACATCCTGGCCTTTCAGAAGGGCTACCTGGTCAACTGGGACGTGCAGAAGACGGTGTGGGACTACCTGGTGGGCAAGGAGTGCCTGAACGTCAACCCCAGCCGCCTGAACGTGATCGTCACCGAGCCGTTCTTCAACTTCCGCTCAGTGCAGGAGGCTGTGAGCGAGATGTTCTTCGAGGAGTACGAGGTGGCGGGTCTGCTGCGCACGAACGCCGGTGACCTGTGTGTGGGCGCAGAGCAGCAGCGGCACCCAGAGCAGCTCTGCTGCCTGCTGGTCGACTCTGGCTACAGCTTCACGCACGTCGTGCCCTACATCCAGGGCAAGAAGCGGCGCGAGGCCATCCGACGCATCGACGTCGGCGGCAAGGTGTTGACCAACCACCTCAAGGAAATCATCTCCTACCGCCAGCTGCACGTCATGGACGAGACGTACGTGGTGAACCAGCTGAAGGAGGATTGCTGCTTCGTCAGCCAGAATTGGGCGCGCGACATGCGGCTGGCAGCGCTTCCGGCCGCCGACAACCCGATCCTGCGCCACTACGTGCTGCCCGACTTCACCAGCCTGCGACGCGGCTACATGCGTCCGCGCGACCGGCCGCCGGACGACGCCGAGCAGCTGGTGCGGCTCACAAACGAGCGCTTCTCGGTGCCCGAACTGCTCTTCCACCCGTCGGACGTCGGTATCCGCCAGATGGGCATACCGGAGGCCATCGTGGACGCCATCTCGGCATGCCCCGAGGAGACGCGGCCGCACCTCTACCGCAACATCATGCTGGTGGGCGGCAGCACGTGCTTCCCCGGCTTCAAGGACCGACTGTACGCCGAGGTGCGCTCGATGGCGCCGGACGACGTCCAGGTGCGCGTCAGCCAGCCGGACGAGCCGGTGACGAGCGCGTGGCGCGCGGGCGCGCGGCTGGCGGCCGACCCGCGCCTGCAGGGCCGCCTCGTCACGCGCGCCCAGTGGCAGGAGCACGGCTTCAACATCTGCCTGGAGACATTCGACGTGTGAGACGGGCGCCACGCGCCAGACTGGGAGAGGGACGGGGTCAACACGCGCGGCGGAGACCGTTTCAGTGTGAGTGGGTGATGTTGGATCGAGCGGCCCCGGGGCTGCCGGAGCTGTCCGCTGAGGCCTTCGTCGTGTGGTTTGTGTTCGCCCGCTGTGTGCGTCGCTGTGTGGTGCTCAAGCTGTGCCGTTGCTCCCAATGTCATCGTAATTAATCGCTCATCTGAAATATGCTGTCGCCGTGGATGTCAACTTTCTAGTGTCGCATATATTTTTTGAATGTTTCCTTTTTTGAACGTAGCCGCTTTTTGCAGCGGAGGCCGGCTACTTCTGTTTGCACAGGGGGCATTCGATGAAGGGGAGGCGCTTTTGGGCGTTCTCGTGTACTGCACATTCTGATAAGGTCTACATGACGCCGGACAAAACCATGCGCGAGGCTGGTTAGCATGAGAGCCGGCCCCGGCCACAGTTGCAAGGGCCGTGTCCCGTACTTACGCGCGATTGCGCAATACGTTTGTGACAGCTTTGTGCCGAAGAAACGGGAGAGTGCGGCTCGGTTCGTATTTGGGGTTTTCTGTAGCCCGTGAGGTGATGCTGGTCTGAAGTAGCGCCGAACCCTGCATCTGCTACAGTTCCCGCGCGCGGTGAGAATGTGTTGCCGCCCATTTCATTAGCCACGGCCCCAGCATATTATCGCGTGCGGGGCGTGTGAGCGGTCGGAGCATGCGGGCAGCACATTGGCTGCTTTGGAGTGCGGAGGGCGACCTCTGTCGTCTGAGCCCAGGACGAATCAGATTCACGGCACCCCCGCCCAATACGGAACCAGGACTGGGACCGCGCCAGTGGGCCTGTTCCTGAGTCCTATCTGTCCCACATCCCCTCGGGAAACACGCCAAATCATCGTAAATTCTAGTATATTTCTGCACACACAATAATCATATAGATATGTTGTAAAGCATGTGACGCACGTACATTAATATCAACGATTGCACGGGCGAAACATCTCGACGAGGCTCCGCATGTGACGCTGTCGCTGAGGTCGGGCGGCGGAGGAGGTCCGCTCACTGGTCATCGGTGGGCGCCTCCGGCTGGTAGGCGTCGTTCGTTTCGCCTTCTGGGTCGTCTGTCTTCTTCTCCGCTAGGGGGCCATCGCGCTGGGCGCGCGCCAGGTCCCGGCGCAGCGCCAGCAGCGCCAGCAGGTAGAGCAGCGCGCCCAGGATGTACTCGCCGGGGTAGAACAGGTACAGCGTATCTGCAGGCAGGACAGGCGCACGGCGTTAGCAGGCGAGACGGGTACGCCTTGAGAGCGGCTAATGCTGGTATTCCATGATACTGCAGATAATACCTGCGGTTACAGCAGACATTGCGTTTGCGGATAACCTACGCCAACCAGCAATTGTAATTAATTACAGTCGGCAGTTGATATAAGACGCTTTCCTTTAAAATCCAAAATGGTACAAAATGACCACCTGGTATATCTGTTATTTTGTACTAATGTTTTCGGTAAGAAACCAATCCGGGCCCGTAGATAGCCCGTATCGTTACCGGCATTTCGCGTGCGTTACGATAAAACAGCGTCTGCAGTTATCGTGTGCACACCACAGCGAGCTGTACATCCAACCGCAAGGAATATTCGGATGGGGCAATAGCTCCGCTCCCCAGACAGCGCCACAGCGCGGCCGCCATTAGGATAGTCACCTTCGGGTCGCGTCTCCGCGCACCGCACTCTGGGCCTCGAGTAGGGTTTTGCACCGGACTATAAGCCAACACGCACCAATCCCCACTGACCAATCCCGCCAATACTCAAACGCATCCGCCTCGACGCCCAAACGTATTTGAAATGGTCGGCGACGTGACACAGCTCACTGGTTTCTCAGAATTCTCAGAGAACTGGTTTCTTCTCAGAACAGGCTCGCATCTCTCCCACCGACAGCCCGCTAGGTGCTCCGGTGCGCCAAATTTTTCCCTGTGTATAGAGCCAATGCGCCAGCCCCGACCACGACCACGTACCGCGAAGCGAGTCGACATCGTTGTGGCCTGCGTTGCTGAAGGCCTTCTTGACCGGGTCCACCAGCAGCGGCATGTTGCCGCCGATGTTTGAGATGACGAAGAAGTAGAAGGCGACGGCCGACGTGCGCACCTCGGCCGGCACCAGCTCCACCAGCACAGCCAGGGTGATGGGGACCCACATCTCGCCTGCGGCGGGCCGTCTCTGGTCAGTCCCTGCACCCTCGGCCGGCCGGCCGGCGCTGCTCGGGCCATGCAGCAGCCCAGTCCGCCTCGGCTGCCTCACAACAGTCCACTGCAGTGGCGGGACGCTCTTGCACCCGCGTGTGGGTCGCCGCTCCCGACTGTGTGAAAGTTCGTCTCAAGCGAGCCGCTTAATGTGACTACCACCAGTTGTGCCGTCCCGGGCGATGGAGAATTACCTAGGGTTTGTCGGAAGCGAAGGGCGGATCTGATGCCCGAATAGATGGCGCGCAAAACGCACGCTCCGCCACGTCCGCTACGTGGCGCACATGCCACAGCTCCACTGAGGCATTGCACCACGCCGCGACTGTGTGATCAGCAGACAACGCGGCGATGGACACACCCCGGACACACCCACCGGCGATGGTCGGCACGCCACGTGCGGCGCTCCACAGGAGAGCTCTCACCGATGATGTAGGTGGGGATGAGGCTGATGTAGGCCCAGGGCGGCTCCAGGAAGAGCACGCCGAACACGAACGGCGCGGCCAGCAGCTGGGAGGCGATGATGACCCAGACGCGACCGTGAGGGCCGACCCTGCTCACCACGCGGTCCGAGATGAAGCCGCCGAACACCACGCCTGGCGACGGAATGCGGTGAGATGGGGACACACAATGTGAACACCACGCCTGACAACGGGACACGGTGAGGTGAGGGGGGGGGGAGAGGGGGCGCACTATGTGAATACCACACCCGGGGATGGGACACGCTCAGATGCACACGCAGGTCAACACGGCGCGTCCTAAGGTCGCAGCGAATAAACACGGACGAACGAGATTGGAGCGGAGCACACGGCAAGGACTGGGGGTTCGGCATGACGCCGGACCTTACGCCCGACATGTGGTCTGATGCATGCCGTGTCACCAATAGAGCAGTGAACACGTATCTGGCGTACATAGTATCGCCAACACAAGCTAGTGAATACAACACAATATAACACAGGTCTCAGCAATACTCAGTCATTGAATAATCTTGTAGAAGACCAGCACGCCCACCGAGTTGTACAGGATGCCATCATGATGCATGCCTGGATACATACCCCCGGAGCGTAGCCTAAAATCACGGGCTGATGTTTTACGGCAGCAGCTCATCGGGCACCCCCCACCGAACCAGCGAGTCACTGCATCTACGGACCTAAGTTACGAGGCAGGGCCACCACGCACCGGACGGTTCGGGTTTCACGGCACCGACTGACGGCTGTCCGGGGAGGTCCCACCCCCCAACATCCCAGCACTCGCGGAGCTGCACCCGGCGAAGCGCGGCCGAGGCCGGGAGACCCGCCGCCACTCACCGATGGAGCCGGCCACCAGCGGGATCCAGGACATGTAAGAGCAGATCTGGCCGGGAGACCCGCCGCCACTCACCGTTGGAGCCGGCCACCAGCGGGATCCAGGACATGTAGGAGCCGATCTGGCCGGGACACCCGCCGCTACTCACCGATGGAGTCGGCTACCAGCGGGATCCAGGACATGTAGGAGCCGATCTGGCCGGGAAACCCGCCGCTACTTACCGATGGAGTCGGCCACCAGCGGGATCCAGGACATGTGGGAGCCGATCTGGCCGGGAGACTCGCCGCTACTCATCGATGGAGCCGGCCACCAGCGGGATCCAGGACATGTGGAAGGCGATCTGGCCAGGAGACCCGCCGCTACTCACCGATGGAGCCGGCCACCAGCGGGATCCACGACATGTGGGAGCCGATCTGGCCGGGAAACCCGCCGCTACTCACCAATGGAGCCGGCCACCAGCGGGATCCAGGACATGTAGGAGCCGATCTGGGTGGACGTCTGGCCGATGCCTTCGAAGTAGTTCTGCGTGCTGTACGACCAGACGTAGCCGGCTGCAATCCACACCCGCGCCGGTCAGGTACACTGACTACAGTGAACTCATACGCCGGCGATCACCGCGATGAAGACCTTGTGTCACACCAACACTGTCAAAACACCGGGAGGACCGCTCTCTTTGGCTAGGTAAGCACCGACCGTTCAGTCTCTTCCGCCTGCCTCTGCCCCCGTCGCCGCCGGCCTGGCGCCCCGCTCCGGGCACGTACCTGCATTTCTGATGGCCCCGGCCAGGCAGAGCAGGAAGAGCGAGGGCCGGAAGAAGAGGCGCACCATGACGGGGAGCTTCTGCGCCGGCGTCAGCTGCGCCGAGGCCGCCTGGCTGGCGGCGCTGATGCCGGTCCGCTGCGGCTCCTTCACCGTCAGCAGCATCAGCACGCCCAGCAAAATACCGGGACCTCCCGACAGCAGGTACGACCATCGCCAGCCCTGCGGGCGGATCATGGTTACACCGCGACAGGACAGGGGACAGGGAACGCCCAACAGCAGGTACGACCACCGCCAGCCCTGCGGGCAGACAGGAGTCACACCGCGACAGGACAGGGGACAGGGAGTGCCCGACAGCAGGTGCGACCACCGCCAGCCATGAGAGGTGAGGCAGATTCAGACGGAACCAAATTGACTTGAGTATAACGCGCACTGAACGGATGGCCATGAACGCCAAGACAGGCTGTTCAGTGGTCGCTTGACACGGAAGGAACGGGAGAACGACATAGCCGAGCCCGACCTTGTGCAGCACAGTATCACAAGGGAAGCTCCGAACGTGAAAGGAAAGTCAGCGAATACAGCTGAGCAGGGCTGATGCGTAGCTAGCGAGCAACTCAAACTGACTGACCAAGAGGACAGATATTGTGACGAAAGAAGCAAAACAAAGCAATGAAAATTGGGCGGGGCGATGGGCGGGGGCAACCATTCCACCACAAGGTCCTCTTCCGATACGGCAGACTACATACCAGCCTCCGAGTAGCGTTCACAGAACCGATCGAGTGGAAACCCAACGCAGTTAAGTTTCCAGCTGTTCAGTCCATTGCAGTTCGGAAAGGCACGGAAACAAACACACACCAACAGCGAGCGCGACTACATCCAGAGCCGGACCAACCATGTCCAGGATGTTGGCGTTCGTGATGAAGTTGCCGACGGCGTAGGCCATGGAGTAGCCGAAGTAGATGCCCCAGTTGTAGACGCCGAGCGCGGTGCCACGCAGCTCCGGGGCGAAGTAGTCGGCCAGCAGCGAGGTGGCGAACGGCGTGCATCCCGCCTCCCTGCGGATCCGTCGGGGCACGTGAGGACGGCGCCGGCGCCACGACATGCCACCCGCGGGCCGCAGTCGGCCGGCGACAGCGACGCGGCAGTGAGGCGGCGCGTGACGGGCAGGCGCGCGTCACGACCGCACACGTGGTGTTCAGCACTGGGGTGTGAACATTCTGCTCCGAGCGCACGGTGTGCAAGGTCTGGGAGAAATTCTGCAAAATTGAGCTATTCGCGAGGATCGAGAAAGATCATAGTTGAACCGCGACGGTTTAACACACGTCTGGGCCGTTTCATACGCTATCCCGTGCCTGACTTGCCAACATTGGCCACCGGTGCTCCGCAAATCGCCAACAACCCAGCACCGCCGGCTCTGTGCGTACGGCCTCTGTGCGAAATACCTAGCGCCCACGCCTGTTATCCCGGGCTACCGCGGGCTATCCCAGGTGCCCGACAGTACGCATGTGCCGAGGGCATGCGTGACGCACCGGACGCACGGCGGACCACGCGGGCCAGAACCAGCGGGGGTTGGCGGCCCGGACCAGGCTCACGCCACCCACAGGGGGGTGAGGGTGGGGGGGGGGGGGGGGGGCTGGCCCGGACAGAGGTGGCCGCCAGTCATGCTCGGCCGCACAAACGACCGTATCGTGCCGCCCCGGCCGGCAGTCGTCGGCCGCTTACGTAACGGGGCCTCTATCGGGGTCACGCGGCGGTCGGCTGCGCCGCTGATAGCCTGCCGAGCGATCCTCCGCTGCCTGCTCGGTGCGTGCGGACGGCACAGCGGGGCCAACCAGGCGACCGACACATAAGTCAATGGGTAATTTAGATGTTAGGAAAATAAAGCGAGGCACACGCGGAGAAAACTTGGAACGGCGAACTTGAGTATCTCCTGACCAATGCGGGCTAACCCAATCCGAGAGGGAGGGGATAAGCAGCAGCGATCGTTTATATTGTTATTATAGTGACGCTGATCAATCACTTCAGACCTTCGAAATCCTCAGAAAAGCAAAGCTCTTGATAGCAGAGCAAGCCAAGACGCGTTTTGAGCACAGTCACGATGAACACAGCGTCCCATTTGCTTTGAGTATGCACACACGTGATTTTACGGACGCGTGTAAAATTCCGCCCTGTCATCCGCGTGTTATAGGTGGAGTGATGACTCCAAACACCAATCAGAGCGCCCGCCGGCGGCCGAGTGTGTCCGAGTCTGGCTGTCGGCCGGCTCTGTGACCACAGATGGCGCCGACACCCGGTGCACTGACCGGACCCAAAGCCGAAGCGACCGGCGTACTGACCCGAACCCGATGCCGAAGCGACCAGTGTACTGACCCGAACCCGATGCCGAAGCGGCCGGTGTGCCGACCCGAACCCGATACCGAAGCGACCGGTGTACTGACCCGAACCCGATGCCGAAGCGAAGCACGGCCAGCTGCCAGTACTCCTTGGCGAAGCCGGTCAGGAACGTGCAGGTGGACCAGATGATGCAGGCCACGGCCAGCAGAATCTGACGGCGGGCACACGGTCAGTCACCGCCGTCCGTCAGCGTCCCGACACCGTCAGGCCGTCAGCTCCGACCAGTCACGGGCGCCAGGACGTGAACGTTGGCTCACAGTACACTAGTCAGTATGATTCTCTGGGTGGTGCTGGGTGGTGCAGAGCGTGACGTTGGCGACATCTTAAACACAGGCCGTGTCATCAGCAGACGGGCCGGAATTCCACTCGCCGCACCTTCCGGTTGTAGAGATCAGCTGCGATCCCGACGGGTATGCCGGCGAACGTGTAGATGAGGATGAAGACGGGCCCTGCCAGCAGGTTGTACTGGGTGCCGGTGCCCGTGTAGTCCCACTTGCAGCCGAACACGCCGTCCGCGTCCTTCCGCACCGCGCAGCTGAAGCATCACGCACGGGGAGGGTCAAACGGCCGAGCCGGCCGGCCAACGGACCGCCAGACGCCGAGAGAACACACACAAGACTGCGACTCACATTAGGTCTAGAACGCTAAAACGCGGACTGCGACTGGAGCAGGCTAAATGGCGCCTGGAAATGGTTCCTATCGAAAAAACAGACCAGTGCCACGACATCCCAACACAAGAACAAAATCAGTAATGACACCAAAGGAGCTAACATATGAAATGAAGAGGAAGCAAACAATCACAAATTCAGGAGTTGCCAAAGTCCGAGGACCATCGGGCCATTTTGGCCAGGCATGATGGTCGAATACTGCTGTCTAACATACGGAACTGCGCAGATCATGTCTGAGTATGATGGCAAGCAGCAGTAAATGAACAGATCATGTAAGACAACACTTCGACACCACGCACGTGGAAGGCATTGAATCACTGCAGGGCGTGGGCCGTTTAACCAGTTACCCATGAATTGCGCAAGATCACCGACAATACCAGCAGAAGCCATGCCTTCCGACCCAGACCACGACGCCGGCCCATCTCGGCAGCCACAGCACGTGTCCGCGGCCTCGCCAGTCGCTCACGTGGCGTTGGTGGTGCAGTTGGAGCAGTCCTTGTCCGATAGATGCGAGCTGATGGCATCGTTGAGCTGGCAGCCGAGGTCTCCAAACTCGATCTCCTGCGCGCTGGGCCGCGCCACGATGGCCAGCATGTAGCGGTCCAGCTGGTTCAGCAGGTAGGCGAGCAGCAGCAGCAGCAGCACGTACAGGCTGTAGCCGGACGACCGCAGCAGGGCCCGTAGGCCGCCGGCCGGCCGGCCGCTGTCCGACTCTGCCGTCGCACCGAAGCGCCGCGTCAAACACGACACGTGACAGAACCAGCAATAACCATCCAACAGCCTTGGGTCAGTGTGGTCAGTTCAGTGGCATTTAGCCCCAATGTGGCCCTGCATATATCCACAGTGAGGAGTGATGCATACCAGAATATGCTGCCATTCACATTTATGTGATGATGTGAGGTTACATGGGGTCATATCACAACATGTCAAGACCATGGGCTTGGAGAGGTATGCACACATGAACTGCATGTATCACAATACTATCAGCATATCAAAAAGGTTTGCGCCACTACTCTAGGTTGTCCAGAATGTGACTGACTATGACCCTGACCTACTGGTGGCATAGGAGCTGTTAGGCTCTTATGCCTCCAACTGGCAATCATGTAAACACACATATAACCACATCAAAATCTCTTACAGCATTCATGGCTGAACTAAATCAGTTAATACCTCAAATCCACAAGCTAATTGACAATGACCACATTTTAATCACTCAGGTACAATGTCTTGTATGCTAAGCACAAATAGCAGCTGAATAGCCAGCTTAACAAGAAATAGCCGCAAGAAAAGCTTCCAAGATCACACAAAGCTGAGCCACAAGATCCAAAGCTGGACCCTACACCCAGGGGGAAGCCAAGATACCTAGCACACAAGATAAAACTGCAAAAAGCTGCCAAGATGACACAAAGCTGAGCTGCAAGAGCCAAAGCTGTACCCCACCCCCATGGAAAAGCCTGGATACCTATGATGGATCTGAAAATACACATATTTTCTGAACTATAAAACATATGAAACATAACCATATGCACAAAATGGTGCTACATTTGATCAATAGTAAAGTGATTTGACTGAAATCCAACTTATACACCATCATCAGGCACATTTAAAAGAACCAAACTGGAATGCTCATCAAACAAAATATTGGTACCTGAGGCAATGCCTTGAAGCAGTGGCTGTGTTTCATCCACATCCGCTTGTGCTCCATACCTTGGGAGTTCAATACAAATTTAGCTTGGTATATACAACACATAATAATACTTTTGGCCATAAACAAATAAATACATACATATATAATGGATTTGTCTTTAATTATGTCATTGCATTATGCATTCAATACTGAAAATATTTCTTTACATACCAATATTACTGTCAAAATATTTCTTTACATACCAATATTACTGTCATTGTATGTGGCACAGACAAATTTTTCTTCCACAGCACACACAACATGATATATAAGAAAAAAACAGTAGCAACAAGTTGTTATGAAAGGACCACCAAAGCAAGTTGCAATAGAAAATGCTCACTGCTCAAAGGCCATAACACATCGGATCAAACTGCAAAGGCTATAGCACATAAGCACATCATTACCGCCTCCTTGTGGGACTCGGCATCTTTGTAGGCTTGCTTTCAAAATATATGATAGGTACTTGCAACTTCAACCATTGGGATTCAAAATAAAGGTCAAATTCTGACCATCACAGGAAAGTCCATGTGATTTGAAGCACTGAGGTAGATGAAACTTCCTGCAAAAGGACAGATGTAGCAGTATTGGATGATGATACTAGACACCTCACAAAATACCACCTATCCAGAATACAAAACACTGGTGACCAGCTAGCAAAAGCTAGTATTTTAGTATACTTTGCCCTCATATATTGTACTCCCAAAATGATGGAACTCGAGTATGGTCCAAGCCCTAAGTTTGAATCTGTCATGATTTAGGTATTCACTTCATTTGTACGCTACGATGGAACAATGCACATTTTTGCTACTTGGCGGTCATAGTGCGTCCCAATTCCCAATATAGCATAGGTGTTTAATCAACCGGACGGACAATTCCACATTACCACTCCATCGTGAGGCAAAACTCCGAAAAATGACCGCCTGCCTCAAACAAAACAAAATATTCAAAACGTATGCATACGGTGCACAGTTCCCTAACTTCAACCCACGGCCACACAGATTCCACTCGTCCGCACAATAAAAACAAAACATCAGCCAGAGCCTTGATGCACTTCTGGCGCAGACGTTTCGCTTCTGCACCACACCGATAACCTTGATAAGCAGCCTCAGCTGTTCATGATGTCACATAAAATTGGTCATAAATGGCTACAATTACTCCACCGTCTTATCATGCTTTGCCAACTTCAGTCATCAGCTGCCCAAATTTCTGACCATGTTTCTAACCATATTCTTATTCTTAACATATAGACCTGCATATTCTGGCCTGCTCCCTAGCCTTTCAATGACCGTTTGGCTATTTAATTCAGGGATGCATTCATAAATATCACCTAAAATCAGACGTAAAGCTGACACTACCTTAATAAGCCCGACCGAGCCAGACCTGGTCTAGCCCGCTTAACCTTAATTAACACGCACACGTACCCCCCCCCCCCCTTACACACACACACCCGAGCGAAGGGTGTGGGGAGTCAAGTTGACCCACTGAGATCCCAGAACCTAAGAGAGCTAGAGGCACCAAATTCACAAATTATGTTGGCCTGTACGTGATTTCACTTGTGTGAAAATTTAGGTTTCTGTGCCATAACCTTCGGGTCAAATAAGGTTGAACAAGGTCAAACTCCAGAGCTGTGTCCAAAGTGCTCTAGACCCTCTCAGGCAGCCACTGTGAACCTAACTACCTGGTCTGAGCAAAGGTCTCTGGCGCTCATTGAAGTTCAGTGATCTTTTTTGACCTTTATAAGGTCATGACGACCAAAATCATATAAGACTGCTTCGAATTTTGCATTCGAATAAACGTCAAGGATTATGCTAGGCAGCATGTTCCTGAGAACAAAATTTTGACGTGAGCCATCGTAGGTTATTGACTTATTCCAACTTTTAAGAAGCTCATGGATGATCTACAATGTGGTTCCTATATCAATACATTGAAAATGAGCAGCATAAACTACCACATACATCAAACTCAAGACTATTTCTACATGTAGTGCGAATTTTTAATGTATTCTTTGTATGTTAAAATGCATTCTTTGCTACAAAACTTTGAATGATTTCAAGGACAAAACAATGTTTTTCATTTAAGAACTTACCTAAATTGAACAACTGGCCATGACGTGCAAGTGCTGATTGCATCATGTGTCGCTCATGTTTTGTAACACCGCATGCGTTTCGCTGACGTTGCATCTCATTTGCATGTGTCGCATGTTCTGTGTTGACCTATGTGATATGTGTTGACGCGGCGTTAGAATAGCTACTCGCCGGATTTCGCCCAGGTTCGCAATAATAATAATAACAATAATAATAATAGTGTAGAAACTACCCCATACTCAAGCTTTAGGGCCGAACGGGCGGCGTAGCTAGGCAGTTCGGAAATCACTCCGAAAAAAACCTTTGGCCGGCGGGGGGGGGGTCAAATTGACTCTCACCTGAGCACGTGTCAACCCAGAGCCATCTAATTTAAAGCAAACCCTGCACCTACTCCAGATTACCAGCCAGGAGGTTCTAGACCTTTCTTAGAGCAAAGTATTGACCGCTACATCGAGCCGTCCCTTGCAAGTTATCAATAGCAAACGACAAAAGTTGAAGATGCTCCCTTTTAACCTCATCGGTGTGCATGGTGAGTGCAATGCACACGAAACACATTCATGCGTGCGTTTTCATGCGCCCTCTTAAAACAACACCAACAACAGTGCTGACTCATCTGGATTTACCCCTGTCGCTCATTATCATTCATTCTTGGTCACATATATGAATACTTTCGGCGCATTTTGCCGGTTGTCACGAGGCCTTTTTATGGCTTTGTCGCAATAATTAATGCTTCATTCTTTCCCCACTGTCCTCTTTTTGCATTGCTGACGCGCGTTTGATAGCAGCATTTTGTAGCGGAGCATAACGCTCGTCATATTTCACACGAACCCGTTTCGTCGCGGTTCCGGCTGGCCCAAAACACACAAGTAGCGGTTTCACCAGTGGCATGCGTTGGCTGAGATTGAGACTGGTCCAGTGCATCATAAGTAAGTCATTTACTCACGTACTGGATGTACCTATGGCTCCCAAAGTTGCGGATATTTGCTTTACTAGCTCTTTGATACCATAACCAACCAGCTGAACCAGCTGAACCATGAACCAGCTCTTTGATAACATAACTTTTAAGGTCTAACAGCATATATTATACATTTGTAAGAGCGCAATCGGAGCGAAGGAGGAAACGCACCCACAAACTTCCTGCCAAAAGTTAGCTTTAGAGATGTAAAGACCATGTAAAGACGTAACCATGCCTTAATTGGCCTGGTCAAGGGGGAGGGGCAGGCTCAAGGAAAGATGTCCCGATTGTGGATGGGGTGGGGGTGGGGGTGGGGGGGGGGGGGGGGGGGTGGGGGGGGAGGCTCAGAGGGCAACGCTAATTTATTTCATCGTCCAAAGCGTTGATTTCCATACTCAGCCATAAACTTGGTGGTACATTATGTCAGATGCTGAGGGGAGGGGGGGGGGGGGGCGAACCACCCATAACACGATAACGCGATGCCCCCCGCACCTTGGGGGAGGGATGGTGCACCTGAGATACGTGCTCCTCTATTCATTTTTTATAGACAAATGCATGTGTCTATAGGTCTTAAAAATAATTTTAAAATGAGGCGGACACGTCTAAATAAGTAGAATAAAAACACGTCACGTGTTCCATTCCAGAAACATCGTATGCCTGCAGCGACCTAACATGGGCGTTAAGTGGACAGTTTGAACTGCGTTTCATCTCTCACGACGCCCTGTCTACGACCGTGAACGAACTGACGGCAAAAAGTGATATGTCTCAGCTCGCAAACCAGCTCCTACCTCCTGGCCGAATTGGTAAAGGCGAAGAAAAAGCTAAACATCTTACGTGTGCGCTGGTCATCTGGCAACAGGAATGTTTGGAATGTTAAGACAGTGTTCGGCACACAAAAATATATCCATACGCACCTACACTTAACAACAGTCACCCTTCTTATTTCGTCATAATACCACAGAGACGTAAGCATAAGAGCTGCCTACTGAATTGAACTGCTGCAGACCTTAGATATTTACATGCGTGGAGAATGCGGAATGTAAGGCGCAGCAGTGACTGCACCATTTTTCATTGATACGTGACGTCGTTTTCAGCATATTTTGTCATTGAAACCAAAACCACCTCTTCTTCGGCAGTTGTATGGATACTTTTGAATAGCAGACGTACTTAATTGCTCCTTCCCGCTAACGTTTCGCGGGGACCTAATCTAGTATCACACGCGACACCTGGAATAAACAGAGGGTAACACACCGTTTGTCGACAGGCATATCAAAAAACGCAGTGACGTAAAATTCGAAGAGCGTTTTTGTTCATCATCAGACTGCAACCATCGTTCATTTTACGTTTGTGAAGGTTTGGTGTCACGAGACGGAATCATTAGGTACTGCAAACATGAAATACCGAAAATGTACATGATGACGCAAAAGCGAACTCGGAGAAAACATTTTCGGCTTTTCTGGTAGTCCTGATGCCCAGCGATTGGTTTCGCTTTTTCTGGCCTCACATTCTGTGCATGTCCCGTTTGGTACCAAATTAGGTTTTATTTCCAATTATACCAGCGTGAAGAAATGCCGACGGAAACGAACACGCACTCCACAAAGCCTAGACGTCGTGAAGATACTCACGGATTTTCGGCGTGCCCGTTTTGCCCATCTTCGCTATCGGTGTGGAGCACTATGTTCTGGCGCCGCAGCTGCGGCAGTAAACAACGCCTGCCAGTGTCGTCTGGGCGCTGATGGTTCCCAGGTACCTCGCAGCTGACAGCGTGTTTTATCAAGAGCTCGTGCTCGGTGGAAGGTGCAACCGAGCACTGGCGCTCTCGTCGCCGCCAGAAGTGCCTCAGGGAGCTCCGAGGCGCTGGCCTTGGCTTGACAGATACGTACAACGCGTGCCTCGAAAACTGGAGCTCAGAGAGCTTAGTGCGGGCGCAGACAACGTCCGCAATCGACCATAGCTGGGCAGTAAGGCTGATAGCAATTGATATATAGTTGACAGATAAGGGCACTTGTAACAGTCATTAACGGTCTATTTGATGTCATTTCACATTTTGTTCAAAAGAAGGCGGAAAGTGCCACTTAGCGTGCGTTGTTGGATGACGCATTTGTAACTTATCTCGCGCGCCTCCTGCGTTATCGGTGAAGTGGGCCGACCCAACTGAAAGAAGCGCCAACTCACTGCACAGTGGGGTACGAGCACCGACCAGTCACGCTTGCTGGCACAAATTTACACTCAGATACCAGACGAGGTGGACTATCATCAAACCACGTTTAGCGGCAAAGAGACGCATCACGGCCTTTTCAGTCGATACGACCGTCTGTGCATCGCCACGCTGCAACGGATGACGTGGTGGAACTCTCTGTGTTGTGATGAGCGAGGAATCTGCCTCACTTTCAGAACGAACACAGCTCACCGCGATCCTCCGCGCTGGAATTCACTGGAGTTCCGCCGACGAGGCCATGTACGCGACGATACGACGATGCGTGCGATCGCAACCTCCGCGGGCCGGAATCCGTCGACCGGGCGCCGTCGTCGACTGCTACAGCACATCAGAACATGGGGGTGAGAGTCCTGAGATATGTTACGCAATGCTCGTGCGCTGCAGCTGCCAATCATGGAAGTGTGTGTGTGGGGGGGGGGGGGGGGGGGGGAGTCTCGCACTTGGTCGATGGAAGAGCGTTGTCTGCTGGTCGTGTGCCGACTGTGAGAGGCCCGTCACATCTCCGCTGTCAGGCACTCCTACGCAGCTGCAGCGCTGACGTCAGAGGTGCGGAATCGTGTTCATATTGGGGTCTAAACTCGCAGTTCAATCCCCCGACACCATGGAGGGCATTATAACAATATGGGACCACATTCCCCTTTTTCAAAATGGCAGGCAAAGCGAGCCAAGTCGGAGGACAAATCGGCATTCGGGGCCACCTCACGCCGATTGACCCGGGGCGCCCAGGCCGCTCCGCCCTCCATCCCAGCCGGTTTGGTGACATTGCACCGCTGTCTTACATTCCACATCGTTGCTTGTCAAACCGAGCGCAGTCCGAATCCCACCCTCGCAGCTCGACAGGTGAGAGCGCCCGCCTCGCAGCCGGCTCGGCCGCCGGGTGGGTGAGGTCGAGTTACTTCGTCGCTCGCTATTTTCCTCTAACTGCGAGAGCCTGCGGCTGCTCGAGGTCAAATAAAGTCAGGGGGTGGGATGGGGGTGCCGAGTATTGCGAAATCTTAAGGCCTAGCCCAAAAATTCTACCTTTGAGCTGGGATTTACGATCGGATGGTGGGGTCGGCTTTTACACAACTCCTTTATACACTCATTATCGTGAGTTCTACTCACAAAAATTCATCCAATCAGTGTTCCACTTAACATTAAAGCAAACATAGGTGAAAACAAAAAGGCAAATATCGGCATGTAGCTTAGAAGACCTCGTCTTCAGACAACGTCGCCGCAGCTGCCCGCGAGGCGAGGCCGCCGCGTCACCACGTGACTTCACCTCAGACGACCTTTACCCCGTTTACGGCAACACCGGTTACGCTGCTTACTAAGCTAGGAGTCATCATGACGCCGCCGCCGCCGTAGGTAACTCCGGTGCCACATCCGCCGCCGGGTTCAGTTCAGGTTCAGTCCGGGATACAGGCAACCATGCATCATGCGCGTTCAATATTGCTGCATAGTTGTGCTTATCTCAGAATGAATGCATGTGAGCAGTTGGCTTGGCGTTCTTTCTTGTATTGCAAGTATATTACACAGTCTACACAATAGTCTGGCGAATACAGTAAGCCCACATGCCCGGTCACGCTCCGTCCATGACACGCTCATATTAGATATACATGACTCCGTTACAGAGCCTTCTACAATTTGATTAGACTATGCTGATATGATTTTGTCTTTCGCTTATAATCTTTATGGATCATTCACATGAGAGACGGCAATGAATGCATGTGTAGAAATAAATGCCTTAACGCACACATTACTGTCCGCATGAGCGGCATTAATACGTGATTTTCCTGACGATAGATCACGTTCCCTGTCGGCGCTGACGTTTAACACGGATCACATTGCACACATATTTTTGTACACATTCCCACGCATGAACATAAAACGCAGTCTTTCTCAAATAGAACAGTAACAATGCTTTACATTTTATGAAAGTTTCATCAAACGGCGTGCGCAGATGAGACGAAGGGAACGAAATATCCTGTATTACCGCTGTTTGCAGAGGATGGGGGTGCCCGCTGCCTGCGGCAGCCTCTTAAGTTCAATGCAACAAAATAATTGGAAATGGTGTAAAAATGCATATGTACGACGACAGCACTGATCCAACACGGAACATACCAACCCCAACCCCAAATACGTGGATGTGGCCTTCTCATAGCCCTCGACCCTTTGCGCATCACCGTGTGAATATTGCCTCGGGCGACAAGCGATTTGGCTTGCCGGGTGGACTGGCCTGATTGTCCTGTCTCCAGATCAGGACGCTGGGACAACGCATGCCCAGTTTGGCCATCGTCTCCGAGGATTACTGTCGTGTTGTGCTTTTCTCCTGGAGATCAGTGTGCAGTGCATGCCTCGATTCCTGAGGGTTCTGTGTGTGCAAAAATCGGATGTATGGATGTATGTACATGTGTAACACCTCCAACCATTCACCGCTTTCAACAGATAAAACGAATTCCTCAACGTCAAACTACAACACGCGCCTTTTTTCTACAACGTGACGAAACGCGCGGCATTTGGTCACTTATTCGTAATGTGACTGGGCATCAGCGTAGTCGGATAATGCAAAACCCAAAAGATTATCGAGAAAGTGAGGCAACCGCAAGGACTACCGAGCTTGTCCGACCGGGGCAGCTAGCTAGAAAACGCTGGTACAGCAACACCCCAAGAACTTCAGAGACGTCTGCAGAACCGGTTGAATGATCAGCGTGTTGAATGAAATTTTGGCTGGTTGTGTTTTTAATCTTTTCACATCGACCAGCAGGTTTTAAGTGAAAAGCCCGGAAAAATTCCTCGCATCTTGAAGACTGCGGCTAGCATCCTCTTCCACAATCTCCACAGGGCGTGTGCACATGGTGCCCACATGTAGGCGCGTGTGGGTACGAAGCCCATACCTGGCACGTGCCCACAAGTGCCCCGCGGTATGTGCCTCTTCCTCTAACCAAATTTATGTCATTGGTTAAAATGCACGGCACCAGATATTAACAAATAAATATTCCAAGCAGACAAGTAAAATGCAAAGGTCGAAAACATGCCATTTCGTTTTACGACACGCAAGAAATTGCGCATGCGAGTGATGCGTTAAACTCGGGCTTCAGTAGACGCTTTTAGCCTCCCCCACACTTCATGAAATTCCCACGTGCGCCCCTGACTCTCCCTTCCTGATATTTGGCGATCCCTGTCCTGAAGTTTGATAATCCTGCTCCCTGTTTTGAGGTTTGATGACCACACGATGGCATGCCACAAGTTGTCTTCGTCACGGCCATGGCACAAGTACCAAGGGCGCGCTTTATCGTGGATTCGCCATTGCATCCCCACGCATGGTCAGCTGGTCATGCGATAGCCGTTCCCCCCAAACGCGTTTTACGTATAGGGCGAGCAGACCCTTCGCTTCCGGTATCGAAGGCCGCGTCCGCTTCCGGCACCCCGCTCAGACCACCTCGGGCGTGTCCAGCGTCAGCGCCTCCATGCTGGAGGAGCGGGCTGAGCTGGACGTGCCGTACTCGGCGACCACGTGCCGGCCCTGCCGCCACGTCTTGGCGTACAGGCGGAGCACCTTGCAGTTGCACGTGAGGCAGAGCGTTACGACCAAGCCCAGCAGCGAGTGCAAAACGCCGTACGCTCCGCGTGCCATCTGTGAGTGGACAGCACTGCTGATGGTTGACAGAACAGCCAGCAGGGTCAGCAGCAGCAGCAGCTTGCCGTGCAGCAGGAGCTGCAAAAAGCGCTTGCGACGCATCTTCTCCTTGACCTTGCGGTCGATCTGCATGGAAACGGCGTAGCGCACCACGGTGGCGGCCTTCAGGAGGCAGACGAGGCCAGCCAGCACTGCCATGAAGACGGGCACCGTATAGGTGTAGAGCAGCGGGGTCGGCCAGCCCCACCAGCAGCCGGCGGTGGTGGCCGGCCGATGGACGGCGCCGGCCAGCGGACTGGCCAGCCGCAGGCCGACCAGCAGCAGTGGAATACCCCAGCCGACCAGCGAGAACCTGCGCGACAGACACAGACGGGAGTCAGACCAGCGAGACGGACGCTATACACAACACACACACACACACACACACACACACACACACACACACACACACACACACACACACACACACACACACACACACACACACACACACACACACACACCACACACACACACACCACACACGCACACACCCACCACCACACACCACAACAACCACCACACCACGCACACACACCACGCCACGCACACACACACACACACACACCAACACACACACACACACACACACACACAACACACACACACACACACCGCCCGGCAGCCATCCAGTCGAACAGTTGAACAATCACGGCCAGCAGGCAAAACAGCCATAACCGACACGGTCCCGCCGCCGGGTACAGTCTAAGTTCCACTTTTACATTCGCATTCCCTCAGAAAGGTAAAAACAGTTCGCAGCGCTCACACCACAAAGTAGAGGAACACACTGGCGCCAGAGACGAGAGGCTACTTGCATTGCATCAGACGAGCATTGAAAGGGGTTTGGAATGGACAACGAAATATCTGGCAGTTTCAATTCGTCTGTCATCCTTGTTTTGCTGCCCTCCAATCCCAATCGATTGTACGGAACGCGAAGCTTCCCATTTGACCGCCTGTGGTGGCGGTCATCGTACCAGAGAAAGTCAGACTTGATGTTGGTGTTGTTGTTGGGGGTGAGGTTGACGCTGCTCTTGCAGTGGCGGTACACATCGTACAGCATGATGGCCAGCCAAATGAAGACCGCCAGGTGGCAGTAGTGGAGCCCCAGCCCCAGAGCCGTGCACATCTCCACCGTCTGAAACCGCAGGTGCACACATATATGAATTACATGTCTGGGCAGTTTCAACCACAGACACACGGTTACAGCACATCTCTGTGCTTCTTGAGACCTCAGACACACGGGTATATCCCACACATGTAACTGTAAGTTACATATGTCTCAAAAACATAACACACTTTTTCATCCTAGAACCACAGGTGTAGCGGTACATCAATACACTTGGTTAATACGCGACTTAACTTGAGTGAAACCTCGTCCTACGAAGATACAGTTACATCGGGTACACGCCTGATAACTTAGGACCGCAGAAATACGGTTACATTCAATCTCTCGCCAATCTGGAATCTCCCTCGCCAACCTCACGAATATGAGTGCAGCTGCTCCACAATTCTCAGAGACATGAATCAATGAACATACCGGCTAAATCGCTACTTATTTGCAACCTGGCACGCCCGGTATTCGGCCTAATGAGCTTAACCCAGGCCTATCGTTCCTATATACGTTGCATCATTTCTATGTCGAGTGGTTTATAAGCAACAGGCAAACCCCATGAGTGTGAGATGTTCCTTCGAACTTTTCAATTGCATCTATCCCCAAGATAACCCCATATGGTACACATTATAGACGTACCCTGTAAAAGAAAAGCCCATAAAGCTATAGGGATAACGGTAAGAGATGATCCCTTTATAAATCATCAATATAAGATTTTCTGATAAATTAAGTCAGCATCTAGTATTGCGCGCATCATTCACAACCAATCCCGAAATGCTCCCCATGCATGCAATGCATGCCAGTCATCGGCAAAAACCGGGTGGCGAAGCTCACGCGAAGAAAACGCTCCTGGCCACATCCCAGGGCATAACTCAATATTTCGAAAGCATCGGAACAGCACCGCACTGCATCTCAAGCACGAGCCGAAGGAAGACAAAGGCGGAAGCTAATGCCGCCACTTGTCAGGCCGCCCGGCGAGTGGGTCGTTCCGTCCGCCGCGGGCAGTTTGGTGGCCGCCGCCAATCGGCGGAGAGCCCGGCTACCGCCCGTGTCAACGAGGTCACGCGGCGGCGCCGGCCGCGGCCGCGCCGCTACTGCCGCCGACGTCGACTAACGGGCCGAGTTGGGGCCGTCCATCGGCGGCGCGCCGCGGCTAGTCGACGGCCCGCTGCCCTGAACGGCCCCAGCCGGTCCTGAGCGCCGGCCGAACGAGCCGCTAACGGCCCGGCAGTGACGCCTGGCTGGCGACGCCCAGCGGCGGCGGCGCGGCAGAGGACTATGCCGAAAGGCGCGACGCGCGAGCTGAAGTCCTAAACATCTGGAGGCCTCAAGTTGTAAAAGGGCTGCTGGCGCAGACGTTCTTAAGTAGCTGGATTCCTAAAAATCCCTCATATAAATCAGGTGGCGATGAATTAAGGCCTTTGAGCCCCGAACAGTCTCATCGAACACATACAATGATGGCGTGCCTTCATCATCACATGGGACTGTCGCGGGTCAACGGGATGGCTGAAGTGTAACTAAAATTGATGTGCCCCGCCCCCACGAAGACGACGACAGTGTCAACACGGCCCGAAAACAGGTACATAAAATGCAGACAATTTGCTTAAGCCAGCCAAACGAGCCCGCAGGACAATAAAACAGACCATTCAGGCCAGCCAGATGTTGTTACATATGTACCTCACAGTGCTTGGACGAGAGCTGCGTAACGTTGAAAGTGCGCCCAGAGTTGCACAAAGGCCCCGGAGCGTAATACATCGAGTCGGGCGTTTGGAAAGTGAAACGTGGACTGCAAAATGGACCCTCCGTCTAGAAAACAAAGCTATCACGCTCACCAAAGGACCACAAATTTGCATGGCTTATGAAGCAAGCGTAGCTTCATGGTACATGTGGTCCGTAAAGCTTATATGAACCTGACGCAGGAAGTCGTTGATCGTGATGATTTAGCACTGGTGGACAGTTGTATAACGGTCTTTACGAGTACGTTAGAGACGTTCACGGGCTGGATATATGCATCGGCACGGGCATGACCATTAAACATAGGCATGCTGTGGGGTAAGTGTGGGTAGGGTATGCATAATAAATATGGACATGGTATAGGCAATGGTACGGGTATGTGTATGGGTAAGAGATATGTGTAGGACTTTCACAAGGTCTTAGTAACATATTTCATTAAATACTACAGATCATTGTCGCTTTCATTGCTCTTTTAGTCACAGTTAGCTCGGCTTACGTTACGATTGCACGTATGAAATCAAAGGAGTTTGCTGGGTGTAGAAGGATATCTCAGATGCCCTCAAACTTAAGAAAATGTCGTTACGAAATGTAGTTATATATAGTTATACGAAACGAATTAGCCGCTCTGAGCTACGAAGATAGAAAATACTATTTTATAAGCATTAACAGGCACATGCCGGCTTTTTCATTGACGTCCAACGCGCTGCAGTCATCTTACATTCATGATAGTATACCTACATTGCATAAAACACAGACGAACTCACCTCAGTATTAAGAGTTATCATAGCATAAGATCAACATTGCAGTGGTTTTCCTCTGCTACCTGCATCCTTTTGCCAAATTCACTAACACCTCAGGCACATTGCAGACCGCGGTGTTGGAATATGTTAGGTAATAATGGCAGCCCCGTTAAGAAACTGGAGCATATAGTAACGCGCTTCAGCTCCGCAAATGACCTTAGGTAAGGCTTAGAAATGCTAGATCACGGGCTTTAAAATGAGACGTCCCCAAGCACCCCTGTCTGTGCAGCGTTGGTTGGAACTAATCTATATCATGAATGGGCTGCGTAAGGGCAACTTCTATACGCTTCGGTAAAACATATGCAGTGGAACATCACAAAAAGGGGCAAACTTAAAGCGCCCTAACATCGAAAGATGTTCATATCGTAAACACAAAACGTGGATTAGGATCGAAGTCGTACGCTTTGTTCACATTTAATGCGGAAAATGATAGCTCAAAAAGGTGAAAAATGCGGCACCAAGAAGCAACCTGTAACCTGCAACCAAAGGTATAATGCTTCGACCTGACCTTGATCCCATCCGCTCCGATGACGAACAGCAGCTGGGCGAGAAACAGCCCGGCCAAGAAGTTGACCAGGTTGATGCCAGAGAGGTTCCGCATGTCCGAGAAAAGGCTGACGGGCCAGAAACGAGCACAGTCAGGCACATGCGGCGCATCATGAACACGGTACACGGTGCGACAATGGGGAACACGGTGCGACATCTACACCAGGTGCGAGTTACTGCACTGTGAGACAAGTACTAATAAACGGTCATGATAACAAAAGTGCACTGCAGTCATCCTTTTGAGGCATTCTAAAGTAGTGGAATGTTTCTGAAATGTTGTTTATGAGAACATTGTTTGTCAGCAGCCATTCCACATTGCAAGCGGCGAAGAAACCTGTTTCAGATAGTGGAACAATTGCAGACATCAATTATTGAAGCTGTTGAAAGGGAAGGCACATGCACATTTCCACATTCACCTTATCAACATCACGCCCAACGCCTCAATAGGGCGTTTTAGGGACCTTCCATATGACGTTATGCTTGAGGAAATCACCCTGTCGCTACAATCTTGCCATTTCAGTTCAAAATCCCACGCAGTTGTGAAGCCGTATTTCCGTTCATCAGAAGCACTTCACATCCGGCCACATCAAACATCTTACCGCGGCCGGCATTCGCTCGAGTTTAAAGGTCGCTGTCCGACTCCCGCGACTCGATCCACAGAACGAGCTGATCAAAGCAGACAGCATCCATACTGCGGTGACTGGGCCGAACGCCGGCGGCCGGCAGCGTGTTCAGCTGCGCCGGCCATCACCGCACCGCCCCGGCCTGCGACGCGGACGGGCTGTCTGGCAGCGACAGCCGCGCCCGGGTGGCACTTCTCTCGCGAGGCGGTCCGTCCACCAGCGAGGCGCCGGGCGCTGCCCGAGCCGCGCGGACAGCCAGCCCGGCAGTCCGACAGCGCTGCTCTTAAGGAGCGCTTCTGTCGCTCTCAAGGAAAGGCGTGGCCTCTGTCGGAAATTAGGTCCCAGGGCTTCAGACTCGTTTAATTGACTAACGTCGCCGACGGCGCGCCACCCTTCGCGACGACAACAAGCCGACGCCGTGTCAACGCTGCCACTTTCGCTCTGCTTCGTGAGCGCCGTTGGGAGCGGACAGCCCATCCACATCGCCCGCTCGCCGCCGGAAGCAATTACTGACGCATTTGCGCATTGTGTCCGGCTGCGGGCGATGCTCAGTGGTCTATTGCCGTCAGTCCGCCCTCCGGCGAGGAACAATTAGACGGGAGGGCGGCGCACAACGGGCTGGCCGGGACGCGAGTCACGCCGAGCCCGCCCGGCCGGCGACCACGCACGTGTAATGGCCATCGGATCAGACCTCCCATCAGTGCGCCGGGCGGTCCCGAACGCGGCGACGAGGCCAATAGTGCCCACGCCGGCCGCGCCGCTATGGCAACGAGATGAAGCCGGAAAGGGATGCGGCGCTTGACGGACGGCCTGTGGTCAGTCAGGTCCGGGGGTTAGAGCCAGACGGATTGAGGCGATTCGAAGAGAAAAAATCGCGGGAGGTGAATGCCAACCAGAGACGGAGGCTGGCAGTCGGCCGGGAGACGAAAACTGGCAGTGGGCGCAGAATTGGAGATTGGCGGGCAGTCCCGAGACTGGATTTTGTGACCAAAGAGGAACGGAGATAGGCAGTCAACCAACTAGCGCAGATCAGCATCTAATTAAGGAACGGAGATGAACAGTCGATTAGGAGATCGGCTTCGGCAGTCAGTCAGCAGCGTCATTCTCTAAAAATGATGGGTAATGCACTTGCGTTGTTTAAGCTCTATATTCCACATGTTCAGTTCATTTTTTTTTTGTCAGGCACACAGGGCGTGTCATCAGCTAACGTGCACTGCTTTGAACGCAATTCCTTGCCAAGGTATGGCTGCATTGGATTAAGCCAAGCCTCCAGGTTCCAAGCAAGGTCGACGCACTTCAAGCAGCTTTGTTAACATACGAGTTGCTTGCCTGAAGTGCATTCTGCCAATCAACGGTGTTCATACGTAAGCAGCATAACTATACTAACGTATTTCTGTTTCGATGTCCGAGATGGCTGTTCACGAAACAAATGTTTCCAATGTTGCTCATCCCGATAAAAGTTGCTGGTGGAGTGAGGTATGAACGACTCTTGGGTCGATTTTAAACCATCTCAGACAATTATTTTTTATGGATCGCATGACGCCGTTGCCACCTCACCGACCGTTTTTGCGCGTTTGCATGTTCACACAGTTCATCAAGGCAACGAAGGACGAAGATAACATGTCCATCATCATTATGTAACAGCATCACATCCCATGAATAGCGCTCTCATCAGCCGGCTAGTCGTCTGCGTGTTCCGCGCCCAAAACAGACTGATGGACCCAGCAGTGTGTTGCACCGCGCCTTGGTTTCGCCATATCGCGACCTTCCGTGCTGCCACCTGTCGGCGGTGCTGTGAGGCAGATACGGCTCGTGCAGAGACCCTCCAGCCCACTGGGGATTGACGCGGCGCGCCAGCGCGCTCCCCGGCCCGTTATCACGAGCCGCGACGATGAGAGGACGATCAGCTGCCGGGAGAAGAGCGAACGGCGTCGCGGGACGTGACGAATAGGTCGGCGCGAGGGGACGCGGCCGATGACGCGGAGGGCGGGGCGGCCCCACCGGCTCTCAGCAGACCAGCCTGCGCGGGTGGACTGCATTCAGGAGGGTAGTGTGCAGGGACCTGTGAGGTAGGTCCAGCTGGTCATTTGGGGAGTGGCATCGGCCGGATTTACGACGTCTATTGTCATCTAGCGCTCAGCCTGGCGCCAGATGCATGTCCATACAGTGGTTTAGGGCTATCCAGAGCTCGCGACATCATTTTGTTAATTTGCTAGCTGGTTGTTCGGTGCATTGGGGAGGAATACATTTCACATGGATAAGACAGTAGTATTAGCCTTATTCCTCGGAGAAAAACCAGGAGAATGGAGATATAATTGGGTTGATATTTCGTCAACATGCTTTTATCGAAACAATTGCAGAAGCACTTCTGCTTAAGCACTTCCGATAAAGGCACGTTGCCGAAATATCAGCCCAACTGTATCTCCCTTCTCCCGGTTTTTCTCCGAGGAATAAGGCTAATACTGCTGTCTTAGCTGATTGGCTGATGTAATGGCTGATTGAGGACGAAGTAAGACGACGTACAAAATGCAAAAATGCCCAAACGGAAAACGCTTGATAAAAGCTTTAACGAAAAAATTTCGCAGAGTAAAGTCAGCATGTTTCACGATATATCGCAGGGCTTGGAGGCTGAAAGGTCAAAGAGATTACCACCGAAATACCGTAGCGATCGTGCCTACTGAAATGCGCTAGCTTTCATTCTGGTATTGGCCTCTTCAAGCAAGTGCATCGCTTAGGTTATGCTTGAGTTAAGTTTGAAATTAGGTAAAATGCTTGCAAAAAGTAAAGGGTTCAAATGTCAAGCTGACTGTAAACGTGAAGTACTTCAGTTGTCCAGAGCATGACCAAAAGAAGCCAATTTGATTTATCGTTTGAAATAACACGGAGGACTAGAAGCTATTCATGTAACGGAGAGAAGCTATTCATTTACGCGGCCACTGATCACAGGAAATCAAAACGTTCAGAATATATTTTGAACAATAATCCGACCGGTGCGATATAGGCCCCAACTTTTATGTCGACCGGAAACATAACTTGGCATCCTCCATGCCCGACCGAACGGATGCACCGTTTCCACGCTAATGTTCAAACTCAGATCTAATTTGGTGTCAGGCCAACAGCACGAAGGTTAAGTGGAGCAAAGTTCACGGAACGTTGCCATGCTTGTCAAAATGGCCGGAACAGCCCACTCTGGAAGCGTTTGTATGTTAACATCATGCACTTATTGACCAGTTTATGTTTACGGCGCTTGTAGTTCGATTCCCCGCGGCACCCGCCCTTCCTCCCAGGGTGAGAGGTAGGCGACACCACATAGCCTGAACTGCTGAGCGCGTCGTAAAGCCCCAATGACGACAGTGTTTACAGTATTTTAGCATTTAACCCCATAAAGCCAAATTTGCCAACGTTGAAAGGCGAATAGGTACACGGTGAACAACAAACGCTTCAAAACGTTCCAAATATTTTGTTTCACCGGAAAAAAACAGTGGGTTTCTGTTGACGTTGATTCCCGTTCGTCTAAGTCTACGTCCATTTGGGATCTGGCACCAAATTCGACTCCGCAAGCAATGCTATCGTGAAAAGAGTTTTATTGCCTCATTCACGTGCTTCAAACAGGGAGTTGCTCCATGGGAACACATTGTCTTACATCGGTTTTCCTGTGTTTGTAACCCTGACCAACAATGTCGATAGCGTAAAATGCAACTGCTGCGAATTTTTAGTCATCGGGCTTGACGTCATTTGAGATTTTGCTATCAGAAGCAGCGTTTGGCCGACTTATGCAGCAATAAATCGGCATTTGGACGACGGGGAGCTGTTGCAAAGCTCCTCGATGGAAACTCGCGCTTTGCATTTAAAGTGTTTGCATGAATACAATTTAGGATGGTATGATTTTGATGGACGATTTTTCGAAGGGAAGGGAATGCTGAGAATGCGCTATCGTTGTTCTTAGCCCAGCAACTAAAAAGTATCTTAAAACACTCGTGCTAGTGATCATGCTCTGCCTTTGCAATCCAGAACGCGTGAGTTGTTCTACTTAAGGATGTTATCATGTTCTACGACCTGGGTATTCACTTCTACCTTTTGCTACCATTGCAATCATTGAGCACGTCACGCGAAATCGGATTATGCCGCTTTTCATTGCACTTCGCGTTGCTACGCATCCTGATGCCTTTGACGCCTTGGAGAGCAGGACAACTTGGTTCATTTGACATTTGCTACGGCCGAATGTTAAGTAGTATTCCTAGGGCCGCATACCCGGTGGCGTCAACGGCTATTTCCCAGTACACCAGCTAGTGCCAGATCCCAATATGCCAGCTAGTTGGTTAGTTGATTAGAGCGCCTGGCGTCTGATCCACCCACCCGTGGCGGGGTGGGTTCGCGTCGCTTTAGGCGCTCGCTATTTGCCCTTGACTGGAATGACCTGGGCGGCAGCAGCGGCTGCGCTTAAG